GCAACTACAGAGATGCCCCGAGAACACTGTCCCAAGTCTAGAGGAACACCAACTTCTGCACAGCAACTCGAGGAATGCTCCGTGTACCCCAAATCGTCTCGAGATGAGAGCTGATTCCCTGGCTTAGGCTCAAGACGTATGCCAACTTTCCAGAAGCACCTCAGGAGGAGGCTTCTCTCAGCAATAGGTATGTGGGAGGGACCCCGAATTTGCTGCCTCAAGGGGAATATACCGTGAGAAGCCCTAAATTGAAAGCAGGCCGGGTTTCCTTCCAGTGGCTTGAATACAGGCTCGTCTTTCATCTAACAACATGAAGGGATGTCTGAATCCCCTGTGGAGACCTTAGAGAAAGCCCTAGGTCCCTGCCTCATTTTGACGGAGTGCCTCACATCCCGTTGACACCTCGAGAGGCACGCGGAGTTCACTGCTTCAAAAGGTGACGATGCCTGACTCCTCTTGAATACTGATAGGAATCCCAAAATCCCTGTGGCTACTGGAAAGGGTCCTTGGGTGCCCTGCTTCACCTCGTGAAGCGTCCCTTTTGCCTTGCAAAGCCTCGAAGAGATTCCTGAGGTGTCCCTCGTTACTAGACAGGAGTCCTGACGTCACTGAAGAAACTCGTGTTTTGAAGGGCCATCCCCGCGGTAAGTCGAGAACATACCCCAGGTCCCCGCCAAAACTCGAGAAATACCATGAGACTTCCCCCTAGAGGCGAGATGAGGCCCCATTCCCCTGCAGGGCATGAAGAGCTATTCCGTGATCCCATTCAAACAAGTCAGGAGCTTCGACTTGCTTAATGGATCTCGAGACAGTCCGCAAGGTCACCAGTCTAGACGGACCCTGAGGTCACTCCAGCAACGCAAAGCAGTTCCATGTGCCCCAAATCAATTCGAGATGAGGCCCGATTCGCCTGCATTGACTCCAGAGCCATTCCCCATTCCCCATTCAACATGACCGGTGGCTCGATTTCTTTCAGGCAACTACAGAGATGCCCCGAGAACACTGTCCCAAGTCTAGAGGAACACCAACTTCTGCACAGCAACTCGAGGAATGCTCCGTGTACCCCAAATCGTCTCGAGATGAGAGCTGATTCCCTGGCTTAGGCTCAAGACGTATGCCAACTTTCCAGAAGCACCTCAAGAGGTGGCTTCTCTCAGCAATAGGTATGTGTAAAGGACCTCGAGTTTGCTGCCTCAAGGGGAATATACAGCGAGAAGCCCTAACTTGAAAGGAGGCCGGATTTCCTTGCAGTGGCTTGAATACAGGCTCGTCTTTCATCTCACAACATGAAGGGATGTCTGAATCCCCTGTGGAGACCATAGAGAAAGCCCTAGGTCCCTGCCTCATTTTGACGGAATGCCTCACATCCCGCTGACACGTCGAGAGGCACGCGGAGTTCATTGCTTCAAAAGGTGACGGTGCCTGACTCTTCTTGAATATTGATAGGAATCCCAAAATCCCTGTGGCTACTGGAAAGGGTCCTTGAGTGCCCTGCCTCACCTCGAGAAGCGTCCCTTTTGCCCTGCCAAGCCTCGAAGAGATTCCTGAGGTGTCCCTCGTTACTAGACAGGAGTCCTGACGTCACTGAATAAACACCAGTTTTGAAGGGCCAACCCTGCCGTAAGTCGAGAACATACCCCAGGTCCCCACCGCAACTCGAGAAAAACCATGAGACTTCCCCCTAGAGGCGAGGTGAGGCCCCATTCCCATGCAGTCCATGCAGAGCTATTCCGTGATCCCATTCAAACAAGTCAGGAGCTTCGACTTGCTTAATGGATCTCGAGACAGTCCCCAAGAACACTGTCATAAGTCTAGACGGACCCTGAGGTCACCCAGGCAACGCAAAGCAGCTCCATGTTCCCCAAATCAACTCGAGATGAGGCCCGATTCCCCTGCATTGACTCAAGAGCCATTTCCCGTTCCCCATTCAACACGACAGGTGGCTCGACTTCCTTCAGGCAACTCCAGAGATGCCCCGAGAACACTGTCCCAAGTCTAGAGGAACACCAACTGCAGCACAGCGACTCGAGGAATGCTCCGTGTACCCCAAATCGTCTCGAGATGAGAGCTGATTCCCTGGCTTAGGCTCAAGACGTATGCCAACTTTCCAGAAGCACCTCAAGAGGAGGATTCTCTCAGCAATAGGTATGTGGGAGGGACACCGAGTTTGCTGCCTCAAGGGGAATATACAGTGAGAAGCCCTAAATTGAAAGCAGGCCGGGTTTCCTTCCAGTGGCTTGAATACAGGCTCGTCTTTCATCTAACAACATGAAGGGATGTCTGAATGCCCTGTGGAGACCTTAGAGAAAGCCCTAGGTCCCTGGCTCATTTTGATGGAGTGCCTCACATCCCGTTGACACCTCGAGAGGCACGCGGAGCTCACTGCTTCAAAAGGTGACGAAGCCTGACTCCTCTTGAATACTGATAGGAATCCCAAAATCCCTGGGGCTACTGGAAAGGGTCCTTGGGTGCCCTGCTTCACCTCGAGAAGCGTCCCTTTTGCCTTGCAAAGCCTCGAAGAGATTCCAGAGGTGTCCCTCTTTACTAGACAGGAGTCCTGACGTCACTGAAGAAACTCGTGTTTTGAAGGGCCATCCCCGCGGTAAGTCGAGAACATACCCCAGGTCCCCGCCAAAACTCGAGAAAAACCATGAGACTTCCCCCTAGAGGCGAGCTGAGGCCCCATTCCCCTGCAGTGCATGCAGAGCTATTCCGTGATCCCATTCAAACAAGTCAGGAGCTTCGACATGCTTAATGGACCTCGAGACAGTCCGCAAGGTCACCAGTCTAGACGGACCCTGAGGTCACCCCGCAACGCAAAGCAGCTCCATGTGCCCCAAACCAACTCGAGATGAGGCCCCATTCCCCTGTATTGACTCCAGAGCCATTCCCCGTTCCCCATTCAACACGACCGGTGGCTCGACTTCCTTCAGGCCACTCCAGAGATGCCCCGAGAACACTGTCCCAAGTCTAGAGGAACACCAACTTCAGCACAGCGACTCGAGGAATGCTCCGTGTACCTCAAATCGTCTCGAGATGAGAGCTGATTCCCTGGCTTAGGCTCAAGACGTATGCCAACTTTCCAGAAGCACCTCAGGAGGAGGCTTCTCTCAGCAATAGGTATGTGGGAGGGACCCCGAATTTGCTGCCTCAAGGGGAATATACCGTGAGAAGCCCTAAATTGAAAGCAGGCCGGGTTTCCTTCCAGTGGCTTGAATACAGGCTCGTCTTTCATCTCACAACATGAAGGGATGTCTGAATCCCCTGTGGAGACCATAGAGAAAGCCCTAGGTCCCTGCCTCATTTTGACGGAATGCCTCACATCACGCTGACACCTCGAGAGGCACGCGGAGTTCATTGCTTCAAAAGGTGACGGTGCCTGACTCTTCTTGAATACTGATAGGAATCCCAAAATCCCTGTGGCTACTGGAAAGGGTCCTTGAGTGCCCTGCCTCACCTCGAGAAGCGTCCCTTTTGCCCTGCCAAGCCTCGAAGTGATTCCTGAGGTGTCCCTCGTTACTAGACAGGAGTCCTGACGTCACTGAATAAACACGAGTTTTGAAGGGCCATCCCTGCCGTAAGTCGAGAACATACCCCAGGTCCCTACCGCAACTCGAGAAAAACCATGAGACTTCCCCCTAGAGGCGAGGTGAGGCCCCATTCCCATGCAGTGCATGCAGAGCTATTCCGTGATCCCATTCAAACAAGTCAGGAGCTTCGACTTGCTTAATGGATCTCGAGACAGTCCCCAAGAACACTGTCACAAGTCTAGACGGACCCTGAGGTCACCCAGGCAACGCAAAGCAGCTCCATGTTCCCCAAATCAACTCGAGATGAGGCCCGATTCCCCTGCATTGACTCCAGAGCCATTTCCCGTTCCCCATTCCACACGACAGGTGGCTCGACTTCCTTCAGGCAACTCCAGAGATGCCCCGAGAACACTGTCCCAAGTCTAGAGGAACACCAACTTCAGCACAGCGACTCGAGGAATGCTCCGTGTACCCCAAATCGTCTCGAGATGAGAGCTGATTCCCTGGCTTAGGCTCAAGACGTATGCCAACTTTCCAGAAGCACCTCAAGAGGAGGATTCTCTCAGCAATAGGTATGTGGGAGGGACACCGAGTTTGCTGCCTCAAGGGGAATATACAGTGAGAAGCCCTAAATTGAAAGCAGGCCGGGTTTCCTTCCAGTGGCTTGAATACAGGCTCGTCTTTCATCTAACAACATGAAGGGATTTCTGAATGCCCTGTGGAGACCTTAGAGAAAGCCCTAGGTCCCTGGCTCATTTTGACGGAGTGCCTCACATCCCGTTGACACCTCGAGAGGCACGCGGAGCTCACTGCTTCAAAAGGTGACGAAGCCTGACTCCTCTTGAATACTGATAGGAATCCCAAAATCCCTGGGGCTACTGGAAAGGGTCCTTGGGTGCCCTGCTTCACCTCGAGAAGCGTCCCTTTTGCCTTGCAAAGCCTCGAAGAGATTCCAGAGGTGTCCCTCTTTACTAGACAGGAGTCCTGACGTCACTGAAGAAACTCGTGTTTTGAAGGGCCATCCCCGCGGTAAGTCGAGAACATACCCCAGGTCCCCGCCAAAACTCGAGAAAAACCATGAGACTTCCCCCTAGAGGCGAGCTGAGGCCCCATTCCCCTGCAGTGCATGCAGAGCTATTCCGTGATCCCATTCAAACAAGTCAGGAGCTTCGACATGCTTAATGGACCTCGAGACAGTCCGCAAGGTCACCAGTCTAGACGGACCCTGAGGTCACCCCGCAACGCAAAGCAGCTCCATGTGCCCCAAACCAACTCGAGATGAGGCCCCATTCCCCTGTATTGACTCCAGAGCCATTCCCCGTTCCCCATTCAACACGACCGGTGGCTCGACTTCCTTCAGGCCACTCCAGAGATGCCCCGAGAACACTGTCCCAAGTCTAGAGGAACACCAACTTCAGCACAGCGACTCGAGGAATGCTCCGTGTACCTCAAATCGTCTCGAGATGAGAGCTGATTCCCTGGCTTAGGCTCAAGACGTATGCCAACTTTCCAGAAGCACCTCAGGAGGAGGCTTCTCTCAGCAATAGGTATGTGGGAGGGACCCCGAATTTGCTGCCTCAAGGGGAATATACCGTGAGAAGCCCTAAATTGAAAGCAGGCCGGGTTTCCTTCCAGTGGCTTGAATACAGGCTCGTCTTTCATCTAACAACATGAAGGGATGTCTGAATCCCCTGTGGAGACCTTAGAGAAAGCCCTAGGTCCCTGCCTCATTTTGACGGAGTGCCTCACATCCCGTTGACACCTCGAGAGGCACGCGGAGTTCACTGCTTCAAAAGGTGACGATGCCTGACTCCTCTTGAATACTGATAGGAATCCCAAAATCCCTGTGGCTACTGGAAAGGGTCCTTGGGTGCCCTGCTTCACCTCGTGAAGCGTCCCTTTTGCCTTGCAAAGCCTCGAAGAGATTCCTGAGGTGTCCCTCGTTACTAGACAGGAGTCCTGACGTCACTGAAGAAACTCGTGTTTTGAAGGGCCATCCCCGCGGTAAGTCGAGAACATACCCCAGGTCCCCGCCAAAACTCGAGAAATACCATGAGACTTCCCCCTAGAGGCGAGATGAGGCCCCATTCCCCTGCAGGGCATGAAGAGCTATTCCGTGATCCCATTCAAACAAGTCAGGAGCTTCGACTTGCTTAATGGATCTCGAGACAGTCCGCAAGGTCACCAGTCTAGACGGACCCTGAGGTCACTCCAGCAACACAAAGCAGTTCCATGTGCCCCAAATCAATTCGAGATGAGGCCCGATTCGCCTGCATTGACTCCAGAGCCATTCCCCATTCCCCATTCAACATGACCGGTGGCTCGATTTCTTTCAGGCAACTACAGAGATGCCCCGAGAACACTGTCCCAAGTCTAGAGGAACACCAACTTCTGCACAGCAACTCGAGGAATGCTCCGTGTACCCCAAATCGTCTCGAGATGAGAGCTGATTCCCTGGCTTAGGCTCAAGACGTATGCCAACTTTCCAGAAGCACCTCAAGAGGTGGCTTCTCTCAGCAATAGGTATGTGTAAAGGACCTCGAGTTTGCTGCCTCAAGGGGAATATACAGCGAGAAGCCCTAACTTGAAAGGAGGCCGGATTTCCTTGCAGTGGCTTGAATACAGGCTCGTCTTTCATCTCACAACATGAAGGGATGTCTGAATCCCCTGTGGAGACCATAGAGAAAGCCCTAGGTCCCTGCCTCATTTTGACGGAATGCCTCACATCCCGCTGACACGTCAAGAGGCACGCGGAGTTCATTGCTTCAAAAGGTGACGGTGCCTGACTCTTCTTGAATATTGATAGGAATCCCAAAATCCCTGTGGCTACTGGAAAGGGTCCTTGAGTGCCCTGCCTCACCTCGAGAAGCGTCCCTTTTGCCCTGCCAAGCCTCGAAGAGATTCCTGAGGTGTCCCTCGTTACTAGACAGGAGTCCTGACGTCACTGAATAAACACCAGTTTTGAAGGGCCATCCCTGCCGTAAGTCGAGAACATACCCCAGGTCCCCACCGCAACTCGAGAAAAACCATGAGACTTCCCCCTAGAGGCGAGGTGAGGCCCCATTCCCATGCAGTGCATGCAGACCTATTCCGTGATCCCATTCAAACAAGTCAGGAGCTTCGACTTGCTTAATGGATCTCGAGACAGTCCCCAAGAACACTGTCACAAGTCTAGACGGACCCTGAGGTCACCCAGGCAACGCAAAGCAGCCCCATGTGCCGCAAATCAACTCGAGATGAGACCCGATTCCCCTGCAATGACTCCAGAGCCATTCCCCTTTCCCCATTCAACACGACAGGTGGCTCGACTTCCTTCAGGCAACTCCAGAGATGCCCCGAAAACACTGTCCCAAGTCTAGAGGAACACCAACTTCAGCACAGCGACTCGAGGAATGCTCCGTGTATCCCAAATCGTCTCGAGATGAGAGCTGATTCCCTGGCTTAGGCTCAAGACGTATGCCAACTTTCCAGAAGCACCTCAAGAGGAGGATTCTCTCAGCAATAGGTATGTGGGAGGGACACCGAGTTTGCTGCCTCAAGGGGAATATACAGTGAGAAGCCCTAAATTGAAAGCAGGCCGGGTTTCCTTGCAGTGGCTTGAATACAGGCTCGTCTTTCATCTAACAACATGAAGGGATGTCTGAATGCCCTGTGGAGACCATAGAGAAAGCCCTAGGTCCCTGGCTCATTTTGAGGGAGTGCCTCACATCCCGTTGACACCTCGAGAGGCACGCGAAGCTCACTGCTTCAAAAGGTGACGAAGCCTGACTCCTCTTGAATACTGATAGGAATCCCAAAATCCCTGTGGCTACTGGAAAGGGTCCTTGGGTGCCCTGCCTCACCTCGAGAAGCGTCCCTTTTGCCTTGCAAAGCCTCGAAGAGATTCCTGAGGTGTCCCTCGTTACTAGACAGGAGTCCTGACGTCACTGAAGAAACTCGTGTTTTGAAGGGCCATCCCCGCGGTAAGTCGAGAACATACCCCAGGTCCCCGCCAAAACTCGAGAAAAACCATGAGACTTCCCCCTAGAGGCGAGCTGAGGCCCCATTCCCCTGCAGTGCATGCAGAGCTATTCCGTGATCCCATTCAAACAAGTCAGGAGCTTCGACATGCTTAATGGATCTCGAGACAGTCCGCAAGGTCACCAGTCTAGACGGACCCTGAGGTCACCCCGCAACACAAAGCAGCTCCATGTGCCCCAAACCAACTCGAGATGAGGCCCCATTCCCCTGCATTGACTCCAGAGCCATTCCCCGTTCCCCATTCAACACGACCGGTGGCTCGACTTCCTTCAGGCCACTCAAGAGATGCCCCGAGAACACTGTCCGAAGTCTAGAGGAACACCAACTTCAGCACAGCGACTCGAGGAATGTTCCGTGTACCTCAAATCGTCTCGAGATGAGAGCTGATTCCCTGGCTTAGGCTCAAGACGTATGCCAACTTTCCAGAAGCACCTCAGGAGGAGGCTTCTCTCAGCAATAGGTATGTGGGAGGGACCCCGAATTTGCTGCCTCAAGGGGAATATACTGCGAGAAGCCCTAAATTGAAAGCAGGCCGGGTTTCCTTCCAGTGGCTTGAATACAGGCTCGTCTTTCATCTAACAACATGAAGGGATGTCTGAATCCCCTGTGGAGACCTTAGAGAAAGCCCTAGGTCCCTGCCTCATTTTGACGGAGTGCCTCACATCCCGTTGACACCTCGAGAGGCACGCGGAGTTCACTGCTTCAAAAGGTGACGATGCCTGACTCCTCTTGAATACTGATAGGAATCCCAAAATCCCTGTGGCTACTGGAACGGGTCCTTGGGTGCCCTGCTTCACCTCGAGAAGCGTCCCTTTTGCCTTGCAAAGCCTCGAAGAGATTCCTGAGGTGTCCCTCATTACTAGACAGGAGTCCTGACGTCACTGAAGAAACTCGTGTTTTGAAGGGCCATCCCCGCGGTAAGTCGAGAACATACCCCAGGTCCCCGCCAAAACTCGAGAAAAACCATGAGACTTCCCCCTAGAGGCGAGATGAGGCCCCATTCCCCTGCAGGGCATGCAGAGCTATTCCGTGATCCCATTCAAACAAGTCAGGAGCTTCGACTTGCTTAATGGATCTCGAGACAGTCCGCAAGGTCACCAGTCTAGACGGACCCTGAGGTCACTCCAGCAACGCAAAGCAGCTCCATGTGCCCCAAATCAATTCGAGATGAGGCCCGATTCACCTGCATTGACTCCAGAGCCATTCCCCGTTCCCCATTCAACATGACCGGTGGCTCGATTTCTTTCAGGAAACTACAGAGATGCCCCGAGAACACTGTCCCAAGTCTAGAGGAACACCAACTTCAGCACAGCAACTCGAGGAATGCCCCGTGTACCCCAAATCGTCTCGAGATGAGAGCTGATTCCCTGGCTTAGGCTCAAGACGTATGCCAACTTTCCAGAAGCACCTCAAGAGGTGGCTTCTCTCAGCAATAGGTATGTGTAAAGGACCTCGAGTGTGCTGCCTCAAGGGGAATATACAGCGAGAAGCCCTAACTTGAAAGGAGGCCGGATTTCCTTGCAGTGGCTTGAATACAGGCTTGTCTTTCATCTCACAACATGAAGGGATGTCTGAATCCCCTGTGGAGACCATAGAGAAAGGCCTAGGTCCCTGCCTCATTTTGACGGAATGCCTCACATCCCGCTGACACGTCGAGAGGCACGCGGAGTTCATTGCTTCAAAAGGTGACGGTGCCTGACTCTTCTTGAATACTGATAGGAATCCCAAAATCCCTGTGGCTACTGGAAAGGGTCTTTGAGTGCCCTGCCTCACCTCGAGAAGCGTCCCTTTTGCCCTGCCAAGCCTCGAAGAGATTCCAGAGGTGTCCCTCGTTACTAGACAGGAGTCCTGACGTCACTGAATAAACACCAGTTTTGAAGGGCCATCCCTGCCGTAAGTCGAGAACATACCCCAGGTCCCCACCGCAACTCGAGAAAAACCATGAGACTTCCCCCTAGAGGCGAGGTGAGGCCCCATTCCCATGCAGTCCATGCAGAGCTATTCCGTGATCCCATTCAAACAAGTCAGGAGCTTCGACTTGCTTAATGGATCTCGAGACAGTCCCCAAGAACACTGTCACAAGTCTAGACGGACCCTGAGGTCACCCAGGCAACGCAAAGCAGCTCCATGTTCCCCAAATCAACTCGAGATGAGGCCCGATTCCCCTGCATTGACTCCAGAGCCATTTCCCGTTCCCCATTCAACACGACAGGTGGCTCGACTTCCTTCAGGCAACTCCAGAGATGCCCCGAGAACACTGTCCCAAGTCTAGAGGAACACCAACTTCAGCACAGCGACTCGAGGAATGCTCCGTGTACCCCAAATCGTCTCGAGATGAGAGCTGATTCCCTGGCTTAGGCTCAAGACGTATGCCAACTTTCCAGAAGCACCTCAAGAGGAGGATTCTCTCAGCAATAGGTATGTGGGAGGGACACCGAGTTTGCTGCCTCAAGGGGAATATACAGTGAGAAGCCCTAAATTGAAAGCAGGCCGGGTTTCCTTCCAGTGGCTTGAATACAGGCTCGTCTTTCATCTAACAACATGAAGGGATGTCTGAATGCCCTGTGGAGACCTTAGAGAAAGCCCTAGGTCCCTGGCTCATTTTGACGGAGTGCCTCACATCCCGTTGACACCTCGAGAGGCACGCGGAGCTCACTGCTTCAAAAGGTGACGAAGCCTGACTCCTCTTGAATACTGATAGGAATCCCAAAATCCCTGGGGCTACTGGAAAGGGTCCTTGGGTGCCCTGCTTCACCTCGAGAAGCGTCCCTTTTGCCTTGCAAAGCCTCGAAGAGATTCCAGAGGTGTCCCTCTTTACTAGACAGGAGTCCTGACGTCACTGAAGAAACTCGTGTTTTGAAGGGCCATCCCCGCGGTAAGTCGAGAACATACCCCAGGTCCCCGCCAAAACTCGAGAAAAACCATGAGACTTCCCCCTAGAGGCGAGCTGAGGCCCCATTCCCCTGCAGTGCATGCAGAGCTATTCCGTGATCCCATTCAAACAAGTCAGGAGCTTCGACATGCTTAATGGACCTCGAGACAGTCCGCAAGGTCACCAGTCTAGACGGACCCTGAGGTCACCCCGCAACGCAAAGCAGCTCCATGTGCCCCAAACCAACTCGAGATGAGGCCCCATTCCCCTGTATTGACTCCAGAGCCATTCCCCGTTCCCCATTCAACACGACCGGTGGCTCGACTTCCTTCAGGCCACTCCAGAGATGCCCCGAGAACACTGTCCCAAGTCTAGAGGAACACCAACTTCAGCACAGCGACTCGAGGAATGCTCCGTGTACCTCAAATCGTCTCGAGATGAGAGCTGATTCCCTGGCTTAGGCTCAAGACGTATGCCAACTTTCCAGAAGCACCTCAGGAGGAGGCTTCTCTCAGCAATAGGTATGTGGGAGGGACCCCGAATTTGCTGCCTCAAGGGGAATATACCGTGAGAAGCCCTAAATTGAAAGCAGGCCGGGTTTCCTTCCAGTGGCTTGAATACAGGCTCGTCTTTCATCTAACAACATGAAGGGATGTCTGAATCCCCTGTGGAGACCTTAGAGAAAGCCCTAGGTCCCTGCCTCATTTTGACGGAGTGCCTCACATCCCGTTGACACCTCGAGAGGCACGCGGAGTTCACTGCTTCAAAAGGTGACGATGCCTGACTCCTCTTGAATACTGATAGGAATCCCAAAATCCCTGTGGCTACTGGAAAGGGTCCTTGGGTGCCCTGCTTCACCTCGTGAAGCGTCCCTTTTGCCTTGCAAAGCCTCGAAGAGATTCCTGAGGTGTCCCTCGTTACTAGACAGGAGTCCTGACGTCACTGAAGAAATTCGTGTTTTGAAGGGCCATCCCCGCGGTAAGTCGAGAACATACCCCAGGTCCCCGCCAAAACTCGAGAAATACCATGAGACTTCCCCCTAGAGGCGAGATGAGGCCCCATTCCCCTGCAGGGCATGAAGAGCTATTCCGTGATCCCATTCAAACAAGTCAGGAGCTTCGACTTGCTTAATGGATCTCGAGACAGTCCGCAAGGTCACCAGTCTAGACGGACCCTGAGGTCACTCCAGCAACGCAAAGCAGTTCCATGTGCCCCAAATCAATTCGAGATGAGGCCCGATTCGCCTGCATTGACTCCAGAGCCATTCCCCATTCCCCATTCAACATGACCGGTGGCTCGATTTCTTTCAGGCAACTACAGAGATGCCCCGAGAACACTGTCCCAAGTCTAGAGGAACACCAACTTCTGCACAGCAACTCGAGGAATGCTCCGTGTACCCCAAATCGTCTCGAGATGAGAGCTGATTCCCTGGCTTAGGCTCAAGACGTATGCCAACTTTCCAGAAGCACCTCAGGAGGAGGCTTCTCTCAGCAATAGGTATGTGGGAGGGACCCCGAATTTGCTGCCTCAAGGGGAATATACCGTGAGAAGCCCTAAATTGAAAGCAGGCCGGGTTTCCTTCCAGTGGCTTGAATACAGGCTCGTCTTTCATCTAACAACATGAAGGGATGTCTGAATCCCCTGTGGAGACCTTAGAGAAAGCCCTAGGTCCCTGCCTCATTTTGACGGAGTGCCTCACATCCCGTTGACACCTCGAGAGGCACGCGGAGTTCACTGCTTCAAAAGGTGACGATGCCTGACTCCTCTTGAATACTGATAGGAATCCCAAAATCCCTGTGGCTACTGGAAAGGGTCCTTGGGTGCCCTGCTTCACCTCGTGAAGCGTCCCTTTTGCCTTGCAAAGCCTCGAAGAGATTCCTGAGGTGTCCCTCGTTACTAGACAGGAGTCCTGACGTCACTGAAGAAACTCGTGTTTTGAAGGGCCATCCCCGCGGTAAGTCGAGAACATACCCCAGGTCCCCGCCAAAACTCGAGAAATACCATGAGACTTCCCCCTAGAGGCGAGATGAGGCCCCATTCCCCTGCAGGGCATGAAGAGCTATTCCGTGATCCCATTCAAACAAGTCAGGAGCTTCGACTTGCTTAATGGATCTCGAGACAGTCCGCAAGGTCACCAGTCTAGACGGACCCTGAGGTCACTCCAGCAACGCAAAGCAGTTCCATGTGCCCCAAATCAATTCGAGATGAGGCCCGATTCGCCTGCATTGACTCCAGAGCCATTCCCCATTCCCCATTCAACATGACCGGTGGCTCGATTTCTTTCAGGCAACTACAGAGATGCCCCGAGAACACTGTCCCAAGTCTAGAGGAACACCAACTTCTGCACAGCAACTCGAGGAATGCTCCGTGTACCCCAAATCGTCTCGAGATGAGAGCTGATTCCCTGGCTTAGGCTCAAGACGTATGCCAACTTTCCAGAAGCACCTCAAGAGGTGGCTTCTCTCAGCAATAGGTATGTGTAAAGGACCTCGAGTTTGCTGCCTCAAGGGGAATATACAGCGAGAAGCCCTAACTTGAAAGGAGGCCGGATTTCCTTGCAGTGGCTTGAATACAGGCTCGTCTTTCATCTCACAACATGAAGGGATGTCTGAATCCCCTGTGGAGACCATAGAGAAAGCCCTAGGTCCCTGCCTCATTTTGACGGAATGCCTCACATCCCGCTGACACGTCGAGAGGCACGCGGAGTTCATTGCTTCAAAAGGTGACGGTGCCTGACTCTTCTTGAATATTGATAGGAATCCCAAAATCCCTGTGGCTACTGGAAAGGGTCCTTGAGTGCCCTGCCTCACCTCGAGAAGCGTCCCTTTTGCCCTGCCAAGCCTCGAAGAGATTCCTGAGGTGTCCCTCGTTACTAGACAGGAGTCCTGACGTCACTGAATAAACACCAGTTTTGAAGGGCCAACCCTGCCGTAAGTCGAGAACATACCCCAGGTCCCCACCGCAACTCGAGAAAAACCATGAGACTTCCCCCTAGAGGCGAGGTGAGGCCCCATTCCCATGCAGTCCATGCAGAGCTATTCCGTGATCCCATTCAAACAAGTCAGGAGCTTCGACTTGCTTAATGGATCTCGAGACAGTCCCCAAGAACACTGTCATAAGTCTAGACGGACCCTGAGGTCACCCAGGCAACGCAAAGCAGCTCCATGTTCCCCAAATCAACTCGAGATGAGGCCCGATTCCCCTGCATTGACTCAAGAGCCATTTCCCGTTCCCCATTCAACACGACAGGTGGCTCGACTTCCTTCAGGCAACTCCAGAGATGCCCCGAGAACACTGTCCCAAGTCTAGAGGAACACCAACTGCAGCACAGCGACTCGAGGAATGCTCCGTGTACCCCAAATCGTCTCGAGATGAGAGCTGATTCCCTGGCTTAGGCTCAAGACGTATGCCAACTTTCCAGAAGCACCTCAAGAGGAGGATTCTCTCAGCAATAGGTATGTGGGAGGGACACCGAGTTTGCTGCCTCAAGGGGAATATACAGTGAGAAGCCCTAAATTGAAAGCAGGCCGGGTTTCCTTCCAGTGGCTTGAATACAGGCTCGTCTTTCATCTAACAACATGAAGGGATGTCTGAATGCCCTGTGGAGACCTTAGAGAAAGCCCTAGGTCCCTGGCTCATTTTGATGGAGTGCCTCACATCCCGTTGACACCTCGAGAGGCACGCGGAGCTCACTGCTTCAAAAGGTGACGAAGCCTGACTCCTCTTGAATACTGATAGGAATCCCAAAATCCCTGGGGCTACTGGAAAGGGTCCTTGGGTGCCCTGCTTCACCTCGAGAAGCGTCCCTTTTGCCTTGCAAAGCCTCGAAGAGATTCCAGAGGTGTCCCTCTTTACTAGACAGGAGTCCTGACGTCACTGAAGAAACTCGTGTTTTGAAGGGCCATCCCCGCGGTAAGTCGAGAACATACCCCAGGTCCCCGCCAAAACTCGAGAAAAACCATGAGACTTCCCCCTAGAGGCGAGCTGAGGCCCCATTCCCCTGCAGTGCATGCAGAGCTATTCCGTGATCCCATTCAAACAAGTCAGGAGCTTCGACATGCTTAATGGACCTCGAGACAGTCCGCAAGGTCACCAGTCTAGACGGACCCTGAGGTCACCCCGCAACGCAAAGCAGCTCCATGTGCCCCAAACCAACTCGAGATGAGGCCCCATTCCCCTGTATTGACTCCAGAGCCATTCCCCGTTCCCCATTCAACACGACCGGTGGCTCGACTTCCTTCAGGCCACTCCAGAGATGCCCCGAGAACACTGTCCCAAGTCTAGAGGAACACCAACTTCAGCACAGCGACTCGAGGAATGCTCCGTGTACCTCAAATCGTCTCGAGATGAGAGCTGATTCCCTGGCTTAGGCTCAAGACGTATGCCAACTTTCCAGAAGCACCTCAGGAGGAGGCTTCTCTCAGCAATAGGTATGTGGGAGGGACCCCGAATTTGCTGCCTCAAGGGGAATATACCGTGAGAAGCCCTAAATTGAAAGCAGGCCGGGTTTCCTTCCAGTGGCTTGAATACAGGCTCGTCTTTCATCTAACAACATGAAGGGATGTCTGAATCCCCTGTGGAGACCTTAGAGAAAGCCCTAGGTCCCTGCCTCATTTTGACGGAGTGCCTCACATCCCGTTGACACCTCGAGAGGCACGCGGAGTTCACTGCTTCAAAAGGTGACGATGCCTGACTCCTCTTGAATACTGATAGGAATCCCAAAATCCCTGTGGCTACTGGAAAGGGTCCTTGGGTGCCCTGCTTCACCTCGTGAAGCGTCCCTTTTGCCTTGCAAAGCCTCGAAGAGATTCCTGAGGTGTCCCTCGTTACTAGACAGGAGTCCTGACGTCACTGAAGAAACTCGTGTTTTGAAGGGCCATCCCCGCGGTAAGTCGAGAACATACCCCAGGTCCCCGCCAAAACTCGAGAAATACCATGAGACTTCCCCCTAGAGGCGAGATGAGGCCCCATTCCCCTGCAGGGCATGAAGAGCTATTCCGTGATCCCATTCAAACAAGTCAGGAGCTTCGACTTGCTTAATGGATCTCGAGACAGTCCGCAAGGTCACCAGTCTAGACGGACCCTGAGGTCACTCCAGCAACGCAAAGCAGTTCCATGTGCCCCAAATCAATTCGAGATGAGGCCCGATTCGCCTGCATTGACTCCAGAGCCATTCCCCATTCCCCATTCAACATGACCGGTGGCTCGATTTCTTTCAGGCAACTACAGAGATGCCCCGAGAACACTGTCCCAAGTCTAGAGGAACACCAACTTCTGCACAGCAACTCGAGGAATGCTCCGTGTACCCCAAATCGTCTCGAGATGAGAGCTGATTCCCTGGCTTAGGCTCAAGACGTATGCCAACTTTCCAGAAGCACCTCAAGAGGTGGCTTCTCTCAGCAATAGGTATGTGTAAAGGACCTCGAGTGTGCTGCCTCAAGGGGAATATACAGCGAGAAGCCCTAACTTGAAAGGAGGCCGGATTTCCTTGCAGTGGCTTGAATACAGGCTCGTCTTTCATCTCACAACATGAAGGGATGTCTGAATCCCCTGTGGAGACCATAGAGAAAGCCCTAGGTCCCTGCCTCATTTTGACGGAATGCCTCACATCCCGCTGACACGTCGAGAGGCACGCGGAGTTCATTGCTTCAAAAGGTGACGGTGCCTGACTCTTCTTGAATATTGATAGGAATCCCAAAATCCCTGTGGCTACTGGAAAGGGTCCTTGAGTGCCCTGCCTCACCTCGAGAAGCGTCCCTTTTGCCCTGCCAAGCCTCGAAGAGATTCCTGAGGTGTCCCTCGTTACTAGACAGGAGTCCTGACGTCACTGAATAAACACCAGTTTTGAAGGGCCATCCCTGCCGTAAGTCGAGAACATACCCCAGGTCCCCACCGCAACTCGAGAAAAACCATGAGACTTCCCCCTAGAGGCGAGGTGAGGCCCCATTCCCATGCAGTCCATGCAGAGCTATTCCGTGATCCCATTCAAACAAGTCAGGAGCTTCGACTTGCTTAATGGATCTCGAGACAGTCCCCAAGAACACTGTCACAAGTCTAGACGGACCCTGAGGTCACCCAGGCAACGCAAAGCAGCTCCATGTTCCCCAAATCAACTCGAGATGAGGCCCGATTCCCCTGCATTGACTCAAGAGCCATTTCCCGTTCCCCATTCAACACGACAGGTGGCTCGACTTCCTTCAGGCAACTCCAGAGATGCCCCGAGAACACTGTCCCAAGTCTAGAGGAACACCAACTTCAGCACAGCGACTCGAGGAATGCTCCGTGTACCCCAAATCGTCTCGAGATGAGAGCTGATTCCCTGGCTTAGGCTCAAGACGTATGCCAACTTTCCAGAAGCACCTCAAGAGGAGGATTCTCTCAGCAATAGGTATGTGGGAGGGACACCGAGTTTGCTGCCTCAAGGGGAATATACAGTGAGAAGCCCTAAATTGAAAGCAGGCCGGGTTTCCTTCCAGTGGCTTGAATACAGGCTCGTCTTTCATCTAACAACATGAAGGGATGTCTGAATGCCCTGTGGAGACCTTAGAGAAAGCCCTAGGTCCCTGGCTCATTTTGATGGAGTGCCTCACATCCCGTTGACACCTCGAGAGGCACGCGGAGCTCACTGCTTCAAAAGGTGACGAAGCCTGACTCCTCTTGAATACTGATAGGAATCCCAAAATCCCTGGGGCTACTGGAAAGGGTCCTTGGGTGCCCTGCTTCACCTCGAGAAGCGTCCCTTTTGCCTTGCAAAGCCTCGAAGAGATTCCAGAGGTGTCCCTCTTTACTAGACAGGAGTCCTGACGTCACTGAAGAAACTCGTGTTTTGAAGGGCCATCCCCGCGGTAAGTCGAGAACATACCCCAGGTCCCCGCCAAAACTCGAGAAAAACCATGAGACTTCCCCCTAGAGGCGAGCTGAGGCCCCATTCCCCTGCAGTGCATGCAGAGCTATTCCGTGATCCCATTCAAACAAGTCAGGAGCTTCGACATGCTTAATGGACCTCGAGACAGTCCGCAAGGTCACCAGTCTAGACGGACCCTGAGGTCACCCCGCAACGCAAAGCAGCTCCATGTGCCCCAAACCAACTCGAGATGAGGCCCCATTCCCCTGTATTGACTCCAGAGCCATTCCCCGTTCCCCATTCAACACGACCGGTGGCTCGACTTCCTTCAGGCCACTCCAGAGATGCCCCGAGAACACTGTCCCAAGTCTAGAGGAACACCAACTTCAGCACAGCGACTCGAGGAATGCTCCGTGTACCTCAAATCGTCTCGAGATGAGAGCTGATTCCCTGGCTTAGGCTCAAGACGTATGCCAACTTTCCAGAAGCACCTCAGGAGGAGGCTTCTCTCAGCAATAGGTATGTGGGAGGGACCCCGAATTTGCTGCCTCAAGGGGAATATACCGTGAGAAGCCCTAAATTGAAAGCAGGCCGGGTTTCCTTCCAGTGGCTTGAATACAGGCTCGTCTTTCATCTAACAACATGAAGGGATGTCTGAATCCCCTGTGGAGACCTTAGAGAAAGCCCTAGGTCCCTGCCTCATTTTGACGGAGTGCCTCACATCCCGTTGACACCTCGAGAGGCACGCGGAGTTCACTGCTTCAAAAGGTGACGATGCCTGACTCCTCTTGAATACTGATAGGAATCCCAAAATCCCTGTGGCTACTGGAAAGGGTCCTTGGGTGCCCTGCTTCACCTCGGGAAGCGTCCCTTTTGCCTTGCAAAGCCTCGAAGAGATTCCTGAGGTGTCCCTCGTTACTAGACAGGAGTCCTGACGTCACTGAAGAAACTCGTGTTTTGAAGGGCCATCCCCGCGGTAAGTCGAGAACATACCCCAGGTCCCCGCCAAAACTCGAGAAATACCATGAGACTTCCCCCTAGAGGCGAGATGAGGCCCCATTCCCCTGCAGGGCATGAAGAGCTATTCCGTGATCCCATTCAAACAAGTCAGGAGCTTCGACTTGCTTAATGGATCTCGAGACAGTCCGCAAGGTCACCAGTCTAGACGGACCCTGAGGTCACTCCAGCAACGCAAAGCAGTTCCATGTGCCCCAAATCAATTCGAGATGAGGCCCGATTCGCCTGCATTGACTCCAGAGCCATTCCCCATTCCCCATTCAACATGACCGGTGGCTCGATTTCTTTCAGGCAACTACAGAGATGCCCCGAGAACACTGTCCCAAGTCTAGAGGAACACCAACTTCTGCACAGCAACTCGAGGAATGCTCCGTGTACCCCAAATCGTCTCGAGATGAGAGCTGATTCCCTGGCTTAGGCTCAAGACGTATGCCAACTTTCCAGAAGCACCTCAAGAGGTGGCTTCTCTCAGCAATAGGTATGTGTAAAGGACCTCGAGTTTGCTGCCTCAAGGGGAATATACAGCGAGAAGCCCTAACTTGAAAGGAGGCCGGATTTCCTTGCAGTGGCTTGAATACAGGCTCGTCTTTCATCTCACAACATGAAGGGATGTCTGAATCCCCTGTGGAGACCATAGAGAAAGCCCTAGGTCCCTGCCTCATTTTGACGGAATGCCTCACATCCCGCTGACACGTCGAGAGGCACGCGGAGTTCATTGCTTCAAAAGGTGACGGTGCCTGACTCTTCTTGAATATTGATAGGAATCCCAAAATCCCTGTGGCTACTGGAAAGGGTCCTTGAGTGCCCTGCCTCACCTCGAGAAGCGTCCCTTTTGCCCTGCCAAGCCTCGAAGAGATTCCTGAGGTGTCCCTCGTTACTAGACAGGAGTCCTGACGTCACTGAATAAACACCAGTTTTGAAGGGCCATCCCTGCCGTAAGTCGAGAACATACCCCAGGTCCCCACCGCAACTCGAGAAAAACCATGAGACTTCCCCCTAGAGGCGAGGTGAGGCCCCATTCCCATGCAGTGCATGCAGACCTATTCCGTGATCCCATTCAAACAAGTCAGGAGCTTCGACTTGCTTAATGGATCTCGAGACAGTCCCCAAGAACACTGTCACAAGTCTAGACGGACCCTGAGGTCACCCAGGCAACGCAAAGCAGCCCCATGTGCCGCAAATCAACTCGAGATGAGACCCGATTCCCCTGCAATGACTCCAGAGCCATTCCCCTTTCCCCATTCAACACGACAGGTGGCTCGACTTCCTTCAGGCAACTCCAGAGATGCCCCGAAAACACTGTCCCAAGTCTAGAGGAACACCAACTTCAGCACAGCGACTCGAGGAATGCTCCGTGTATCCCAAATCGTCTCGAGATGAGAGCTGATTCCCTGGCTTAGGCTCAAGACGTATGCCAACTTTCCAGAAGCACCTCAAGAGGAGGATTCTCTCAGCAATAGGTATGTGGGAGGGACACCGAGTTTGCTGCCTCAAGGGGAATATACAGTGAGAAGCCCTAAATTGAAAGCAGGCCGGGTTTCCTTGCAGTGGCTTGAATACAGGCTCGTCTTTCATCTAACAACATGAAGGGATGTCTGAATGCCCTGTGGAGACCTTAGAGAAAGCCCTAGGTCCCTGGCTCATTTTGACGGAGTGCCTCACATCCCGTTGGCACCTCGAGAGGCACGCGAAGCTCACTGCTTCAAAAGGTGACGAAGCCTGACTCCTCTTGAATACTGATAGGAATCCCAAAATCCCTGTGGCTACTGGAAAGGGTCCTTGGGTGCCCTGCCTCACCTCGAGAAGCGTCCCTTTTGCCTTGCAAAGCCTCGAAGAGATTCCTGAGGTGTCCCTCGTTACTAGACAGGAGTCCTGACGTCACTGAAGAAACTCGTGTTTTGAAGGGCCATCCCCGCGGTAAGTCGAGAACATACCCCAGGTCCCCGCCAAAACTCGAGAAAAACCATGAGACTTCCCCCTAGAGGCGAGCTGAGGCCCCATTCCCCTGCAGTGCATGCAGAGCTATTCCGTGATCCCATTCAAACAAGTCAGGAGCTTCGACATGCTTAATGGATCTCGAGACAGTCCGCAAGGTCACCAGTCTAGACGGACCCTGAGGTCACCCCGCAACGCAAAGCAGCTCCATGTGCCCCAAACCAACTCGAGATGAGGCCCCATTCCCCTGCATTGACTCCAGAGCCATTCCCCGTTCCCCATTCAACATGACCGGTGGCTCGATTTCTTTCAGGAAACTACAGAGATGCCCCGAGAACACTGTACCAAGTCTAGAGGAACACCAACTTCAGCACAGCAACTCGAGGAATGCTCCGTGTACCCCAAATCGTCTCGAGATGAGAGCTGATTCCCTGGCTTAGGCTCAAGACGTATGCCAACTTTCCAGAAGCACCTCAAGAGGTGGCTTCTCTCAGCAATAGGTATGTGTAAAGGACCTCGAGTGTGCTGCCTCAAGGGGAATATACAGCGAGAAGCCCTAACTTGAAAGGAGGCCGGATTTCCTTACAGTGGCTTGAATACAGGCTCGTCTTTCATCTCACAACATGAAGCGATGTCTGAATCCCCTGTGGAGACCATAGAGAAAGCCCTAGGTCCCTGCCTCATTTTGACGGAATGCCTCACATCCCGCTTACACGTCGAGAGGCACGCGGAGTTCATTGCTTCAAAAGGTGACGGTGCCTGACTCTTCTTCAATACTGATAGGAATCCCAAAATCCCTGTGGCTATTGGAAAGGGTCCTTGAGTGCCCTGCCTCACCTCGAGAAGCGTCCCTTTTGCCCTGCCAAGCCTCGAAGAGATTCCTGAGGTGTCCCTCGTTACTAGACAGGAGTCCTGACGTCACTGAATAAACACCAGTTTTGAAGGGCCATCCCTGCCGTAAGTCGAGAACATACCCCAGGTCCCCACCGCAACTCGAGAAAATCCATGAGACTTCCCCCTAGAGGCGAGGTGTGGCCCCATTCCCATGCAGTCCATGCAGAGCTATTCCGTGATCCCATTCAAACAAGTCAGGAGCTTCGACTTGCTTAATGGATCTCGAGGCAGTCCCCAAGAACACTGTCACAAGTCTAGACGGACCCTGAGGTCACCCAGGCAACGCAAAGCAGCTCCATGTGCCCCAAATCAACTCGAGATGAGGCCCGATTCCCCTGCATTGACTCCAGAGCCATTCCCCGTTCCCCATTCAACACGACAGGTGGCTCGACTTCCTTCAGGCAACTCCAGAGATACCCCGAGAACACTGTCCCAAGTCTAGAGGAACACCAACCTCAGCACAGCGACTCGAGGAATGCTCCGTGTACCCCAAATCGTCTCGAGATGAGAGCTGATTCCCTGGCTTAGGCTCAAGACGTATGCCAACTTTCCAGAAGCACCTCAGGAGGAGGATTCTCTCAGCAATAGGTATGTGGGAGGGACACCGAGTTTGCTGCCTCAAGGGGAATATACAGTGAGAAGCCCTAAATTGAAAGCAGGCCGGGTTTCCTTGCAGTGGCTTGAATACAGGCTCGTCTTTCATCTAACAACATGAAGGGATGTCTGAATCCCCTGTGGAGACCTTAGAGAAAGCCCTAGGTCCCTGCCTCATTTTGACGGAGTGCCTCACATCCCGTTGACACCTCGAGAGGCACGCGGAGTTCACTGCTTCAAAAGGTGACGATGCCTGACTCCTCTTGAATACTGATAGGAATCCCAAAATCCCTGTGGCTACTGGAAAGGGTCCTTGGGTGCCCTGCTTCACCTCGAGAAGCGTCCCTTTTGCCTTGCAAAGCCTCGAAGAGATTCCTGAGGTGTCCCTCGTTACTAGACAGGAGTCCTGACGTCACTGAAGAAACTCGTGTTTTGAAGGGCCATCCCCGCGGTAAGTCGAGAACATATCCCAGGTCCCCGCAAAACTCGAGAAAAACCATGAGACTTCCCCCTAGAGGCGAGATGAGGCCCCATTCCCCTGCAGGGCATGCAGAGCTATTCCGTGATCCCATTCAAACAAGTCAGGAGCTTCGACTTGCTTAATGGATCTCGAGACAGTCCGCAAGGTCACAAGTCAAGACGGACCCTGAGGTCACCCCGCAACGCAAAGCAGCTCCATGTGCCCCAAACCAACTCGAGATGAGGCCCCATTCCCCTGCATTGACTCCAGAGCCATTCCCCGTTCCCCATTCAACATGACCGGTGGCTCGATTTCTTTCAGGAAACTACAGAGATGCCCCGAGAACACTGTCCCAAGTCTAGAGGAACACCAACTTCAGCACAGCAACTCGAGGAATGCTCCGTGTACCCCAAATCGTCTCGAGATGAGAGCTGATTCCCTGGCTTAGGCTCAAGACGTATGCCAACTTTCCAGAAGCACCTCAAGAGGTGGCTTCTCTCAGCAATAGGTATGTGTAAAGGACCTCGAGTGTGCTGCCTCAAGGGGAATATACAGCGAGAAGCCCTAACTTGAAAGGAGGCCGGATTTCCTTGCAGTGGCTTGAATACAGGCTCGTCTTTCATCTCACAACATGAAGGGATGTCTGAATCCCCTGTGGAGACCATAGAGAAAGCCCTAGGTCCCTGCCTCATTTTGACGGAATGCCTCACATCCCGCTTACACGTCGAGAGGCACGCGGAGTTCATTGCTTCAAAAGGTGACGGTGCCTGACTCTTCTTGAATACTGATAGGAATCCCAAAATCCCTGTGGCTACTGGAAAGGGTCGTTGAGTGCCCTGCCTCACCTCGAGAAGCGTCCCTTTTGCCCTGCCAAGCCTCGAAGAGATTCCTGAGGTGTCCCTCGTTACTAGACAGGAGTCCTGACGTCACTGAATAAACACCAGTTTTGAAGGGCCATCCCTGCCGTAAGTTGAGAACATACCCCAGGTCCCCACCGCAACTCGAGAAAAACCATGAGACTTCCCCCTAGAGGCGAGGTGTGGCCCCATTCCCATGCAGTCCATGCAGAGCTATTCCGTGATCCCATTCAAACAAGTCAGGAGCTTCGACTTGCTTAATGGATCTCGAGGCAGTCCCCAAGAACACTGTCACAAGTCTAGACGGACCCTGAGGTCACCCAGGCAACGCAAAGCAGCTCCCTGTGCCCCAAATCAACTCGAGATGAGGCCCGATTCCCCTGCATTGACTCCAGAGCCATTCCCCTTTCCCCATTCAACACGACAGGTGGCTCGACTTCCTTCAGGCAACTCCAGAGATACCCCGAGAACACTGTCCCAAGTCTAGAGGAACACCAACTTCAGCACAGCAACTCGAGGAATGCTCCGTGTACCCCAAATCGTCTCGAGATGAGAGCTGATTCCCTGGCTTAGGCTCAAGACGTATGCCAACTTTCCAGAAGCACCTCAAGAGGAGGATTCTCTCAGCAATAGGTATGTGGGAGGGACACCGAGTTTGCTGCCTCAAGGGGAATATACAGTGAGAAGCCCTAAATTGAAAGCAGGCCGGGTTTCCTTCAAGTGGCTTGAATACAGGCTCGTCTTTCATCTAACAACATGAAGGGATGTCTGAATCCCCTGTGGAGACCTTAGAGAAAGCCCTAGGTCACTGCCTCATTTTGACGGAGTGCCTCACATCCCATTGACACCTCGAGAGGCACGCGGAGTTCACTTCTTCAAATGGTGACGATGCCTGACTCCTCTTGAATACTGATAGGAATCCCAAAATCCCTGTTGCTACTGGAAAGGGTCCTTGGGTGCCCTGCTTCACCTCGAGAAGCGTCCCTTTTGCCCTGCAAAGCCTCGAAGAGATTCCTGAGGTGTCCCTCGTTACTAGACAGGAGTCCTGAAGTCACTGAAGAAACTCATGTTTTGAAGGGCCATCCCCGCGGTAAGTCGAGAACATAGCCCAGGTCCCCGCCAAAACTCGAGAAAAACCATGAGACTTCCCCCTAGAGGCGAGATGAGGCCCCATTCCCCTGCAGTGCATGCAGAGCTATTCCATGATCCCATTCAAACAAGTCAGGAGCTTCGACATGCTTAATGGATCTCGAGACAGTCCGCAAGGTCACCAGTCTAGACGGACCCTGAAGTCACCCCGCAACGCAAAGCAGCTCCATGTGCCCCAAACCAACTCGAGATGAGGCCCCATTCCACTGCATTGACTCCAGAGCCATTCCCCGTTCCCCATTCAACACGACCGGTGGCTCGACTTCCTTCAGGCCACTCAAGAGATGCCCCGAGAACACTGTCCCAAGTCTAGAGGAACACCAACTTCAGCACAGCGATTCGAGGAATGTTCCGTGTACCTCAAATCGTCTCGAGATGAGAGCTGTTTCCCTGGCTTAGGCTCAAGACGTATGCCAACTTTCCAGAAGCACCTCAAGAGGTTGCTTCTCTCAGCAATAGGTATGTGGGAAGGACCCCGAGTTTGCTGCCTCAAGGGGAATATACAGCGAGAAGCCCTAACTTGAAAGGAGGCCTGATTTCCTTGCAGTGGCTTGAATACAGGCTCGTCTTTGATCTCACAACATGAAGGGATGTCTGAATCCCCTGTGGAGACCATAGAGAAAGCCCTAGGTCCCTGCCTCATTTTGACGGAATGCCTCACATCCCGCTGACACCTCGAGAGGCACGCGGAGTTCATTGCTTCAAAAGGTGACGGTGCCTGACTCTTCTTTAATACTGATAGGAATCCCAAAATCCCTGTGGCTACTGGAAAGGTTCCTAGAGTGCCTTGCCTCACCTCGAGAAGCGTCCCTTTTGCCCTGCCAAGCCTCGAAGAGATTCCTGAGGTGTCCCTCGTTACTAGACAGGAGTCCTGACGTCACTGAATAAACACCAGTTTTGAAGGGCCATCCCTGCCGTAAGTCGAGAACATACCCCAGGTCCCCACCGCAACTCGAGAAAAACCATGAGACTTCCCCCTAGAGGCGAGGTGAGGCCCCATTCCCATGCAGTGCATGCAGAGCTATTCCGTGATCCCATTCAAACAAGTCAGGAGCTTCGACTTGCTTAATGGATCTCGAGACAGTCCCCAAGAACACTGTCACAAGTCTAGACGGACCCTGAGGTCACCCAGGCAACGCAAAGCAGCTCCATGTGCCCCAAATCAACTCGAGATGAGGCCCGCTTCCCCTGCATTGACTCCAGAGCCATTCCCTGTTCCCCATTCAACACGACAGTTGGCTCGACTTCCTTCAGGCAACTCCAGAGATGCCCCGAGAACACTGTCCCAAGTCTAGAGGAACACCAACTTCAGCACAGCGACTCGAGGAATGCTCCGTGTACACCAAATCGTCTCGAGATGAGAGCTGATTCCCTGGCTTAGGCTCAAGACGTATGCCAACTTTCCAGAAGCACCTCAAGAGGAGGATTCTCTCAGCAATAGTTATGTGGGAGGGACACCGAGTTTGCTGCCTCAAGGGGAATATACAGTGAGAAGCCCTAAATTGAAAGCAGGCCTTGTTTCCTTACAGTGGCTTGAATACAGGCTCGTCTTTCATCTAACAACATGAAGGGATGTCTGAATCAACTGTGGAGACCTTAGAGAAAGCCCTAGGTCCCTGCCTCATTTTGACGGAGTGCCTCACATCCCGTTGACACCTCGTGAGGCACGCGGAGTTCACTGCTTCAAAAGGTAACGATGCCTGACTGCTCTTGAATACTGATAGGAATCCCAAAATCCCTGTGGCTACTGGAATGGGTCCTTGGGTGCCCTGCTTCACCTCGAGAAGCGTCCCTTTTGCCTTGCAAAGCCTCGAAGAGATTCCTGAGGTGTCCCTCGTTACTAGACAGGAGTCCTGACGTCACTGAAGAAACTCGTGTTTTGAAGGGCCATCCCCGCGGTAAGTCGAGAACATACCCCAGGTCCCCGCCAAAACTCGAGAAAAACCATGAGACTTCCCCCTAGAGGCGAGATGAGGCCCCATTCCCCTGCAGGGCATGCAGAGCTATTCCGTGATCCCATTCAAACAAGTCAGGAGCTTCGACTTGCTTAATGGATCTCGAGACAGTCCGCAAGGTCACCAGTCTAGACGGACCCTGAGGTCACTCCAGCAACGCAAAGCAGTTCCATGTGCCCCAAATCAATTCGAGATGAGGAACGATTCGCCTGCATTGATTCCAGAGCCATTCCCCGTTCCCCATTCAACATGACCGGTGGCTCGATTTCTTTCAGGCAACTACAGAGATGCCCCGAGAACACTGTCCCAAGTCTAGAGGAACACCAACTTCAGCACAGCAACTCGAGGAATGCTCCGTGTACCCCAAATCGTCTCGAGATGAGAGCTGATTCCCTGGCTTAGGCTCAAGACGTATGCCAACTTTCCAGAAGCACCTCAAGAGGTTGCTTCTCTCAGCAATAGGTATGTGGGAAGGACCCCGAGTTTGCTGCCTCAAGGGGAATATACAGCGAGAAGCCCTAACTTGAAAGGAGGCCGGATTTCCTTGCAGTGGCTTGAATACAGGCTCGTCTTTCATCTCACAACATGAAGGGATGTCTGAATCCCCTGTGGAGACCTTAGAGAAAGCCCTAGGTCCCTGCCTCATTTTGACGGAGTGCCTCACATCCCGTTGACACCTCGAGAGGCACGCGGAGTTCACTGCTTCAAAAGGTGACGATGCCTGACTCCTCTTGAATACTGATAGGAATCCCAAAATCCCTGTGGCTACTGGAAAGGGTCCTTGGGTGCCCTGCTTCACCTCGAGAAGCGTCCCTTTTGCCTTGCAAAGCCTCGAAGAGATTCCTGAGGTGTCCCTCGTTACTAGACAGGAGTCCTGACGTCACTGAAGAAACTCGTGTTTTGAAGGGCCATCCCCGCGGTAAGTCGAGAACATATCCCAGGTCCCCGCCAAAACTCGAGAAAAACCATGAGACTTCCCCCTAGAGGCGAGATGAGGCCCCATTCCCCTGCAGGGCATGCAGAGCTATTCCGTGATCCCATTCAAACAAGTCAGGAGCTTCGACTTGCTTAATGGATCTCGAGACAGTCCGCAAGGTCACCAGTCTAGACGGACCCTGAGGTCACTCCAGCAACGCAAAGCAGCTCCATGTGCCCCAAATCAATTCGAGATGAGGCCCGATTCGCCTGCATTGACTCCAGAGCCATTCCCCGTTCCCCATTCAACATGACCGGTGGCTCGATTTCTTTCAGGAAACTACAGAGATGCCCCGAGAACACTCTCCCAAGTCTAGAGGAACACCAACTTCAGCACAGCAACTCGAGGAATGCTCCGTGTACCCCAAATCGTCTCGAGATGAGAGCTGATTCCCTGGCTTAGGCTCAAGACGTATGCCAACTTTCCAGAAGCACCTCAAGAGGTGGCTTCTCTCAGCAATAGGTATGTGGGAAGGACCCCGAGTTTGCTGTCTCAAGGGGAATATACAGCGAGAAGCCCTAACTTGAAAGGAGGCCATATTTCCTTGCAGTGGCTTGAATACAGCCTCGTCTTTCATCTCACAACATGAAGGGATGTCTGAATCCCCTGTGGAGACCATAGAGAAAGCCCTAGGTCCCTGCCTCATTTTGACGGAATGCCTCACATCACGCTGACACCTCGAGAGGCACGCGGAGTTCATTGCTTCAAAAGGTGACGGTTCCTGACTCTACTTGAATACTGATAGGAATCCCAAAATCCCTGTGGCTACTGGAAAGGGTCCTTGAGTGCCCTGCCTCACCTCGAGAAGCATCCCTTTTGCCCTGCCAAGCCTCGAAGTGATACCTGAGGTGTCCCTCGTTACTAGACAGGAGTCCTGACATCACTGAATAAACACGAGTTTTGAAGGGCCATCCCTGCCGTAAGTCGAGAACATACACCAGGTCCGTACCGCAACTCGAGAAAAACCATGAGACTTCCCCCTAGAGGCGAGGTGAGGCCCCATTCCCATGCAGTGCATGCAGAGCTATTCCGTGATCCCATTCAAACAAGTCAGGAGCTTCGACTTGCTTAATGGATCTCGAGACAGTCCCCAAGAACACTGTCACAAGTCTAGACGGACCCTGAGGTCACCCAGGCAACGCAAAGCAGCTCCATGTTCCCCAAATCAACTCGAGATGAGGCCCGATTCCCCTGCATTGACTCCAGAGCCATTTCCCGTTCCCCATTCAACACGACAGGTGGCTCGACTTCCTTCAGGCAACTCCAGAGATGCCCCGAGAACACTGTCCCAAGTCTAGAGGAACACCAACTTCAGCACAGCGACTCGAGGAATGCTCCGTGTACCCCAAATCGTCTCGAGATGAGAGCTGATTCCCTGGCTTAGGCTCAAGACGTATGCCAACTTTCCAGAAGCACCTCAAGAGGAGGATTCTCTCAGCAATAGGTATGTGGGAGGGACACCGAGTTTGCTGCCTCAAGGGGAATATACAGTGAGAAGCCCTAAATTGAAAGCAGGACGGGTTTCCTTCCAGTGGCTTGAATACAGGCTCGTCTTTCATCTAACAACATGAAGGGATGTCTGAATGCCCTGTGGAGACCTTAGAGAAAGCCCTAGGTCCCTGGCTCATTTTGACGGAGTGCCTCACATCCCGTTGACACCTCGAGAGGCACGCGGAGCTCACTGCTTCAAAAGGTGACGAAGCCTGACTCCTCTTGAATACTGATAGGAATCCCAAAATCCCTGTGGCTACTGGAAAGGGTCCTTGGGTGCCCTGCTTCACCTCGAGAAGCGTCCCTTTTGCCTTGCAAAGCCTCGAAGAGATTCCAGAGGTGTCCCTCTTTACTAGACAGGAGTCCTGACGTCACTGAAGAAACTCGTGTTTTGAAGGGCCATCCCCGCGGTAAGTCGAGAACATACCCCAGGTCCCCGCCAAAACTCGAGAAAAACCATGAGACTTCCCCCTAGAGGCGAGCTGAGGCCCCATTCCCCTGCAGTGCATGCAGAGCTATTCCGTGATCCCATTCAAACAAGTCAGGAGCTTCGACATGCTTAATGGACCTCGAGACAGTCCGCAAGGTCACCAGTCTAGACGGACCCTGAGGACACCCCGCAACGCAAAGCAGCTCCATGTGCCCCAAACCAACTCGAGATGAGGCCCCATTCCCCTGTATTGACTCCAGAGCCATTCCCCGTTCCCCATTCAACACGACCGGTGGCTCGACTTCCTTCAGGCCACTCCAGAGATGCCCCGAGAACACTGTCCCAAGTCTAGAGGAACACCAACTTCAGCACAGCGACTCGAGGAATGCTCCGTGTACCTCAAATCGTCTCGAGATGAGAGCTGATTCCCTGGCTTAGGCTCAAGACGTATGCCAACTTTCCAGAAGCACCTCAGGAGGAGGCTTCTCTCAGCAATAGGTATGTGGGAGGGACCCCGAATTTGCTGCCTCAAGGGGAATATACCGTGAGAAGCCCTAAATTGAAAGCAGGCCGGGTTTCCTTCCAGTGGCTTGAATACAGGCTCGTCTTTCATCTAACAACATGAAGGGATGTCTGAATCCCCTGTGGAGACCTTAGAGAAAGCCCTAGGTCCCTGCCTCATTTTGACGGAGTGCCTCACATCCCGTTGACACCTCGAGAGGCACGCGGAGTTCACTGCTTCAAAAGGTGACGATGCCTGACTCCTCTTGAATACTGATAGGAATCCCAAAATCCCTGTGGCTACTGGAAAGGGTCCTTGGGTGCCCTGCTTCACCTCGTGAAGCGTCCCTTTTGCCTTGCAAAGACTCGAAGAGATTCCTGAGGTGTCCCTCGTTAATAGACAGGAGTCCTGACGTCACTGAAGAAACTCGTGTTTTGAAGGGCCATCCCCGCGGTAAGTCGAGAACATACCCCAGGTCCCCGCCAAAACTCGAGAAATACCATGAGACTTCCCCCTAGAGGCGAGATGAGGCCCCATTCCCCTGCAGGGCATGAAGAGCTATTCCGTGATCCCATTCAAACAAGTCAGGAGCTTCGACTTGCTTAATGGATCTCGAGACAGTCCGCAAGGTCACCAGTCTAGACGGACCCTGAGGTCACTCCAGCAACGCAATGCAGTTCCATGTGCCCCAAATCAATTCGAGATGAGGCCCGATTCGCCTGCATTGACTCCAGAGCCATTCCCCGTTCCCCATTCAACATGACCGGTGGCTCGATTTCTTTCAGGCAACTACAGAGATGCCCCGAGAACACTGTCCCAAGTCTAGAGGAACACCAACTTCTGCACAGCAACTCGAGGAATGCTCCGTGTACCCCAAATCGTCTCGAGATGAGAGCTGATTCCCTGGCTTAGGCTCAAGACGTATGCCAAATTTCCAGAAGCACCTCAAGAGGTGGCTTCTCTCAGCAATAGGTATGTGTAAAGGACCTCGAGTTTGCTGCCTCAAGGGGAATATACAGCGAGAAGCCCTAACTTGAAAGGAGGCCGGATTTCCTTGCAGTGGCTTGAATACAGGCTCGTCTTTCATCTCACAACATGAAGGGATGTCTGAATCCCCTGTGGAGACCATAGAGAAAGCCCTAGGTCCCTGCCTCATTTTGACGGAATGCCTCACATCCCGCTGACACCTCGAGAGGCACGCGGAGTTCATTGCTTCAAAAGGTGACGGTGCCTGACTCTTCTTGAATACTGATAGGAATCCCAAAATCCCTGTGGCTACTGGAAAGGGTCCTTGAGTGCCCTGCCTCACCTCGAGAAGCGTCCCTTTTGCCCTGCCAAGCCTCGAAGAGATTCCTGAGGTGTCCCTCGTTACTAGACAGGAGTCCTGACGTCACTGAATAAACACCAGTTTTGAAGGGCCATCCCTGCCGTAAGTCGAGAACATACCCCAGGTCCCCACCGCAACTCGAGAAAAACCATGAGACTTCCCCCTAGAGGCGAGGTGAGGCCCCATTCCCATGCAGTGCATGCAGACCTATTCCGTGATCCCATTCAAACAAGTCAGGAGCTTCGACTTGCTTAATGGATCTCGAGACAGTCCCCAAGAACACTGTCACAAGTCTAGACGGACCCTGAGGTCACCCAGGCAACGCAAAGCAGCTCCATGTTCCCCAAATCAACTCGAGATGAGGCCCGATTCCCCTGCATTGACTCCAGAGCCATTTCCCGTTCCCCATTCAACACGACAGGTGGCTCGACTTCCTTCAGGCAACTCCAGAGATGCCCCGAGAACACTGTCCCAAGTCTAGAGGAACACCAACTTCAGCACAGCGACTCGAGGAATGCTCCGTGTACCCCAAATCGTCTCGAGATGAGAGCTGATTCCCTGGCTTAGGCTCAAGACGTATGCCAACTTTCCAGAAGCACCTCAAGAGGAGGATTCTCTCAGCAATAGGTATGTGGGAGGGACACCGAGTTTGCTGCCTCAAGGGGAATATACAGTGAGAAGCCCTAAATTGAAAGCAGGACGGGTTTCCTTCCAGTGGCTTGAATACAGGCTCGTCTTTCATCTAACAACATGAAGGGATGTCTGAATGCCCTGTGGAGACCTTAGAGAAAGCCCTAGGTCCCTGGCTCATTTTGACGGAGTGCCTCACATCCCGTTGACACCTCGAGAGGCACGCGGAGCTCACTGCTTCAAAAGGTGACGAAGCCTGACTCCTCTTGAATACTGATAGGAATCCCAAAATCCCTGTGGCTACTGGAAAGGGTCCTTGGGTGCCCTGCTTCACCTCGAGAAGCGTCCCTTTTGCCTTGCAAAGCCTCGAAGAGATTCCAGAGGTGTCCCTCTTTACTAGACAGGAGTCCTGACGTCACTGAAGAAACTCGTGTTTTGAAGGGCCATCCCCGCGGTAAGTCGAGAACATACCCCAGGTCCCCGCCAAAACTCGAGAAAAACCATGAGACTTCCCCCTAGAGGCGAGCTGAGGCCCCATTCCCCTGCAGTGCATGCAGAGCTATTCCGTGATCCCATTCAAACAAGTCAGGAGCTTCGACATGCTTAATGGACCTCGAGACAGTCCGCAAGGTCACCAGTCTAGACGGACCCTGAGGACACCCCGCAACGCAAAGCAGCTCCATGTGCCCCAAACCAACTCGAGATGAGGCCCCATTCCCCTGTATTGACTCCAGAGCCATTCCCCGTTCCCCATTCAACACGACCGGTGGCTCGACTTCCTTCAGGCCACTCCAGAGATGCCCCGAGAACACTGTCCCAAGTCTAGAGGAACACCAACTTCAGCACAGCGACTCGAGGAATGCTCCGTGTACCTCAAATCGTCTCGAGATGAGAGCTGATTCCCTGGCTTAGGCTCAAGACGTATGCCAACTTTCCAGAAGCACCTCAGGAGGAGGCTTCTCTCAGCAATAGGTATGTGGGAGGGACCCCGAATTTGCTGCCTCAAGGGGAATATACCGTGAGAAGCCCTAAATTGAAAGCAGGCCGGGTTTCCTTCCAGTGGCTTGAATACAGGCTCGTCTTTCATCTAACAACATGAAGGGATGTCTGAATCCCCTGTGGAGACCTTAGAGAAAGCCCTAGGTCCCTGCCTCATTTTGACGGAGTGCCTCACATCCCGTTGACACCTCGAGAGGCACGCGGAGTTCACTGCTTCAAAAGGTGACGATGCCTGACTCCTCTTGAATACTGATAGGAATCCCAAAATCCCTGTGGCTACTGGAAAGGGTCCTTGGGTGCCCTGCTTCACCTCGTGAAGCGTCCCTTTTGCCTTGCAAAGCCTCGAAGAGATTCCTGAGGTGTCCCTCGTTACTAGACAGGAGTCCTGACGTCACTGAAGAAACTCGTGTTTTGAAGGGCCATCCCCGCGGTAAGTCGAGAACATACCCCAGGTCCCCGCCAAAACTCGAGAAATACCATGAGACTTCCCCCTAGAGGCGAGATGAGGCCCCATTCCCCTGCAGGGCATGAAGAGCTATTCCGTGATCCCATTCAAACAAGTCAGGAGCTTCGACTTGCTTAATGGATCTCGAGACAGTCCGCAAGGTCACCAGTCTAGACGGACCCTGAGGTCACTCCAGCAACGCAAAGCAGTTCCATGTGCCCCAAATCAATTCGAGATGAGGCCCGATTCGCCTGCATTGACTCCAGAGCCATTCCCCGTTCCCCATTCAACATGACCGGTGGCTCGATTTCTTTCAGGCAACTACAGAGATGCCCCGAGAACACTGTCCCAAGTCTAGAGGAACACCAACTTCTGCACAGCAACTCGAGGAATGCTCCGTGTACCCCAAATCGTCTCGAGATGAGAGCTGATTCCCTGGCTTAGGCTCAAGACGTATGCCAAATTTCCAGAAGCACCTCAAGAGGTGGCTTCTCTCAGCAATAGGTATGTGTAAAGGACCTCGAGTTTGCTGCCTCAAGGGGAATATACAGCGAGAAGCCCTAACTTGAAAGGAGGCCGGATTTCCTTGCAGTGGCTTGAATACAGGCTCGTCTTTCATCTCACAACATGAAGGGATGTCTGAATCCCCTGTGGAGACCATAGAGAAAGCCCTAGGTCCCTGCCTCATTTTGACGGAATGCCTCACATCCCGCTGACACCTCGAGAGGCACGCGGAGTTCATTGCTTCAAAAGGTGACGGTGCCTGACTCTTCTTGAATACTGATAGGAATCCCAAAATCCCTGTGGCTACTGGAAAGGGTCCTTGAGTGCCCTGCCTCACCTCGAGAAGCGTCCCTTTTGCCCTGCCAAGCCTCGAAGAGATTCCTGAGGTGTCCCTCGTTACTAGACAGGAGTCCTGACGTCACTGAATAAACACCAGTTTTGAAGGGCCATCCCTGCCGTAAGTCGAGAACATACCCCAGGTCCCCACCGCAACTCGAGAAAAACCATGAGACTTCCCCCTAGAGGCGAGGTGAGGCCCCATTCCCATGCAGTGCATGCAGACCTATTCCGTGATCCCATTCAAACAAGTCAGGAGCTTCGACTTGCTTAATGGATCTCGAGACAGTCCCCAAGAACACTGTCACAAGTCTAGACGGACCCTGAGGTCACCCAGGCAACGCAAAGCAGCCCCATGTGCCGCAAATCAACTCGAGATGAGACCCGATTCCCCTGCAATGACTCCAGAGCCATTCCCCTTTCCCCATTCAACACGACAGGTGGCTCGACTTCCTTCAGGCAACTCCAGAGATGCCCCGAAAACACTGTCCCAAGTCTGGAGGAACACCAACTTCAGCACAGCGACTCGAGGAATGCTCCGTGTACCCCAAATCGTCTCGAGATGAGAGCTGATTCCCTGGCTTAGGCTCAAGACGTATGCCAACTTTCCAGAAGCACCTCAAGAGGAGGATTCTCTCAGCAATAGGTATGTGGGAGGGACACCGAGTTTGCTGCCTCAAGGGGAATATACAGTGAGAAGCCCTAAATTGAAAGCAGGCCGGGTTTCCTTGCAGTGGCTTGAATACAGGCTCGTCTTTCATCTAACAACATGAAGGGATGTCTGAATGCCCTGTGGAGACCTTAGAGAAAGCCCTAGGTCCCTGGCTCATTTTGACGGAGTGCCTCACATCCCGTTGACACCTCGAGAGGCACGCGAAGCTCACTGCTTCAAAAGGTGACGAAGCCTGACTCCTCTTGAATACTGATAGGAATCCCAAAATCCCTGTGGCTACTGGAAAGGGTCCTTGGGTGCCCTGCCTCACCTCGAGAAGCGTCCCTTTTGCCTTGCAAAGCCTCGAAGAGATTCCTGAGGTGTCCCTCGTTACTAGACAGGAGTCCTGACGTCACTGAAGAAACTCGTGTTTTGAAGGGCCATCCCCGCGGTAAGTCGAGAACATACCCCAGGTCCCCGCCAAAACTCGAGAAAAACCATGAGACTTCCCCCTAGAGGCGAGCTGAGGCCCCATTCCCCTGCAGTGCATGCAGAGCTATTCCGTGATCCCATTCAAACAAGTCAGGAGCTTCGACATGCTTAATGGATCTCGAGACAGTCCGCAAGGTCACCAGTCTAGACGGACCCTGAGGTCACCCCGCAACACAAAGCAGCTCCATGTGCCCCAAACCAACTCGAGATGAGGCCCCATTCCCCTGCATTGACTCCAGAGCCATTCCCCGTTCCCCATTCAACACGACCGGTGGCTCGCCTTCCTTCAGGCCACTCAAGAGATGCCCCGAGAACACTGTCCGAAGTCTAGAGGAACACCAACTTCAGCACAGCGACTCGAGGAATGTTCCGTGTACCTCAAATCGTCTCGAGATGAGAGCTGATTCCCTGGCTTAGGCTCAAGACGTATGCCAACTTTCCAGAAGCACCTCAGGAGGAGGCTTCTCTCAGCAATAGGTATGTGGGAGGGACCCCGAATTTGCTGCCTCAAGGGGAATATACTGCGAGAAGCCCTAAATTGAAAGCAGGCCGGGTTTCCTTCCAGTGGCTTGAATACAGGCTCGTCTTTCATCTAACAACATGAAGGGATGTCTGAATCCCCTGTGGAGACCTTAGAGAAAGCCCTAGGTCCCTGCCTCATTTTGACGGAGTGCCTCACATCCCGTTGACACCTCGAGAGGCACGCGGAGTTCACTGCTTCAAAAGGTGACGATGCCTGACTCCTCTTGAATACTGATAGGAATCCCAAAATCCCTGTGGCTACGGGAACGGGTCCTTGGGTGCCCTGCTTCACCTCGAGAAGCGTCCCTTTTGCCTTGCAAAGCCTCGAAGAGATTCCTGAAGTGTCCCTCGTTACTAGACAGGAGTCCTGACGTCACTGAAGAAACTCGTGTTTTGAAGGGCCATCCCCGCGGTAAGTCGAGAACATACCCCAGGTCCCCGCCAAAACTCGAGAAAAACCATGAGACTTCCCCCTAGAGGCGAGATGAGGCCCCATTCCCCTGCAGGGCATGCAGAGCTATTCCGTGATCCCATTCAAACAAGTCAGGAGCTTCGACTTGCTTAATGGATCTCGAGACAGTCCGCAAGGTCACCAGTCTAGTTGGACCCTGAGGTCACTCCAGCAACGCAAAGCAGCTCCATGTGCCCCAAATCAATTCGAGATGAGGCCCGATTCACCTGCATTGACTCCAGAGCCATTCCCCGTTCCCCATTCAACATGACCGGTGGCTCGATTTCTTTCAGGAAACTACAGAGATGCCCCGAGAACACTGTCCCAAGTCTAGAGGAACACCAACTTCAGCACAGCAACTCGAGGAATGCCCCGTGTACCCCAAATCGTCTCGAGATGAGAGCTGATATCCTGGCTTAGGCTCAAGACGTATGCCAACTTTCCAGAAGCACCTCAAGAGGTGGCTTCTCTCAGCAATAGGTATGTGGGAAGGACCCCGAGTTTGCTGCCTCAAGGGGAATATACAGCGAGAAGCCCTAACTTGAAAGGAGGCCGGATTTCCTTGCAGTCGCTTGAATACAGGCTCGTCTTTCATCTCACAACATGAAGGGATGTCTGAATCCCCTGTGGAGACCATAGAGAAAGCCCTAGGTCCCTGCCTCATTTTGACTGAATGCCTCACATCCCGCTGACACCTCGAGAGGCACGCGGAGTTCATTGCTTCAAAAGGTGACGGTGCCTGACTCTTCTTGAATACTGATAGGAATCCCAAAATCCCTGTGGCTACTGGAAAGGGTCCTTGAGTGCCCTGCCTCACCTCGAGAAGCGTCCCTTTTGCCCTGCCAAGCCTCGAAGAGATTCCTGAGGTGTCTCTCGTTACTAGACAGGAGTCCTGACGTCACTGAATAAACACGAGTTTTGAAGGGATATCCCTGCCGTAAGTCGAGAACATACCCCAGGTCCCCTCCGCAACTCGAGAAAAACCATGAGACTTCCCCCTAGAGGCGAGGTGAGGCCCCATTCCCATGCAGTGCATGCAGAGCTATTCCGTGATCCCATTCAAACAAGTCAGGAGCTTCGACTTGCTTAATGGATCTCGAGACAGTCCCCAAGAACACTGTCACAAGTCTGGACGGACCCTGAGGTCACCCAGGCAACGCAAAGCAGCTCCATGTGCCCCAAATCAACTCGAGATGAGGCCCGATTCCCCTGCATTGACTCCAGAGCCATTCCCCGTTCCCCATTCAACACGACAGGTGGCTCGACTTCCTTCAGGCAACTCCAGAGATGCCCCGAGAACACTGTCCCAAGTCTAGAGGAACACCAACTTCAGCACAGCGACTCGAGGAATGCTCCGTGTACACCAAATCGTCTCGAGATGAGAGCTGATTCCCTGGCTTAGGCTCAAGACGTATGCCAACTTTCCAGAAGCACCTCAAGAGGAGGATTCTCTCAGCAATAGTTATGTGGGAGGGACACCGAGTTTGCTGCCTCAAGGGGAATATACAGTGAGAAGCCCTAAATTGAAAGCAGGCCGGGTTTCCTTGCAGTGGCTTGAATACAGGCTCGTCTTTCATCTAACAACATGAAGGGATGTCTGAATCCCCTGTGGAGACCTTAGAGAAAGCCCTAGGTCCCTGCCTCATTTTGACGGAGTGCCTCACATCCCGTTGACACCTCGAGAGGCACGCGGAGTTCACTGCTTCAAAAGGTGACGATGCCTGACTCCTCTTGAATACTGATAGGAATCCCAAAATCCCTGTGGCTACTGGAAAGGGTCCTTGGGTGCCCTGCTTCACCTCGAGAAGTGTCCCTTTTGCCTTGCAAAGCCTCGAAGAGATTCCTGAGGTGTCCCTCGTTACTAGACAGGAGTCCTGACGTCACTGAAGAAACTCGTGTTTTGAAGGGCCATCCCCGCGGTAAGTCGAGAACATATCCCAGGTCCCCGCCAAAACTCGAGAAAAAGCATGAGACTTCCCCCTAGAGGCGAGATGAGGCCCCATTCCCCTGCAGGGCATGCAGAGCTATTCCGTGATCTCATTCAAACAAGTCAGGAGCTTCGACATGCTTAATGGATCTCGAGACAGTCCGCAAGGTCACCAGTCTAGACGGACCCTGAGGTCACCCCGCAACGCAAAGCAGCTCCATGTGCCCCAAACCAACTCGAGATGAGGCCCCATTCCCCTGCATTGACTCCAGAGCCATTCCCCGTTCCCCATTCAACATGACCGGTGGCTCGATTTCTTTCAGGAAACTACAGAGATGCCCCGAGAACACTGTACCAAGTCTAGAGGAACACCAACTTCAGCACAGCAACTCGAGGAATGCTCCGTGTACCCCAAATCGTCTCGAGATGAGAGCTGATTCCCTGGCTTAGGCTCAAGACGTATGCCAACTTTCCAGAAGCACCTCAAGAGGTGGCTTCTCTCAGCAATAGGTATGTGTAAAGGACCTCGAGTGTGCTGCCTCAAGGGGAATATACAGCGAGAAGCCCTAACTTGAAAGGAGGCCGGATTTCCTTGCAGTGGCTTGAATACAGGCTCGTCTTTCATCTCACAACATGAAGGGATGTCTGAATCCCCTGTGGAGACCATAGAGAAAGCCCTAGGTCCCTGCCTCATTTTGACGGAATGCCTCACATCCCGCTTACACGTCAAGAGGCACGCGGAGTTCATTGCTTCAAAAGGTGACGGTGCCTGACTCTTCTTCAATACTGATAGGAATCCCAAAATCCCTGTGGCTATTGGAAAGGGTCCTTGAGTGCCCTGCCTCACCTCGAGAAGCGTCCCTTTTGCCCTGCCAAGCCTCGAAGAGATTCCTGAGGTGTCCCTCGTTACTAGACAGGAGTCCTGACGTCACTGAATAAACACCAGTTTTGAAGGGCCATCCCTGCCGTAAGTCGAGAACATACCCCAGGTCCCCACCGCAACTCGAGAAAAACCATGAGACTTCCCCCTAGAGGCGAGGTGTGGCCCCATTCCCATGCAGTCCATGCAGAGCTATTCCGTGATCCCATTCAAACAAGTCAGGAGCTTCGACTTGCTTAATGGATCTCGAGGCAGTCCCCAAGAACACTGTCACAAGTCTAGACGGACCCTGAGGTCACCCAGGCAACGCAAAGCAGCTCCATGTGCCCGAAATCAACTCGAGATGAGGCCCGATTCCCCTGCATTGACTCCAGAGCCATTCCCTGTTCCCCATTCAACACGACAGTTGGCTCGACTTCCTTCAGGCAACTCCAGAGATGCCCCGAGAACACTGTCCCAAGTCTAGAGGAACACCAACTTCAGCACAGCGACTCGAGGAATGCTCCGTGTACACCAAAACGTCTCGAGATGAGAGCTGATTCCCTGGCTTAGGCTCAAGACGTATGCCAACTTTCCAGAAGCACCTCAAGAGGAGGATTCTCTCAGCAATAGTTATGTGGGAGGGACACCGAGTTTGCTGCCTCAAGGGGAATATACAGTGAGAAGCCCTAAATTGAAAGCAGGCCTTGTTTCCTTACAGTGGCTTGAATACAGGCTCGTCTTTCACCTAACAACATGAAGGGATGTCTGAATCAACTGTGGAGACCTTAGAGAAAGCCCTAGGTCCCTGCCTCATTTTGACGGAGTGCCTCACATCCCGTTGACACCTCGAGAGGCACGCGGAGCTCACTGCTTCAAAAGGTGACGATGACTGACTCCTCTTGAATACTGATAGGAATCCCAAAATCCCTGTGGCTACTGGAAAGGGTCCTTGGGTGCCCTGCTTCACCTCGAGAAGCGTCCCTTTTGCCTTGCAAAGCCTCGAAGAGATTCCTGAGGTGTCCCTCGTTACTAGACAGGAGTCCTGACGTCACTGAAGAAACTCGTGTTTTGAAGGGCCATCCCCGCGGTAAGTCGAGAACATACCCCAGGTCCCCGCCAAAACTCGAGAAAAACCATGAGACTTCCCCCTAGAGGCGAGATGAGGCCCCATTCCCCTGCAGGGCATGGAGAGCTATTCCGTGATCCCATTCAAACAAGTCAGGAGCTTCGACTTGCTTAATGGATCTCGAGACAGTCCGCAAGGTCACCAGTCTAGACGGACCCTGAGGTTACTCCAGCAACGCAAAGCAGTTCCATGTGCCCCAAATCAATTCGAGATGAGGCCCGATTCGCCTGCATTGATTCCAGAGCCATTCCCCGTTCCCCATTCAACATGACCGGTGGCTCGATTTCTTTCAGGCAACTACAGAGATGCCCCGAGAACACTGTCCCAAGTCTAGAGGAACACCAACTTCTGCACAGCAACTCGAGGAATGCTCCGTGTACCCCAAATCGTCTCGAGATGAGAGCTGATTCCCTGGCTTAGGCTCAAGACGTATGCCAACTTTCCAGAAGCACCTCAAGAGGTGGCTTCTCTCAGCAATAGGTATGTGGGAAGGACCCCGAGTTTGCTGCCTCAAGGGGAATATACAGCGAGAAGCCCTAACTTGAAAGGAGGCCGGATTTCCTTGCAGTGGCTTGAATACAGGCTCGTCTTTCATCTCACAACATGAAGGGATGTCTGAATCCCCTGTGGAGACCATAGAGAAAGCCCTAGTTCCCTGCATCATTTTGACGGAATGCCTCACATCCTGCTGACACCTCGAGAGGCACGCGGAGTTCATTGCTTCAAAAGGTGACGGTGCTTGACTCTTCTTGAATACTGATAGGAATCCCAAAATCCCTGTGGCTACTGGAAAGGGTCCTTGAGTGCCCTGCCTCACCTCGAGAAGCGTCCCTTTTGCCCTGCCAAGCCTCGAAGAGATTCCTGAGGTGTCTCTCGTTACTAGACAGGAGTCCTGACGTCACTGAATAAACACGAGTTTTGAAGGGCCATCCCTGCCGTAAGTCGAGAACATACCCCAGGTCCCCACCGCAACTCGAGAAAAACCATGAGACTTCCCCCTAGAGGCGAGGTGAGGCCCCATTCCCATGCAGTGCATGCAGAGCTATTCCGTGATCCCATTCAAACAAGTCAGGAGCTTCGACTTGCTTAATGGATCTCGAGACAGTCCCCAAGAACACTGTCACAAGTCTAGACGGACCCTGAGGTCACCCAGGCAACGCAAAGCAGCTCCATGTGCCCCAAATCAACTCGAGATGATGCCCCATTCCCCTGCATTGACTCCAGAGCCATTCCCCGTTCCCCATTCAACACGACAGGTGGCTCGACTTCCTTCAGGCAACTCCAGAGATGCCCCGAGAACACTGTCCCAAGTCTAGAGGAACACCAACTTCAGAACAGCGACTCGAGGAATGCTCCGTGTACACCAAATCGTCTCGAGATGAGAGCTGATTCCCTGGCTTAGGCTCAAGACGTATGCCAACTTTCCAGAAGCACCTCAAGAGGAGGATTCTCTCAGCAATAGTTATGTGGGAGGGACACCGAGTTTGCTGCCTCAAGGGGAATATACCGCGAGAAGCCCTAAATAGAAAGCAGGCCGGGTTTCCTTGCAGTGGCTTGAATACAGGCTCCTCTTTCATCTAACAACATGAAGGGATGTCTGAATCCCCTGTGGAGACCTTAGAGAAAGCCCTAGGTACCTGCCTCATTTTGACGGAGTGCCTCACATCCCGTTGACACCTCGAGAGGCACGCGGAGTTCACTGCTTCAAAAGGTGACGATGCCTGACTCCTCTTGAATACTGATAGGAATCCCAAAATCCCTGTGGCTACTGGAAAGGGTCCTTGGGTGCCCTGCTTCACCTCGAGAAGCGTCCCTTTTGCCTTGCAAAGCCTCGAAGAGATTCCTGAGGTGTCCCTCGTTACTAGACAGGAGTCCTGACGTCACTGAAGAAACTCGTGTTTTGAAGGGCCATCCCCGCGGTAAGTCGAGAACATATCCCAGGTCCCCGCCAAAACTCGAGAAAAACCATGAGACTTCCCCCTAGAGGCGAGATGAGGCCCCATTCCCCTGCAGGGCATGCAGAGCTATTCCGTGATCCCATTCAAACAAGTCAGGAGCTTCGACATGCTTAATGAATCTCGAGACAGTCCGCAAGGTCACCAGTCTAGACGGACCCTGAGGTCACCCCGCAACGCAAAGCAGCTCCATGTGCCCCAAACCAATTCGAGATGAGGCCCCATTCCCCTGCATTGACTCCAGAGCCATTCCCCGTTCCCCATTCAACATGACCGGTGGCTCGATTTCTTTCAGGAAACTACAGAGATGCCCCGAGAACACTGTACCAAGTCTAGAGGAACACCAACTTCAGCACAGCAACTCGAGGAATGCTCCGTGTACCCCAAATCGTCTCGAGATGAGAGCTGATTCCCTGGCTTAGGCTCAAGACGTATGCCAACTTTCCAGAAGCACCTCAAGAGGTGGCTTCTCTCAGCAATAGGTATGTGTAAAGGACCTTGAGTGTGCTGCCTCAAGGGGAATATACAGCGAGAAGCCCTAACTTGAAAGGAGGCCGGATTTCCTTGCAGTGGCTTGAATACAGGCTCGTCTTTCATCTCACAACATGAAGGGATGTCTGAATCCCCTGTGGAGACCATAGAGAAAGCCCTAGGTCCCTGCCTCATTTTGACGGAATGCCTCACATCCCGCTTACACGTCGAGAGGCACGCGGAGTTCATTGCTTCAAAAGGTGACGGTGCCTGACTCTTCTTCAATACTGATAGGAATCCCAAAATCCCTGTGGCTACTGGAAAGGGTCCTTGAGTGCCCTGCCTCACCTCGAGAAGCGTCCCTTTTGCCCTGCCAAGCCTCGAAGAGATTCCTGAGGTGTCCCTCGTTACTAGACAGGAGTCCTGACGTCACTGAAAAAACACCAGTTTTGAAGGGCCATCCCTGCCGTAAGTCGAGAACATAGCCCAGGTCCCCACCGCAACTCGAGAAAAACCATGAGACTTCCCCCTAGAGGCGAGGTGTGGCCCCATTCCCATGCAGTCCATGCAGAGCTATTCCGTGATCCCATTCAAACAAGTCAGGAGCTTCGACTTGCTTAATGGATCTCGAGGCAGTCCCCAAGAACAATGTCACAAGTCTAGACGGACCCTGAGGTCACCCAGGCAACGCAAAGCAGCTCCATGTGCCCCAAATCAACTCGAGATGAGGCCCGATTCCCCTGCATTGACTCCAGAGCCATTCCCCGTTCCCCATTCAACACGACAGGTGGCTCGACTTCCTTCAGGCAACTCCAGAGATACCCCGAGAACACTGTCCCAAGTCTAGAGGAACACCAACCTCAGCACAGCGACTCGAGGAATGCTCCGTGTACCCCAAATCGTCTCGAGATGAGAGCTGATTCCCTGGCTTAGGCTCAAGACGTATGCCAACTTTCCAGAAGCACCTCAGGAGGAGGATTCTCTCAGCAATAGGTATGTGGGAGGGACACCGAGTTTGCTGCCTCAAGGGGAATATACAGTGAGAAGCCCTAAATTGAAAGCAGGCCGGGTTTCCTTGCAGTGGCTTGAATACAGGCTCGTCTTTCATCTAACAACATGAAGGGATGTCTGAATCCCCTGTGGAGACCTTAGAGAAAGCCCTAGGTCCCTGCTTCATTTTGACGGAGTGCCTCACATCCCGTTGACACCTCGAGAGGCACGCGGAGTTCACTGCTTCAAAAGGTGACGATGCCTGACTCCTCTTGAATACTGATAGGAATCCCAAAATCACTGTGGCTACTGGAAAGGGTCCTTGGGTGCCCTGGTTCACCTCGAGAAGCGTCCCTTTTGCCTTGCAAAGCCTCGAAGAGATTCCTGAGGTGTCCCTCGTTACTAGACAGGAGTCCTGACGTCACTGAAGAAACTCGTGTTTTGAAGGGCCATCCCCGCGGTAAGTCGAGAACATATCCCAGGTCCCCGCAAAACTCGAGAAAAACCATGAGACTTCCCCCTAGAGGCGAGATGAGGCCCCATTCCCCTGCAGGGCATGCAGAGCTATTCCGTGATCCCATTCAAACAAGTCAGGAGCTTCGACATGCTTAATGGATCTCGAGACAGTCCGCAAGGTCACCAGTCTAGACGGACCCTGAGGTCACCCCGCAACGCAAAGCAGCTCCATGTGCCCCAAACCAACTCGAGATGAGGCCCCATTCCCCTGCATTGAATCCAGAGCCATTCCCCGTTCCCCATTCAACACGACCGGTGGCTCGACTTCCTTCAGGCCACTCAAGAGATGCCCCGAGAACACTGTCCCAAGTCTAGAGGAACACCAACTTCAGCACAGCGACTCGAGGAATGCTCCGTGTACACCAAATCGTCTCGAGATGAGAGCTGATTCCCTGGCTTAGGCTCAAGATGTATGCCAACTTTCCAGAAGCACCTCAAGAGGAGGATTCTCTCAGCAATAGTTATGTGGGAGGGACACCGAGTTTGCTGCCTCAAGGGGAATATACAGTGAGAAGCCCTAAATTGAAAGCAGGCCTTGTTTCCTTACAGTGGCTTGAATACAGGCTCGTCTTTCATCTAACAACATGAAGGGATGTCTGAATCAACTGTGGAGACCTTAGAGAAAGCCCTAGGTCCCTGCCTCATTTTGACGGAGTGCCTCACATCCCGTTGACACCTCGAGAGGCACGCGGAGTTCACTGCTTCAAAAGGTGACGATGCCTGACTGCTCTTGAATACTGATAGGAATCCCAAAATCCCTGTGGCTACTGGAAAGGGTCCTTGGGTGCCCTGCTTCACCTCGAGAAGCGTCCCTTTTGCCTTGAAAAGCCTCGAAGAGATTCCTGAGGTGTCCCTCGTTACTAGACAGGAGTCCTGACGTCACTGAAGAAACTCGTGTTTTGAAGGGCCATCCCCGCGGTAAGTCGAGAACATACCCCAGGTCCCCACCAAAACTCGAGAAAAACCATGAGACTTCCCCCTAGAGGCGAGGTGAGGCCCCATTCCCCTGCAGGGCATGCAGAGCTATTCCGTGATCCCATTCAAACAAGTCAGGAGCTTCGACTTGCTTAATGGATCTCGAGACAGTCCGCAAGGTCACCAGTCTAGACGGACCCTGAGGTCACTCCAGCAACGCAAAGCAGTTCCATGTGCCCCAAATCAATTCGAGATGAGGCCCGATTCGCCTGCATTGACTCCAGAGCCATTCCCCGTTCCCCATTCAACATGACCGGTGGCTCGATTTCTTTCAGGCAACTACAGAGATGCCCCGAGAACACTGTCCCAAGTCTAGAGGAACACCAACTTCAGCACAGCAACTCGAGGAATGCTCCGTGTACCCAAATCGTCTCGAGATGAGAGCTGATTCCCTGGCTTAGGCTCAAGACGTATGCCAACTTTCCAGAAGCACCTCAAGAGGTGGCTTCTCTCAGCAATAGGTATGTGGGAAGGACCCCGAGTTTGCTGCCTCAAGGGGAATATACAGCGAGAAGCCCAAACTTGAAAGGAGGCCGGATTTCCTTGCAGTGGCTTGAATACAGGCTCGTCTTTCATCTCACAACATGAAGGGATGTCTGAATCCCCTGTGGAGACCATAGAGAAAGCCCTAGGTCCCTGCATCATTTTGACGGAATGCCTCACATCCTGCTGACACCTCGAGAGGCACGCGGAGTTCATTGCTTCAAAAGGTGACGGTGCTTGACTCTTCTTGAATACTGATAGGAATCCCAAAATCCCTGTGGCTACTGGAAAGGGTCCTTGAGTGCCCTGCCTCACCTCGAGAAGCGTCCCTTTTGCCCTGCCAAGCCTCGAAGAGATTCCTGAGGTGTCTCTCGTTACTAGACAGGAGTCCTGACGTCACTGAATAAACACGAGTTTTGAAGGGCCATCCCTGCCGTAAGTCGAGAACATACCCCAGGTCCCCACCGCAACTCGAGAAAAACCATGAGACTTCCCCCTAGAGGCGAGGTGAGGCCCCATTCCCATGCAGTGCATGCAGAGCTATTCCGTGATCCCATTCAAACAAGTCAGGAGCTTCGACTTGCTTAATGGATCTCGAGACAGTCCCCAAGAACACTGTCACAAGTCTAGACGGACCCTGAGGTCACCCAGGCAACGCAAAGCAGCTCCATGTGCCCCAAATCAACTCGAGATGAGGCCCGATTCCCCTGCATTGACTCCAGAGCCATTCCCCGTTCCCCATTCAACACGACAGGTGGCTCGACTTCCTTCAGGCAACTCCAGAGATGCCCCGAGAACACTGTCCCAAGTCTAGAGGAACACCAACTTCAGAACAGCGACTCGAGGAATGCTCCGTGTACACCAAATCGTCTCGAGATGAGAGCTGATTCCCTGGCTTAGGCTCAAGACGTATGCCAACTTTCCAGAAGCACCTCAAGAGGAGGATTCTCTCAGCAATAGTTATGTGGGAGGGACACCTAGTTTGCTGCCTCAAGGGGAATATACCGCGAGAAGCCCTAAATAGAAAGCAGGCCGGGTTTCCTTGCAGTGGCTTGAATACAGGCTCCTCTTTCATCTAACAACATGAAGGGATGTCTGAATCCCCTGTGGAGACCTTAGAGAAAGCCCTAGGTACCTGCCTCATTTTGACGGAGTGCCTCACATCCCGTTGACACCTCGAGAGGCACGCGGAGTTCACTGCTTCAAAAGGTGACGATGCCTGACTCCTCTTGAATACTGATAGGAATCCCAAAATCCCTGTGGCTACTGGAAAGGGTCCTTGGTGCCGTGCTTCACCTCGAGAAGCGTCCCTTTTGCCTTGCAAAGCCTCGAAGAGATTCCTGAGGTGTCCCTCGTTACTAGACAGGAGTCCTGACGTCACTGAAGAAACTCGTGTTTTGAAGGGCCATCCCCGCGGTAAGTCGAGAACATATCCCAGGTCCCCGCCAAAACTCGAGAAAAACCATGAGACTTCCCCCTAGAGGCGAGATGAGGCCCCATTCCCCTGCAGGGCATGCAGAGCTATTCCGTGATCCCATTCAAACAAGTCAGGAGCTTCGACATGCTTAATGGATCTCGAGACAGTCCGCAAGGTCACCAGTCTAGACGGACCCTGAGGTCACCCCGCAACGCAAAGCAGCTCCATGTGCCCCAAACCAACTCGAGATGAGGCCCCATTCCCCTGCATTGACTCCAGAGCCATTCCCCGTTCCCCATTCAACATGACCGGTGGCTCGATTTCTTTCAGGAAACTACAGAGATGCCCCGAGAACACTGTACCAAGTCTAGAGGAACACCAACTTCAGCACAGCAACTCGAGGAATGCTCCGTGTACCCCAAGTCGTCTCGAGATGAGAGCTGATTCCCTGGCTTAGGCTCAAGACGTATGCCAACTTTCCAGAAGCACCTCAAGAGGTGGGTTCTCTCAGCAATAGGTATGTGTAAAGGACCTTGAGTGTGCTGCCTCAAGGGGAATATACAGCGAGAAGCCCTAACTTGAAAGGAGGCCGGATTTCCTTGCAGTGGCTTGAATACAGGCTCGTCTTTCATCTCACAACATGAAGGGATGTCTGAATCCCCTGTGGAGACCATAGAGAAAGCCCTAGGTCCCTGCCTCATTTTGACGGAATGCCTCACATCCCGCTTACACGTCGAGAGGCACGCGGAGTTCATTGCTTCAAAAGGTGACGGTGCCTGACTCTTCTTCAATACTGATAGGAATCCCAAAATCCCTGTGGCTACTGGAAAGGGTCCTTGAGTGCCCTGCCTCACCTCGAGAAGCGTCCCTTTTGCCCTGCCAAGCCTCGAAGAGATTCCTGAGGTGTCCCTCGTTACTAGACAGGAGTCCTGACGTCACTGAAAAAACACCAGTTTTGAAGGGCCATCCCTGCCGTAAGTCGAGAACATAGCCCAGGTCCCCACCGCAACTCGAGAAAAACCATGAGACTTCCCCCTAGAGGCGAGGTGTGGCCCCATTCCCATGCAGTGCATGCAGAGCTATTCCGTGATCCCATTCAAACAAGTCAGGAGCTTCGACTTGCTTAATGTATCTCGAGGCAGTCCCCAAGAACAATGTCACAAGTCTAGACGGACCCTGAGGTCACCCAGGCAACGCAAAGCAGCTCCATGTGCCCCAAATCAACTCGAGATGAGGCCCGATTCCCCTGCATTGACTCCAGAGCCATTCCCCTTTCCCCATTCAACACGACAGGTGGCTCGACTTCCTTCAGGCAACTCCAGAGATACCCCGAGAACACTGTCCCAAGTCTAGAGGAACACCAACCTCAGCACAGCGACTCGAGGAATGCTCCGTGTACCCCAAATCGTCTCGAGATGAGAGCTGATTCCCTGGCTTAGGCTCAAGACGTATGCCAACTTTCCAGAAGCACCTCAGGAGGAGGATTCTCTCAGCAATAGGTATGTGGGAGGGACACCGAGTTTGCTGCCTCAAGGGGAATATACAGTGAGAAGCCCTAAATTGAAAGCAGGCCGGGTTTCCTTGCAGTGGCTTGAATACAGGCTCGTCTTTCATCTAACAACATGAAGGGATGTCTGAATCCCCTGTGGAGACCTTAGAGAAAGCCCTAGGTCCCTGCCTCATTTTGACGGAGTGCCTCACATCCCGTTGACACCTCGAGAGGCACGCGGAGTTCACTGCTTCAAAAGGTGACGATGCCTGACTCCTCTTGAATACTGATAGGAATCCCAAAATCCCTGTGGCTACTGGAAAGGGTCCTTGGGTGCCCTGGTTCACCTCGAGAAGCGTCCCTTTTGCCTTGCAAAGCCTCGAAGAGATTCCTGAGGTGTCCCTCGTTACTAGACAGGAGTCCTGACGTCACTGAAGAAACTCGTGTTTTGAAGGGCCATCCCCGCGGTAAGTCGAGAACATATCCCAGGTCCCCGCAAAACTCGAGAAAAACCATGAGACTTCCCCCTAGAGGCTAGATGAGGCCCCATTCCCCTGCAGGGCATGCAGAGCTATTCCGTGATCCCATTCAAACAAGTCAGGAGCTTCGACATGCTTAATGGATCTCGAGACAGTCCGCAAGGTCACCAGTCTAGACGGACCCTGAGGTCACCCCGCAACGCAAAGCAGCTCCATGTGCCCCAAACCAACTCGAGATGAGGCCCCATTCCCCTGCATTGACTCCAGAGCCATTCCCCGTTCCCCATTCAACACGACCGGTGGCTCGACTTCCTTCAGGCCACTCAAGAGATGCCCCGAGAACACTGTCGCAAGTCTAGAGGAACACCAACTTCAGCACAGCGACTCGAGGAATGTTCCGTGTACCCAAATCGTCTCGAGATGAGAGCTGATTCCCTGGCTTAGGCTCAAGACGTATGCCAACTTTCCAGAAGCACCTCAAGAGGTGGCTTCTCTCAGCAATAGGTATGTGGGAAGGACCCCGAGTTTGCTGCCTCAAGGGGAATATAAAGCGAGAAGCCCTAACTTGAAATGAGGCCGGATTTCCTTGCAGTGGCTTGAATACAGGCTCGTCTTTCATCTCACAACATGAAGGGATGTCTGAATCCCCTGTGGAGACCATAGAGAAAGCCCTAGGTCCCTGCCTCATTTTGACGGAATGCCTCACATCCCGCTGACACCTCGAGAGGCACGCGGAGTTCATTGCTTCAAAAGGTGACGGTGCCTGACTCTTCTTTAATACTGATAGGAATCCCAAAATCCCTGTGGCTACTGGAAAGGTTCCTAGAGTGCCTTGCCTCACCTCGAGAAGCGTCCCTTTTGCCCTGCCAAGCCTCGAAGAGATTCCTGAGGTGTCCCTCGTTACTAGACAGGAGTCCTGACGTCACTGAATAAACACCAGTTTTGAAGGGCCATCCCTGCCGTAAGTCGAGAACATACCCCAGGTCCCCACCGCAACTTGAGAAAAACCATGAGATTTCCCCCTAGAGGCGAGGTGAGGCCCCATTCTCATGCAGTGCATGCAGAGCTATTCCGTGATCCCATTCAAACAAGTCAGGAGCTTCGACTTGCTTAATGGATCTCGAGACAGTCCACAAGAACACTGTCACAAGTCTAGACGGACCCTGAGGTCACCCAGGCAACGCAAAGCAGCTCCATGTGCCCCAAATCAACTCGAGATGAGGCCCGATTCCCCTGCATTGACTCCAGAGCCATTCCCTGTTCCCCATTCAACACGACAGTTGGCTCGACTTCCTTCAGGCAACTCCAGAGATGCCCCGAGAACACTGTCCCAAGTCTAGAGGAACACCAACTTCAGCACAGAGACTCGAGGAATGCTCCGTGTACACCAAATCGTCTCGAGATGAGAGCTGATTCCCTGGCTTAGGCTCAAGATGTATGCCAACTTTCCAGAAGCACCTCAAGAGGAGGATTCTCTCAGCAATAGTTATGTGGGAGGGACACCGAGTTTGCTGCCTCAAGGGGAATATACAGTGAGAAGCCCTAAATTGAAAGCAGGCCTTGTTTCCTTACAGTGGCTTGAATACAGGCTCGTCTTTCATCTAACAACATGAAGGGATGTCTGAATCAACTGTGGAGACCTTAGAGAAAGCCCTAGGTCCCTGCCTCATTTTGACAGAGTGCCTCACATCCCGTTGACACCTCGAGAGGCACGCGGAGTTCACTGCTTCAAAAGGTAACGATGCCTGACTGCTCTTGAATACTGATAGGAATCCCAAAATCCCTGTGGCTACTGGAAAGGGTCCTTGGGTGCCCTGCTTCACCTCGAGAAGCGTCCCTTTTGCCTTGCAAAGCCTCGAAGAGATTCCTGAGGTGTCCCTCGTTACTAGACAGGAGTCCTGACGTCACTGAAGAAACTCGTGTTTTGAAGGGCCATCCCCGCGGTAAGTCGAGAATATACCCCAGGTCCCCGCCAAAACTCGAGAAAAACCATGAGACTTCCCCCTAGAGGCGAGATGAGGCCCCATTCCCCTGCAGGGCATGCAGAGCTATTCCGTGATCCCATTCAAACAAGTCAGGAGCTTCGACTTGCTTAATGGATCTCGAGACAGTCCGCAAGGTCACCAGTCTAGACGGACCCTGAGGTCACTCCAGCAACGCAAAGCAGTACCATGTGCCCCAAATCAATTCGAGATGAGGCCCGATTCGCCTGCATTGACTCCAGAGCCATTCCCCGTTCCCCATTCAACATGACCGGTGGCTCGATTTCTTTCAGGCAACTACAGAGATGCCCCGAGAACACTGTCCCAAGTCTAGAGGAACACCAACTTCAGCACAGCAACTCGAGGAATGCTCCGTGTACCCAAATCGTCTCGAGATGAGAGCTGATTCCCTGGCTTAGGCTCAAGACGTATGCCAACTTTCCAGAAGCACCTCAAGAGGTGGCTTCTCTCAGCAATAGGTATGTGGGAAGGACCCCGAGTTTGCTGCCTCAAGGGGAATATACAGCGAGAAGCCCTAACTTGAAAGGAGGCCGGATTTCCTTGCAGTGGCTTGAATACAGGCTCGTCTTTCATCTCACAACATGAAGGGATGTCTGAATCCCCTGTGGAGACCATAGAGAAAGCCCTAGGTCCCTGCCTCATTTTGACGGAATGCCTCACATCCCGCTGACACCTCGAGAGGCACGCGGAGTTCATTGCTTCAAAAGGTGACGGTGCCTGACTCTTCTTGAATACTGATAGGAATCCCAAAATCCCTGTGGCTACTTCAAAGGGTCCTTGAGTGCCCTGCCTCACCTCGAGAAGCGTCCCTTTTGCCCTGCCAAGCCTCGAAGAGATTCCTGACGTGTCTCTCGTTACTAGACAGGAGTCCTGACGTCACTGAATAAACACGAGTTTTGAAGGGCCATCCCTGCCGTAAGTCGAGAACATACCCCAGGTCCCCTCCGCAACTCGAGAAAAACCATGAGACTTCCCCCTAGAGGCGAGGTGAGGCCCCATTCCCATGCAGTGCATGCAGAGCTATTCCGTGATCCCATTCAAACAAGTCAGGAGCTTCGACTTGCTTAATGGATCTCGAGACAGTCCCCAAGAACACTGTCACAAGTCTAGACGGACCCTGAGGTCACCCAGGCAACGCAAAGCAGCTCCATGTGCCCCAAATCAACTCGAGATGAGGCCCGATTCCCCTGCATTGACTCCAGAGCCATTCCCCGTTCCCCATTCAACACGACAGGTGGCTCGACTTCCTTCAGGCAACTCCAGAGATGCCCCGAGAACACTGTCCCAAGTCTAGAGGAACACCAACTTCAGCACAGCGACTCGAGGAATGCTCCGTGTACACCAAATCGTCTCGAGATGAGAGCTGATTCCCTGGCTTAGGCTCAAGACGTATGCTAACTTTCCAGAAGCACCTCAAGAGGAGGATTCTCTCAGCAATAGTTATGTGGGAGGGACCCCGAGTTTGCTGCCTCAAGGGGAATATACAGTGAGAAGCCCTAAATTGAAAGCAGGCCGGGTTTCCTTGCAGTGGCTTGAATACAGGCTCGTCTTTCATCTAACAACATGAAGGGATGTCTGAATCCCCTGTGGAGACCTTAGAGAAAGCCCTAGGTCCCTGCCTCATTTTGACGGAGTGCCTCACATCCCGTTGACACCTCGAGAGGCACAAGGAGTTCACTGCTACAAAAGGTGACGATGCCTGACTCCTCTTGAATACTGATAGGAATCCCAAAATCCCTGTGGCTACTGGAAAGGGTCCTTGGGTGCCCTGCTTCACCTCGAGAAGCGTCCCTTTTGCCTTGCAAAGCCTCGAAGAGATTCCTGAGGTGTCCCTCGTTACTAGACAGGAGTCCTGACGTCACTGAAGAAACTCGTGTTTTGAAGGGCCATCCCCGCGGTAAGTCGAGACCATACCCCAGGTCCCCGCCAAAACTCGAGAAAAAACATGAGACTTCCCCCTAGAGGCGAGATGAGGCCCCATTCCCCTGCAGGGCATGCAGAGCTATTCCGTGATCCCATTCAAACAAGTCAGGAGCTTCGACATGCTTAATGGATGTCGAGACAGTCCGCAAGGTCACCAGTCTAGACGGACCCTGAGGTCACCCCGCAACGAAAAGCAGCTCCATGTGCCCCAAACCAACTCGAGATGAGGCCCCATTCCCCTGCATTGACTCCAGAGCCATTCCCCTTTCCCCATTCAACACGACCGGTGGCTCGACTTCCATCAGGCCACTCCAGAGATGCCCCGAGAACACTGTCCCAAGTCTATAGGAACAACAACTTCAGCACAGCGACTCGAGGAATGCTCCGTGTACCTCAAATCGTCTCGAGATGAGAGCTGATTCCCTGGCTTAGGCTCAAGACGTATGCCAACTTTCCAGAAGCACCTCAGGAGGAGGCTTCTCTCAGCAATAGGTATGTGGGAGGGACCCCGAATTTGCTGCCTCAAGGGGAATATACCGCGAGAAGCCCTAAATTGAAAGCAGGCCGGGTTTCCTTCCAGTGGCTTGAATACAGGCTCGTCTTTCATCTAACAACATGAAGGGATGTCTGAATCCCCTGTGGAGACCTTAGAGAAAGCCCTAGGTCCCTGCCTCGTTTTGACGGAGTGCCTCACATCCCGTTGACACCTCGAGAGGCACGCGCAGTTCACTGCTTCAAAAGGTGATGATGCCTGACTCCTCTTGAATACTGATAGGAATCCCAAAATCCCTGTGGCTACTGGAAAGGGTCCTTGGGTGCCCTGCTTCACCTCGAGAAGCGTCCCTTTTGCCCTGCCAAGCCTCGAAGAGATTCCTGAGTTGTCCCTCGTTACTAGACAGTAGTCCTGACGTCACTGAAGAAACTCGTGCTTTGAAGGGCCATCCCCGCCATAAGACGAGAACATAAGCCAGGTCCCCGCCAAAACTCGAGAAAAACCATGAGACTTCCCCCTAGAGGCGAGATGAGGCCCCATTCCCCTGCAGTGCATGCAGAGCTATTCCGTGATCCCATTCAAACAAGTCAGGAGCTTCGACTTGCTTAATGGATCTCGAGACAGTCCGCAAGGTCACCAGTCTAGACGGACCCTGAGGTCACTCCAGCAACGCAAAGCAGTTCCATGTGCCCCAAATCAATTCGAGATGAGGCCCGATTCGCCTGCATTGACTCCAGAGCCATTCCCCGTTCCCCATTCAACATGACCGGTGGCTCAATTTCTTTCAGGCAACTACAGAGATGCCCCGAGAACACTGTCCCAAGTCTAGACGAACACCAACTTCAGCACAGCAACTCGAGGAATGCTCCGTGTACCCCAAATCGTCTCGAGATGAGAGCTGATTCCCTGGCTTAGGCTCAAGACGTATGCCAACTTTCCAGAAGCGCCTCAAGAGGTGGCTTCTCTCAGCAATAGGTATGTGGGAAGGACCCCGAGTTTGCTTCCTCAACGGGAATATACAGCGAGAAGCCCTAACTTGAAAGGAGGCCGGATTTCCTTGCAGTGGCTTGAATACAGGCTCGTCTTTCATCTCACAACATGAAGGGATGTCTGAATCCCCTGTGGAGACCATAGAGAAAGCCCTAGTTCCCTGCCTCATTTTGACGGAATGCCTCACATCCCGCTGACACGTCGAGAGGCACGCGGAGTTCAATGCTTCAAAAGGTGACGGTGCCTGACTCTTCTTGAATACTGATAGAAATCCCAAAATCCCTGTGGCTACTGGAAAGGGTCCTTGAGTGCCCTGCCTCACCTCGAGAAGCGTCCCTTTTGCCCTGCCAAGCCTCGAAGAGATTCCTGAGGTGTCCCTCGTTACTAGACAGGAGTCCTGACGTCAGTGAATAAACACCAGTTTTGAAGGGCCATCCCTGCCGTAAGTCGAGAACATACCCCAGGTCCCCACCGCAACTCGAGAAAAACCATGAGACTTCCCCCTAGAGGCGAGGTGAGGCCCCATTCCCATGCAGTGCATGCAGAGCTATTCCGTGATCCCATTCAAACAAGTCAGGAGCTTCGACTTGCTTAATGGATCTCGAGACAGTCCCCAAGAACACTGTCACAAGTCTAGACGGACCCTGAGGTCACCCAGGCAACGCAAAGCAGCTCTATGTGCCCCAAATCAACTCGAGATGAGGCCCGATTCCCCTGCATTGACTCCAGAGCCATTCCCCGTTCCCCATTCAACACGACAGGTGGCTCGACTTCCTTCAGGCAACTCCAGAGATGCCCCGAGAACACTGTCCCAAGTCTAGAGGAACACCAACTTCAGCACAGCGACTCGAGGAATGCTCCGTGTACACCAAATCGTCTCGAGATGAGAGCTGATTCCCTGGCTTAGGCTCAAGACGTATGCCAACTTTCCAGAAGCACCTCAAGAGGAGGATTCTCTCAGCAATAGTTATGTAGGAGGGACACCGAGTTTGCTGCCTCAAGGGGAATATACCGCGAGAAGCCCTAAATTGAAAACAGGCCGGGTTTCCTTGCAGTGGCTTGAATACAGGCTCGTCTTTCATCTAACAACATGAAGGGATGTCTGAATCCCCTGTGGAGACCTTAGAGAAAGCCCTAGGTCCCTGCCTCATTTTGACGGAGTGCCTCACATCCCGTTGACATCTCGAGAGGCACGCGGAGTTCACTGCTTCAAAAGGTGACGATGCCTGACTCCTCTTGAATACTGATAGGAATCCCAAAATCCCTGTGGCTACTGGAAAGGGTCCTTGGGTGCCCTGCTTCACCTCGAGAAGCGTCCCTTTTGCCTTGCAAAGCCTCGAAGAGATTCCTGAGGTGTCCCTCGTTACTAGACAGGAGTCCTGACGTCACTGAAGAAACTCGTGTTTTGAAGGGCCATCCCCGCGGTAAGTCGAGAACATACCCCAGGTCCCCGCCAAAACTCGAGAAAAAACATGAGACTTCCCCCTAGAGGCGAGATGAGGCCCCATTCCCCTGCAGGGCATGCAGAGCTATTCCGTGATCCCATTCAAACAAGTCAGGAGCTTCGACATGCTTAATGGATCTCGAGACAGTCCGCAAGGTCACCAGTCTAGACGGACCCTGAGGTCACCCCGCAACACAAAGCAGCTCCATGTGCCCCAAAGCAACTCGAGATGAGGCCCCATTCCCCTGCATTGACTCCAGAGCCATTCCCCTTTCCCCATTCAACACGACCGGTGGCTCGACTTCCTTCAGGCCACTCCAGAGATGCCCCGAGAACACTGTCCCAAGTCTAGAGGAACAACAACTTCAGCACAGCGACTCGAGGAATGCTCTGTGTACCTCAAATCGTCTCGAGATGAGAGCTGATTCCCTGGCTTAGGCTCAAGACGTATGCCAACTTTCCAGAAGCACCTCAGGAGGAGGCTTCTCTCAGCAATAGGTATGTGGGAGGGACCCCGAATTTGCTGCCTCAAGGGGAATATACCGCGAGAAGCCCTAAATTGAAAGCAGGCCGGGTTTCCTTCCAGTGGCTTGAATACAGGCTCGTCTTTCATCTAACAACATGAAGGGATGTCTGAATCCCCTGTGGAGACCATAGAGAAAGCCCTAGGTCCCTGCCTCGTTTTGACGGAGTGCCTCACATCCCGTTGACACCTCGAGAGGCACGCGGAGTTCACTGCTTCAAAAGGTGACGATGCCTGACTCCTCTTGAATACTGATAGGAATCCCAAAATCCCTGTGGCTACTGGAAAGGGTCCTTGGGTGCCCTGCGTCACCTCGAGAAGCGTCCCTTTTGCCTTGCAAAGCCTCGAAGAGATTCCTGAGTTGTCCCTCGTTACTAGACAGTAGTCCTGACGTCACTGAAGAAACTCGTGTTTTGAAGGGCCATCCCCGCCGTAAGACGAGAACATAAGCCAGGTCCCCGCCGCAACTCGAGAAAAACCATGAGACTTCCCCCTAGAGGCGAGATGAGGCCCCATTCCCCTGCAGTGCATGCAGAGCTATTCCGTGATCCCATTCAAACAAGTCAGGAGCTTCGACTTGCTTAATGGATCTCGAGACAGTCCGCAAGGTCACCAGTCTAGACGGACCCTGAGGTCACTCCAGCAACGCAAAGCAGTTCCATGTGCCCCAAATCAATTCGAGATGAGGCCCGATTCGCTTGCATTGACTCCAGAGCCATTCCCCGTTCCCCAGTCAACATGACCGGTGGCTCAATTTCTTTCAGGCAACTACAGAGATGCCCCGAGAACACTGTCCCAAGTCTAGAGGAACACCAACTTCAGCACAGCAACTCGAGGAATGCTCCGTGTACCCCAAATCGTCTCGAGATGAGAGCTGATTCCCTGGCTTAGGCTCAAGACGTATGCCAACTTTCCAGAAGCGCCTCAAGAGGTGGCTTCTCTCAGCAATAGGTATGTGGGAAGGACCCCGAGTTTGCTTCCTCAAGGGGAATATACAGCGAGAAGCCCTAACTTGAAAGGAGGCCGGATTTCCTTGCAGTGGCTTGAATACAGGCTCGTCTTTCATCTCACAACATGAAGGGATGTCTGAATCCCCTGTGGAGACCATAGAGAAAGCCCTAGGTCCCTGCCTCATTTTCACGGAATGCCTCACATCCCGCTGACACCTCGAGAGGCACGCGGAGTTCATTGCTTCAAAAGGTGACAGTGCCTGACTCTTCTTGAATACTGATAGGAATCCCAAAATCCCTGTGGCTACTGGAAAGGGTCCTTGAGTGCCCTGCCTCACCTCGAGAAGCGTCCCTTTTGCCCTGCCAAGCCTCGAAGAAATTCCTGAGGAGTCCCTCGTTACTAGACAGGAGTCCTGACGTCACTGAATAAACACGAGTTTTGAAGGGCCATCCCTGCCGTAAGTCGAGAACATACCCCAGGTCCCCGCCAAAACTCGAGAAAAACCATGAGACTTCCCCCTAGAGGCGAGATGAGGCCCTATTCCCCTGCAGTGCATGCAGAGCTATTCCGTGATCCCATTCAAACAAGTCAGGAGCTTCCACATGCTTAATGGATCTCGAGACAGTCCGCAAGGTCACCAGTCTAGACGGACCCTGAGGTCACCCCGCAACGCAAAGCAGCTCCATGTGCCCCAAACCAACTCGAGATGAGGCCCCATTCCCCTGCATTGACTCCAGAGCAATTCCCCGTTCCCCATTCAACACGACCGGTGGCTCGACTTCCATCAGGCCACTCAAGAGATGCCCCGAGAACACTGTCCCAAGTCTAGAGGAACACCAATTTCAGCACAGCGACTCGAGGAATGTTCCGTGTACCTCAAATCGTCTCGAGATGAGAGCTGATTCCCTGGCTTAGGCTCAAGACGTATGCCAACTTTCCAGAAGCACCTCAGGAGGAGGCTTCTCTCAGCAATAGGTATGTGGGAGGGACCCCAAATTTGCTGCCTCAAGGGGAATATACCGCGAGAAGCCCTAAATTGAAAGCAGGCCGGGTTTCCTTCCAGTGGCTTGAATACAGGCTCGTCTTTCATCTAACAACATGAAGGGATGTCTGAATCCCCTGTGGAGACCTTAGAGAAAGCCCTAGGTCCCTGCCTCATTTTGACGGAGTGCCTCACATCCCGTTGACACCTCGAGAGGCACGCGGAGTTCACTGCTTCAAAAGGTGACGATGCCTGACTCTTCTTTAATACTGATAGGAATCCCAAAATCCGTGTGGCTACTGGAAAGGGTCCTTGGGTGCCCTGCTTCACCTCGAGAAGCGTCCCTTTTGCCTTGCAAAGCCTCGAAGAGATTCCTGAGGTGTCCCTCGTTACTAGACAGGAGTCCTTACGTCACTGAAGAAACTCGTGTTTTGAAGGGCCATCCCCGCGGTAAGTGGAGAACATACCCCAGGTCCCCGCCAAAACTCGAGAAAAACCATGAGACTTCCCCCTAGAGGCGAGATGAGGCCCCATTCCCCTGCAGGGCATGCAGAGCTATTCCGTGATCCCATTCAAACAAGTCAGGAGCTTCGACTTGCTTAATGGATCTTGAGACAGTCCGCAAGGTCACCAGTCTAGACGGACCCTGAGGTCACTCCAGCAACGCACAGCAGTTCCATGTGCCCCAAATCAATTCGAGATGAGGCCCGATTCGCCTGCATTGACTCCAGAGCCATTCCCCGTTCCCCATTCAACATGACCGGTGGCTCGATTTCTTTCAGGCAACTACAGAGATGCCCCGAGATCACTGTCCCAAGTCTAGAGGAACACCAACTTCAGCACAGCAACTCGAGGAATGCTCCGTGTACCCCAAATCGTCACGAAATGAGAGCTGATTCCCTGGCTTAGGCTCAAGACATATGCCAACTTTCCAGAAGCACCTCAAGAGGTGGCTTCTCTCAGCAATAGGTATGTGGGAAGGACCCCGAGTTTGCTGCCTCAAGGGGAATATACAGCGAGAAGCCCTAACTTGAAAGGAGGCCGGATTTCCTTGCAGTGGCTTGAATACAGGCTCGTCTTTCATCTCACAACATGAAGGGATGTCTGAATCCCCTGTGGAGACCATAGAGAAAGCCCTAGGTCCTTGCATCATTTTGACGGAATGCCTCACATCCTGCTGACACCTCGAGAGGCACGCGGAGTTCACTGCTTCAAAAGGTGACGATGCCTGACTCTTCTTGAATACTGATAGGAATCCCAAAATCCCTGTGGCTACTGGAAAGGGTCCTTGAGTGCCCTGCCTCACCTCGAGAAGCGTCCCTTTTGCCCTGCCAAGCCTCGAAGAGATTCCTGAGGTGTCTCTCGTTACTAGACAGGAGTCCTTACGTCACTGAAGAAACTCGTGTTTTGAAGGGCCATCCCCGCGGTAAGTGGAGAACATACCCCAGGTCCCCGCCAAAACTCGAGAAAAACCATGAGACTTCCCCCTAGAGGCGAGGTGAGGCCCCATTCCCATGCAGTGCATGCAGAGCTATTCCGTGATCCCATTCAAACAAGTCAGGAGCTTCGACTTGCTTAATGGATCTCGAGACAGTCCCCAAGAACACTGTCACAAGTCTAGACGGACCCTGAGGTCACCCAGGCAACGCAAAGCAGCTCCATGTGCCCCAAATCAACTCGAGATGAGGCCCGATTCCCCTGCATTGACTCCAGAGCCATTCCCCGTTCCCCATTCAACACGACAGGTGGCTCGACTTCCTTCAGGCAACTCCAGAGATGCCCCGAGAACACTGTCCCAAGTCTAGAGGAACACCAACTTCAGAACAGCGACTCGAGGAATGCTCCGTGTACACCAAATCGTCTCGAGATGAGAGCTGATTCCCTGGCTTAGGCTCAAGACGTATGCCAACTTTCCAGAAGCACCTCAAGAGGAGGATTCTCTCAGCAATAGTTATGTGGGAGGGACACCGAGTTTGCTGCCTCAAGGGGAATATACAGTGAGAAGCCCTAAATAGAAAGCAGCCCGGGTTTCCTTGCAGTGGCTTGAATACAGGCTCCTCTTTCATCTAACAACATGAAGGGATGTCTGAATCCCCTGTGGAGACCTTAGAGAAAGCCCTAGGTACCTGCCTCATTTTGACGGAGTGCCTCACATCCCGTTGACACCTCGAGAGGCACGCGGAGTTCACTGCTTCAAAAGGTGACGATGCCTGACTCCTCTTGAATACTGATAGGAATCCCAAAATCCCTGTGGCTACTGGAAAGGGTCCTTGGGTGCCCTGCTTCACCTCGAGAAGCGTCCCTTTTGCCTTGCAAAGCCTCGAAGAGATTCCTGAGGTGTCCCTCGTTACTAGACAGGAGTCCTGACGTCACTGAAGAAACTCGTGTTTTGAAGGGCCATCCCCGCCGTAAGACGAGAACATAAGCCAGGTCCCCGCCGCAACTCGAGAAAAACCATGAGACTTCCCCCTAGAGGCGAGATGAGGCCCCATTCCCCTGCAGTGCATGCAGAGCTATTCCGTGATCCCATTCAAACAAGTCAGGAGCTTCGACTTGCTTAATGGATCTCGAGACAGTCCGCAAGGTCACCAGTCTAGACGGACCCTGAGGTCACTCCAGCAACGCAAAGCAGTTCCATGTGCCCCAAATCAATTCGAGATGAGGCCCGATTCGCCTGCATTGACTCCAGAGCCATTCCCCGTTCCCCATTCAACATGACCGGTGGCTCAATTTCTTTCAGGCAACTACAGAGATGCCCCGAGAACACTGTCCCAAGTCTAGAGGAACACCAACTTCAGCACAGCAACTCGAGGAATGCTCCGTGTACCCCAAATCGTCTCGAGATGAGAGCTGATTCCCTGGCTTAGGCTCAAGACGTATGCCAACTTTCCAGAAGCGCCTCAAGAGGTGGCTTCTCTCAGCAATAGGTATGTGGGAAGGACCCCGAGTTTGCTTCCTCAAGGGGAATATACAGCGAGAAGCCCTAACTTGAAAGGAGGCCGGATTTCCTTGCAGTGGCTTGAATACAGGCTCGTCTTTCATCTCACAACATGAAGGGATGTCTGAATCCCCTGTGGAGACCATAGAGAAAGCCCTAGTTCCCTGCCTCATTTTGCCGGAATGCCTCACATCCCGCTGGCACCTCGAGAGGCACGCGGAGTTCATTGCTTCAAAAGGTGACGGTGCCTGACTCTTCTTGAATACTGATAGGAATCCCAAAATCCCTGTGGCTACTGGAAAGGGTCCTTGAGTGCCCTGCTTCACCTCGAGAAGCGTCCCTTTTGCCCTGCCAAGCCTCGAAGAGATTCCTGAGGTGTCCCTCGTTACTAGACAGGAGTCCTGACGTCACTGAATAAACACGAGTTTTGAAGGGCCATCCCTGCCGTAAGTCGAGAACATACCCCAGGTCCCCACCGCAACTCGAGAAAAACCATGAGACTTCCCCCTAGAGGCGAGGTGAGGCCCCATTCCCATGCAGTGCATGCAGAGCTATTCGGTGATCCCATTCAAACAAGTCAGGAGCTTCGACTTGCTTAATGGATCTCGAGACAGTCCCCAAGAACACTGTCACAAGTCTAGACGGACCCTGAGGTCACCCAGGCAATGCAAAGCAGCTCCATGTGCCCCAAATCAACTCGAGATGAGGCCCGATTTTCCTGCATTGACTCCAGAGCCATTCCCTGTTCCCCATTCAACATGACCGGTGGCTCGACTTCCTTCAGGCAACTCCAGAGATGCCCCGAGAACACTGTCCCAAGTCTAGAGGAACACCAACTTCAGCACAGCGACTCGAGGAATGCTCCGTGTACACCAAATCGTCTCGAGATGAGAGCTGATTCCCTGGCTTAGGCTCAACGTATGCCAACTTTCCAGAAGCACCTCAAGAGGAGGATTCTCTCAGCAATAGTTATGTGGGAGGGACACCGAGTTTGCTGCCTCAAGGGGAATATACAGTGAGAAGCCCTAAATTGAAAGCAGGCCGGGTTTCCTTCCAGTGGCTTGAATACAGGCTCGTCTTTCATCTAACAACATGAAGGGATGTCTGAATGCCCTGTGGAGACCTTAGAGAAAGCCCTAGGTCCCTGCCTCATTTTGACGGAGTGCCTCACATCCCGTTGACACCTCGAGAGGCACGCGGAGCTCACTGCTTCAAAAGGTGACGATGACTGACTCCTCTTGAATACTGATAGGAATCCCAAAATCCCTGTGGCTACTGGAAAGGGTCCTTGGGTGCCCTTCTTCACCTCGAGAAGCGTCCCTTTTGCCTTGCAAAGCCTCGAAGAGATTCCTGAGGTGTCCCTCGTTACTAGACAGGAGTCCTGACGTCACTGAAGAAACTCGTGTTTTGAAGGGCCATCCCCGCGGTAAGTCGAGAACATACCCCAGGTCCCCGCCAAAACTCGAGAAAAACCATGAGACTTCCCCCTAGAGGCGAGATGAGGCCCCATTCCCCTGCAGGGCATGCAGAGCTATTCCGTGATCCCATTCAAACAAGTCAGGAGCTTCGACATGCTTAATGGATCTCGAGACAGTCCGCAAGGTCACCAGTCTAGACGGACCCTGAGGTCACCCCGCAACGCAAAGCAGCTCCATGTGCCCCAAACCAACTCGAGATGAGGCCCCATTCCCCTGCATTGACTCCAGAGCCATTCCCCTTTCCCCATTCAACACGACCGGTGGCTCGACTTCCTTCAGGCCACTCCAGAGATGCCCCGAGAACACTGTCCAAAGTCTAGAGGAACAACAACTTCAGCACAGCGACTCGAGGAATGCTCCGTGTACCTCAAATCGTCTCGAGATGAGAGCTGATTCCCTGGCTTAGGCTCAAGACGTATGCCAACTTTCCAGAAGCACCTCAGGAGGAGGCTTCTCTCAGCAATAGGTATGTGGGAGGGACCCCGAATTTGCTGCCTCAAGGGGAATATACCGCGAGAAGCCCTAAATTGAAAGCAGGCCGGGTTTCCTTCCAGTGGCTTGAATACAGGCTCGTCTTTCATCTAACAACATGAAGGGATGTCTGAATCCCCTGTGGAGACCTTAGAGAAAGACCTAGGTCCCTGCCTCATTTTGACGGAGTGCCTCACATCCCGTTGACACCTCGAGAGGCACGCGGAGCTCACTGCTTCAAAAGGTGACGATGCCTGACTCCTCTTGAATACTGACAGGAATCCCAAAATCCCTGTGGCTACTGGAAAGGGTCCGTGGGTGCCCTGCTTCACCTCGAGAAGCGTCCCTTTTGCCCTGCCAAGCCTCGAAGAGATTCCTGAGTTGTCCCTCGTTACTAGACAGTAGTTCTGACGTCACTGAAGAAACTCGTGTTTTGAAGGGCCATCCCCGCCGTAAGACGAGAACATAAGCCAGGTCCCCGCCGCAACTCGAGAAAAACCATGAGACTTCCCCCTAGAGGCGAGATGAGGCCCCATTCCCCTGCAGTGCATGCAGAGCTATTCCGTGATCCCATTCAAACAAGTCAGGAGCTTCGACTTGCTTAATGGATCTCGAGACAGTCCGCAAGGTCACCAGTCTAGACGGACCCTGAGGTCACTCCAGCAACGCAAAGCAGTTCCATGTGCCCCAAATAAATTCGAGATGAGGCCCGATTCGCCTGCATTGACTCCAGAGCCATTCCCCGTTCCACATTCAACATGACCGGTGGCTCAATTTCTTTCAGGCAACTACAGAGATGCCCCGAGAACACTGTCCCAAGTCTAGAGGAACACCAACTTCAGTACAGCAACTCGAGGAATGCTCCGTGTACCCCAAATCGTCTCGAGATGAGAGCTGATTCCCTGGCTTAGGCTCAAGACGTATGCCAACTTTCCAGAAGCGCCTCAAGAGGTGGCTTCTCTCAGCAATAGGTATGTGGGAAGCACCCCGAGTTTGCTTCCTCAAGGGGAATATACAGCGAGAAGCCCTAACTTGAAAGGAGGCCGGATTTCCTTGCAGTGGCTTGAATACAGGCTCGTCTTTCATCTCACAACATGAAGGGATGTCTGAATCCCCTGTGGAGACCATAGAGAAAGCCCTAGGTCCCTGCCTCATTTTGACGGAATGCCTCACATCCCGCTGACACCTCGTGAGGCACGCGGAGTTCATTGCTTCAAAAGGTGACGGTGCCTGACTCTTCTTGAATACTGATAGGAATCCCAAAATCCCTGTGGCTACTGGAAAGGGTCCTTGAGTGCCCTGCCTCACCTCGAGAAGCGTCCCTTTTGCCCTGCCAAGCCTCGAAGAGATTCCTGAGGTGTCCCTCGTTACTAGACAGGAGTCCTGACGTCACTGAATAAACACCAGTTTTGAAGGGCCATCCCTGCCGTAAGTCGAGAACATACCCCAGGTCCCCACCGCAACTCGAGAAAAACCATGAGACTTCCCCCTAGAGGCGAGGTGAGGCCCCATTCCCATGCAGTGCATTCAGAGCTATTCCGTGATCCCATTCAAACAAGTCAGGAGCTTCGACTTGCATAATGGATCTCGAGACAGTCCCCAAGAACACTGTCACAAGTCTAGACGGACCCTGAGGTCACCCAGGCAACGCAAAGCAGCTCCATGTGCCCCAAATCAACTCGAGATGAGGCCCGATTCCCCTGCATTGACTCCAGAGCCATTCCCCGTTCCCCATTCAACACGACAGGTGGCTCGACTTCATTCAGGCAACTCCAGAGATGCCCTGAGAACACTGTCCCAAGTGTAGAGGAACACCAACTTCAGCACAGCGACTCGAGGAATGCTCCGTGTACACCAAATCGTCTCGAGATGAGAGCTGATTCCCTGGCTTAGGCTCAACGTATGCCAACTTTCCAGAAGCACCTCAAGAGGAGGATTCTCTCAGCAATAGTTATGTGGGAGGGACAAAGAGTTTGCTGCCTCAAGGGGAATATACAGTGAGAAGCCCTAAATTGAAAGCAGGCCGGGTTTCCTTGCAGTGGCTTGAATACAGGCTCGTCTCTCATCTAACAACATGAAGGGATGTCTGAATGCCCTGTGGAGACCTTAGAGAAAGCCCTAGGTCCCTGCCTCATTTTGACGGAGTGCCTCACATCCCGTTGACACCTCGAGAGGCACGCGGAGCTCACTGCTTCAAAAGGTGACGATGCCTGACTCCTCTTGAATACTGATAGGAATCCCAAAATCCCTGTGGCTACAGGAAAGGGTCCTTGGGTGCCCTGCTTCACCTCGAGAAGCGTCCCTTTTGCCTTGCAAAGCCTCGAAGAGATTCCTGAGGTGTCCCTCGTTACTAGACAGGAGTCCTGACGTCACTGAAGAAACTCGTGTTTTGAAGGGCCATCCCCGCGGTAAGTCGAGAACATACCCCAGGTCCCCGCCAAAACTCGAGAAAAACCATGAGACTTCCCCCTAGAGGCGAGATGAGGCCCCATTCCCCTGCAGTGCATGCAGAGCTATTCCGTGATCCCATTCAAACAAGTCAGGAGCTTCGACATGCTTAATGGATCTCGAGACAGTCCGCAAGGTCACCAGTCTAGACGGACCCTGAGGTCACCCCGCAACGCAAAGCAGCTCCATGTGCCCCAAACCAACTCAAGATGAGGCCCCATTCCCCTGCATTGACTCCTGAGCCATTCCCCGTTCCCCATTCAACACGACCGGTGGCTCGACTTCCTTCAGGCCACTCCAGAGATGCCCCGAGAACACTGTCCCAAGTCTAGAGGAACACCAACTTCAGCACAGCGACTCGAGGAATGCTCCGTGTACCTCAAATCGTCTCGAGATGAGAGCTGATTCCCTGGCTTAGGCTCAAGACGTATGCCAACTTTCCAGAAGCACCTCAGGAGGAGGCTTCTCTCAGCAATAGGTATGTGGGAGGGACCCCGAATTTGCTGCCTCAAGGGGAATATACCACGAGAAGCCCTAAATTGAAAGCAGGCCGGGTTTCCTTCCAGTGGCTTGAATACAGGCTCGTCTTTCATCTAACAACATGAAGGGATGTCTGAATGCCCTATGGAGACCTTAGAGAAAGCCCTAGGTCCCTGCCTCATTTTGACGGAGTGCCTCACATCCCGTTGACACCTCGAGAGGCACGCGGAGTTCACTGCTTCAAAAGGTGACGATGCCTGACTCCTCTTGAATACTGATAGGAATCCCAAAATCCCTGTGGCTACTGGAAAGGGTCCTTGGGTGCCCTGCTTCACCTCGAGAAGCGTCCCTTTTGCCTTGCAAAGCCTCGAAGAGATTCCTGAGGTGTCCCTCGTTACTAGACAGGAGTCCTGACGTCACTGAAGAAACTCGTGTTTTGAAGGGACATTACCGCGTTAAGTCGAGAACATACCCCAGGTCTCTGCCAAAACTCGAGAAAAACCATGAGACTTCCCCCTAGAGGCGAGATGAGGCCCCATTCCCCTGTAGGGCATGCAGAGCTATTCCGTGATCCCATTCAAACAAGTCAGGAGCTTCGACTTGCTTAATGGATCTCGAGACAGTCCGCAAGGTCACCAGTCTAGACGGACCCTGAGGTCACTCCAGCAACGCAAAGCAGCTCCATGTGCCACAAATCAATTCGAGATGAGGCCCCATTCCCCTGCATTGACTCCAGAGCCATTCCCCGTTCCCCATTCAACATGACCGGTGGCTCAATTTCTTTCAGGCCACTCCAGAGATGCCCCGAGAACACTGTCCCAAGTCTAGAGGAACACCAACTTCAGCACAGCAACTCGAGGAATGCTCCGTGTACCCCAAATCGTCTCGAGATGAGAGCTGATTCCCTGGCTTAGGCTCAAGACGTATGCCAACTTTCCAGAAGCGCCTCAAGAGGTGGCTTCTCTCAGCAATAGGTATGTGGGAAGGACCCCGAGTTTGCTTCCTCAAGGGGAATATACAGGGAGAAGCCCTAACTTGAAAGGAGGCCGGATTTCCTTGCAGTGGCTTGAATACAGGCTCGTCTTTCATCTCACAAGATGAAGGGATGTCTGAATCCCCTGTGGAGACCATAGAGAAAGCCCTAGGTCCCTGCCTCATTTTGACGGAATGCCTCACATCCCGCTGACACCTCGAGAGGCACGCGGAGTTCATTGCTTCAAAAGGTGACGGTGCCTGACTCTTCTTGAATACTGATAGGAATCCCAAAATCCCTGTGGCTACTGGAAAGGGTCCTTGAGTGCCCTGCCTCACCTCGAGAAGCGTCCCTTTTGCCCTGCCAAGCCTCGAAGAGATTCCTGAGGTGTCCCTCGTTACTAGACAGGAGTCCTGACGTCACTGAATAAACACCAGTTTTGAAGGGCCATCCCTGCCGTAAGTCGAGAACATACCCCAGGTCCCCACCGCAACTCGAGAAAAACCATGAGACTTCCCCCTAGAGGCGAGGTGAGGCCCCATTCCCATGCAGTGCATGCAGAGCTATTCCGTGATCCCATTCAAACAAGTCAGGAGCTTCGACTTGCATAATGGATCTCGAGACAGTCCCCAAGAACACTGTCACAAGTCTAGACGGACCCTGAGGTCACCCAGGCAACGCAAAGCAGCTCCATGTGCCCCAAATCAACTCGAGATGAGGCCCGATTCCCCTGCATTGACTCCAGAGCCATTCCCCGTTCCCCATTCAACACGACAGGTGGCTCGACTTCATTCAGGCAACTCCAGAGATGCCCTGAGAACACTGTCCCAAGTGTAGAGGAACACCAACTTCAGCACAGCGACTCGAGGAATGCTCCGTGTACACCAAATCGTCTCGAGATGAGAGCTGATTCCCTGGCTTAGGCTCAACGTATGCCAACTTTCCAGAAGCACCTCAAGAGGAGGATTCTCTCAGCAATAGTTATGTGGGAGGGACACCGAGTTTGCTGCCTCAAGGGGAATATACAGTGAGAAGCCCTAAATTGAAAGCAGGCCGGGTTTCCTTGCAGTGGCTTGAATACAGGCTCGTCTCTCATCTAACAACATGAAGGGATGTCTGAATGCCCTGTGGAGACCTTAGAGAAAGCCCTAGGTCCCTGCCTCATTTTGACGGAGTGCCTCACATCCCGTTGACACCTCGAGAGGCACGCGGAGCTCACTGCTTCAAAAGGTGACGATGCCTGACTCCTCTTGAATACTGATAGGAATCCCAAAATCCCTGTGGCTACAGGAAAGGGTCCTTGGGTGCCCTGCTTCACCTCGAGAAGCGTCCCTTTTGCCTTGCAAAGCCTCGAAGAGATTCCTGAGGTGTCCCTCGTTACTAGACAGGAGTCCTGACGTCACTGAAGAAACTCGTGTTTTGAAGGGCCATCCCCGCGGTAAGTCGAGAACATACCCCAGGTCCCCGCCAAAACTCGAGAAAAACCATGAGACTTCCCCCTAGAGGCGAGATGAGGCCCCATTCCCCTGCAGTGCATGCAGAGCTATTCCGTGATCCCATTCAAACAAGTCAGGAGCTTCGACATGCTTAATGGATCTCGAGACAGTCCGCAAGGTCACCAGTCTAGACGGACCCTGAGGTCACCCCGCAACGCAAAGCAGCTCCATGTGCCCCAAACCAACTCAAGATGAGGCCCCATTCCCCTGCATTGACTCCTGAGCCATTCCGCGTTCCCCATTCAACACGACCGGTGGCTCGACTTCCTTCAGGCCACTCCAGAGATGCCCCGAGAACACTGTCCCAAGTCTAGAGGAACACCAACTTCAGCACAGCGACTCGAGGAATGCTCCGTGTACCTCAAATCGTCTCGAGATGAGAGCTGATTCCCTGGCTTAGGCTCAAGACGTATGCCAACTTTCCAGAAGCACCTCAGGAGGAGGCTTCTCTCAGCAATAGGTATGTGGGAGGGACCCCGAATTTGCTGCCTCAAGGGGAATATACCACGAGAAGCCCTAAATTGAAAGCAGGCCGGGTTTCCTTCCAGTGGCTTGAATACAGGCTCGTCTTTCATCTAACAACATGAAGGGATGTCTGAATGCCCTGTGGAGACCTTAGAGAAAGCCCTAGGTCCCTGCCTCATTTTGACGGAGTGCCTCACATCCCGTTGACACCTCGAGAGGCACGCGGAGTTCACTGCTTCAAAAGGTGACGATGCCTGACTCCTCTTGAATACTGATAGGAATCCCAAAATCCCTGTGGCTACTGGAAAGGGTCCTTGGGTGCCCTGCTTCACCTCGAGAAGCGTCCCTTTTGCCTTGCAAAGCCTCGAAGAGATTCCTGAGGTGTCCCTCGTTACTAGACAGGAGTCCTGACGTCACTGAAGAAACTCGTGTTTTGAAGGGACATTACCGCGTTAAGTCGAGAACATACCCCAGGTCTCTGCCAAAACTCGAGAAAAACCATGAGACTTCCCCCTAGAGGCGAGATGAGGCCCCATTCCCCTGTAGGGCATGCAGAGCTATTCCGTGATCCCATTCAAACAAGTCAGGAGCTTCGACTTGCTTAATGGATCTCGAGACAGTCCGCAAGGTCACCAGTCTAGACGGACCCTGAGGTCACTCCAGCAACGCAAAGCAGCTCCATGTGCCACAAATCAATTCGAGATGAGGCCCCATTCCCCTGCATTGACTCCAGAGCCATTCCCCGTTCCCCATTCAACATGACCGGTGGCTCAATTTCTTTCAGGCCACTCCAGAGATGCCCCGAGAACACTGTCCCAAGTCTAGAGGAACACCAACTTCAGCACAGCAACTCGAGGAATGCTCCGTGTACCCCAAATCGTCTCGAGATGAGAGCTGATTCCCTGGCTTAGGCTCAAGACGTATGCCAACTTTCCAGAAGCGCCTCAAGAGGTGGCTTCTCTCAGCAATAGGTATGTGGGAAGGACCCCGAGTTTGCTTCCTCAAGGGGAATATACAGGGAGAAGCCCTAACTTGAAAGGAGGCCGGATTTCCTTGCAGTGGCTTGAATACAGGCTCGTCTTTCATCTCACAACATGAAGGGATGTCTGAATCCCCTGTGGAGACCATAGAGAAAGCCCTAGGTCCCTGCCTCATTTTGACGGAATGCCTCACATCCCGCTGACACCTCGAGAGGCACGCGGAGTTCATTGCTTCAAAAGGTGACGGTGCCTGACTCTTCTTGAATACTGATAGGAATCCCAAAATCCCTGTGGCTACTGGAAAGGGTCCTTGAGTGCCCTGCCTCACCTCGAGAAGCGTCCCTTTTGCCCTGCCAAGCCTCGAAGAGATTCCTGAGGTGTCCCTCGTTACTAGACAGGAGTCCTGACGTCACTGAATAAACACGAGTTTTGAAGGGCCATCCCTGCCGTAAGTCGAGAACACACCCCAGGTCCCCACCGCAACTCGAGAAAAACCATGAGACTTCCCCCTAGAGGCGAGGTGAGGCCCCATTCACATGCAGTGTATGCAGAGCTATTCCGTGATCCCATTCAAACAATTCAGGAGCTTCGACTTGCTTAATGGATCTCGAGACAGTCCCCAAGAACACTTTCACAAGTCTAGACGGACCCTGAGGTCACTCCAGCAACGCAAAGCAGCTCCATGTGCCCCAAATCAATTCGAGATGAGGCCCCATTCCCCTGCATTGACTCCAGAGACATTCCCCGTTCCACATTCAACACGACCGGTGGCTCGACTTCCTTCAGGCAACTCCAGAGGTGCCCCGAGAACACTGTCCCAAGTCTAGAGGAACACCAACTTCACCACAGCAACCCGAGGAATGCTTCGTGTACCCCAAATCGTCTCGAGATGAGGGCTGATTCCCTGCCTTAGGCTCAAGACTTTTGCCAATTTCCAGAAGCACCTCAACAGGAGGCTTCTCTCAGCAATAGGTATGTGGGAGGGACCCCGAGTTTGCTGCCTCAAGGGGAATACAGCGAGAAGCCCTAACTTGAAAGGAGGCCGAATTTCCTTGCAGTGACTTGAAAACAGGCTCGTCTTTCATCTCACAACATGAAGGGATGTCTGAATCCCCTTTGGACACCTTAGAGAAATCCCTAGGTCCCTGCATCATTTTGCCGGAATGCCTCACATCCCGCTGACACCTCGAGAGGCACGCGGAGTTCATTGCTTCAAAAGGTGACGATGAATGAATCCTCTTGAATACTGATAGGAATCCCAAAATCCCTGTGGCTACTGGAAAGGGTCCTTGGGTGCCCTGCCTCACCTCGAGAAGCGTCCCTTTTGCCCTGCCAAGCCTCAAAGAGATTCCTGAGGTGTCCCTCGTTACTAGACAGGAGTCCTGACGTCACTGAAGAAACTCGTGTTTTGAAGGGCCATCCCCGCGGTAAGTCGAGAACATACCCCAGGTCCCCGCCAAAACTCGAGAAAAACCATGAGACTTCCCCCTAGAGGCGAGCTGAGGCCCCATTTCCCTGCAGGGCATGCAGAGCTATTCCGTGATCCCATTCAAACAAGTCAGGAGCTTCGACATGCTTAATGGATCTCGAGACAGTCCGCAAGGTCACCAGTCTAGACGGACCCTGAGGTCACCCCGCAACGCAAAGCAGCACCATATGCCCCAAACCAACTCGAGATGAGGCCCCATTCCCCTGCATTGACTCCAGAGCCATTCCCCTTTCCCCATTCAACACGACCGGTGGCTCGACTTCCTTCAGGCAACTCCAGAGATGCCCCGAGAACACTGTCCCAAGTCTAGAGGAACACCAACTTCAGCACAGCGACTCGAGGAATGCTCCGTGTACCCCAAATCGTCTCGAGATGAGAGCTGATTAACTGGCTTAGGCTCAAGACGTATGCCAACTTTCCAGAAGCACCTCAAGAGGAGGATTCTCTCAGCAATAGGTATGTGGGAGGGACACCGAGTTTGCTGCCTCAAGGGGAGTATACAGTGAGAAGCCCTAAAATGAAAGCAGGCCGGGTTTCCTTGCAGTGGCTTGAATACAGGCTCGTCTTTCATCTAACAACATGAAGGGATGTCTGAATCCCCTGTGGAGACCTTAGAGAATGCCCTAGGTCCCCGCCTCATTTTGACGGAGTGCCTCACATCCCGTTGACACCTCGAGAGGCACGCGGAGTTCACTGCTTCAAAAGGTGACGATGCCTGACTCCTCTTGAATACTGATAGGAATCCCAAAATCCCTGTGGCTACTGGAAAGGTTCCTTGGGTGCCCTGCTTCACCTCGAGAAGCGTCCCTTTTGCCTTGCAAAGCCTCGAAGAGATTCCTGAGGTGTCCCTCGTTACTAGACAGGAGTCCTGACGTCACTGAAGAAACTCGTGTTTTGAAGGGCCATCCCCGCGGTAAGTCGAGAACATACCCCAGGTCCCCGCCAAAACTCGAGAAAAACCATGAGACTTCCCCCTAGAGGCGAGATGAGGCCCCATTCCCCTGCAGGGCATGCAGAGCTATTCCGTGATCCCATTCAAACAAGTCAGGAGCTTCGACTTGCTTAATGGATCTCGAGACAGTCCGCAAGGTCACCAGTCTAGACGGACCCTGAGGTCACTCCAGCAACGCAAAGCAGCTCCATGTGCCCCAAATCAATTCGAGATGAGGCCCTATTCGCCTGCATTGACTCCAGAGCCATTCCCCGTTCCCCATTCAACATGACCGGTGGCTCGATTTCTTTCAGGAAACTACAGAGATGCCCCGAGAACACTCTCCCAAGTCTAGAGGAACACCAACTTCAGCACAGCAACTCGAGGAATGCTCCGTGTACCCCAAATCGTCTCGAGATGAGAGCTGATTCCCTGGCTTAGGCTCAAGACGTATGCCAACTTTCCAGAAGCACCTCAAGAGGTGGCTTCTCTCAGCAATAGGTATGTGGGAAGGACCCCGAGTTTGCTGCCTCAAGGGGAATATACAGCGAGAAGCCCTAACTTGAAAGGAGGCCGTATTTCCTTGCAGTGGCTTGAATACAGCCTCGTCTTTCATCTCACAACATGAAGGGATGTCTGAATCCCCTGTGGAGACCATAGAGAAAGCCCTAGGTCGCTGCCTCATTTTGACGGAATGCCTCACATCACGCTGACACCTCGAGAGGCACGCGGAGTTCATTGCTTCAAAAGGTGACGGTGCCTGACTCTTCTTGAATACTGATAGGAATCCCAAAATCCCTGTGGCTACTGGAAAGGGTCCTTGAGTGCCCTGCCTCACCTCGAGAAGCGTCCCTTTTGCCCTGCCAAGCCTCGAAGTGATTCCTGAGGTGTCCCTCGTTACTAGACAGGAGTCCTGACGTCACTGAATAAACACGAGTTTTGAAGGGCCATCCCTGCCGTAAGTCGAGAACATACCCCAGGTCCCCACCGCAACTCGAGAAAAACCATGAGACTTCCCCCTAGAGGCGAGGTGAGGCCCCATTCCCCTGCAGTGCATGCAGAGCTATTCCGTGATCCCATTCAAACAAGTCAGGAGCTTCGACTTGCAAAATGGATCTCGAGACAGTCCCCAAGAACACTGTCACAAGTCTAGACGGACCCTGAGGTCACCCAGGCAACGCAAAGCAGCTCCATGTGCCCCAAATCAAATCGAGATGAGGCCCGATTCCCCTGCATTGACTCCAGAGCCATTCCCCGTTCCCCATTCAACACGACAGGTGGCTCGACTTCATTCAGGCAACTCCAGAGATGCCCTGAGAACACTGTCCCAAGTGTAGAGGAACACCAACTTCAGCACAGCGACTCGAGGAATGCTCCGTGTACACCAAATCGTCTCGAGATGAGAGCTGATTCCCTGGCTTAGGCTCAACGTATGCCAACTTTCCAGAAGCACCTCAAGAGGAGGATTCTCTCAGCAATAGTTATGTGGGAGGGACACCGAGTTTGCTGCCTCAAGGGGAATATACAGTGAGAAGCCCTAAATTGAAAGCAGGCCGGGTTTCCTTGCAGTGGCTTGAATACAGGCTCGTCTTTCATCTAACAACATGAAGGGATGTCTGAATACCCTGTGGAGACCTTAGAGAAAGCCCTAGGTCCCTGCCTCATTTTGACGGAGTGCCTCACATCCCGTTGACACGCGAGAGGCACGCGGAGCTCACTGCTTCAAAAGGTGACGATGCCTGACTCCTCTTGAATACTGATAGGAATCCCAAAATCCCTCTGGCTACTGGAAAGGGTCCTTGGGTGCCCTGCTTCACCTCGAGAAGCGTCCCTTTTGCCTTGCAAAGCCTCGAAGAGATTCCTGAGGTGTCCCTCGTTACTAGACAGGAGTCCTGACGTCACTGAAGAAACTCGTGTTTTGAAGGGCCATCCCCGCGGTAAGTCGAGAACATACCCCAGGTCCCCGCCAAAACTCGAGAAAAACCATGAGACTTCCCCCTAGAGGCGAGATGAGGCCCCATTCCCCTGCAGTGCATGCAGAGCTATTCCGTGATCCCATTCAAACAAGTCAGGAGCTTCGACATGCTTAATGGATCTCGAGACAGTCCGCAAGGTCACCAGTCTAGACGGACCCTGAGGTCACCCCGCAACGCAAAGCAGCTCCATGTGCCCCAAACCAACTCGAGATGAGGCCCCATTCCCCTGCATTGACTCCAGAGCCATTCCCCGTGCCCCATTCAACACGACCGGTGGCTCGACTTCCTTCAGGCCACTCCAGAGATGCCCCGAGAACACTGTCCCAAGTCTAGAGGAACACCAACTTCAGCACAGCGACTCGAGGAATGCTCCGTGTACCTCAAATCGTCTCGAGATGAGAGCTGATTCCCTGGCTTAGGCTCAAGACGTATGCCAACTTTCCAGAAGCACCTCAGGAGGAGGATTCTCTCAGCAATAGGTATGTGGGAGGGACCCCGAATTTGCTGCCTCAAGGGGAATATACCACGAGAAGCCCTAAATTGAAAGCAGGCCGGGTTTCCTTCCAGTGGCTTGAATACAGGCTCGTCTTTCATCTAACAACATGAAGGGATGTCTGAATGCCCTGTGGAGACCTTAGAGAAAGCCCTAGGTCCCTGCCTCATTTTGACGGAGTGCCTCACATCCCGTTGACACCTCGAGAGGCACGCGGAGTTCACTGCTTCAAAAGGTGACGATGCCTGACTCCTCTTGAATACTGATAGGAATCCCAAAATCACTGTGGCTACTGGAAAGGGTCCTTGGGTGCCCTGCTTCACCTCGAGAAGCGTCCCTTTTGCCTTGCAAAGCCTCGAAGAGATTCCTGAGGTGTCCCTCGTTACTAGACAGGAGTCCTGACGTCACTGAAGAAACTCGTGTTTTGAAGGGCCATCCCCGCGGTAAGTCGAGAACATACCCCAGGTCCCTACCAAAACTCGAGAAAAATCATGAGACTTCCCCCTAGAGGCAAGATGAGGCCCCATTCCCCTGCAGTGCATGCAGAGCTATTCCGTGATCCCATTCAAACAAGTCAGGAGCTTCGACTTGCTTAATGGATCTCGAGACAGTCCGCAAGGTCACCAGTCTAGACGGACCCTGAGGTCACTCCAGCAACGCAAAGCAGCTCCATGTGCCCCAAATCAATTAGAGATGAGGCCCCATTCCCCTGCATTGACTCCAGAGCCATTCCCCGTTCCCCATTCAACATGACCGGTGGCTCAATTTCTTTCAGGCAACTACAGAGATGCCCCGAGAACACTGTCCCAAGTCTAGAGGAACACCAACTTCAGCACAGCAACTCGAGGAATGCTCCGTGTACCCCAAATCGTCTCGAGATGAGAGCTGATTCCCTGGCTTAGGCTCAAGACGTATGCCAACTTTCCAGAAGCGCCTCAAGAGGTGGCTTCTCTCAGCAATAGGTATGTGGGAAGGACCCCGAGTTTGCTTCCTCAAGGGGAATATACAGCGAGAAGCCCTAACTTGAAAGGAGGCCGGATTTTCTTGCAGTGGCTTGAATACAGGCTCGTCTTTCATCTCACAACATGAAGGGATGTCTGAATCCCCTGTGGAGACCATAGAGAAAGCCCTAGGTCCCTGCCTCATTTTCACGGAATGCCTCACATCCCGCTGACACCTCGAGAGGCACGCGGAGTTCATTGCTTCAAAAGGTGACGGTGCCTGACTCTTCTTGAATACTGATAGGAATCCCAAAATCCCTGTGGCTACTGGAAAGGGTCCTTGAGTGCCCTGCCTCACCTCGAGAAGCGTCCCTTTTGCCCTGCCAAGCCTCAAAGAGATTCCTGAGGTGTCCCTCGTTACTAGACAGGAGTCCTGACGTCACTGAATAAACACGAGTTTTGAAGGGCCATCCCTGCCATAAGTCGAGAACACACCCCAGGTCCCCACCGCAACTCGAGAAAAACCATGAGACTTCCCCCTAGAGGCGAGGTGAGGCCCCATTCCCATGCAGTGCATGCAGAGCTATACCGTGATCCCATTCAAACAAGTCAGGAGCTTCGACTTGCTTAATGGATCTCGAGACAGTCCCCAAGAACACTGTCACAAGTCTAGACGGACCCTGAGGTCACCCAGGCAATGCAAAGCAGCTCCATGTGCCCCAAATCAACTCGAGATGAGGCCCGATTCCCCTGCATTGACTCCAGAGCCATTCCCCGTTCCCCATTCAACATGACCGGTGGCTCGATTTCTTTCAGGCAACTACAGAGATGCCCCGAGAACACTGTCCCAAGTCTAGACGAACACCAACTTCAGCACAGCAACTCGAGGAATGCTCCGTGTACCCCAAATCGTCTCGAGATGAGAGCTGATTCCCTGGCTTAGGCTCAAGACGTATGCCAACTTTCCAGAAGCACCTCAAGAGGTGGCTTCTCTCAGCAATAGGTATGTGGGAAGGACCCCGAGTTTGCTTCCTCAAGGGGAATATACAGCGAGAAGCCCTAACTTGAAAAGAGGCCGGATTTCCTTGCAGTGGCTTGAATACAGGCTCGTCTTTCATCTCACAACATGAAGGGATGTCTGAATCCCCTGTGGAGACCATAGAGAAAGCCCTAGGTCCCTGCCTCATTTTGACGGAATGCCTCACATCCCGCTGACACCTCGTGAGGCACGCGGAGTTCATTGCTTCAAAAGGTGACGGTGCCTGACTCTTCTTGAATACTGATAGGAATCCCAAAATCCCTGTGGCTACTGGAAAGGGTCCTTGAGTGCCCTGCCTCACCTCGAGAAGCGTCCCTTTTGCCCTGCCAAGCCTCGAAGAGATTCCTGAGGTGTCCCTCGTTACTAGACAGGAGACCTGACGTCACTGAATAAACACGAGTTTTGAAGGGCCATCCCTGCCGTAAGTCGAGAACATACCCCAGGTCCCCACCGCAACTCGAGAAAAACCATGAGACTTCCCCCTAGAGGCGAGGTGAGGCCCCATTCCCATGCAGTGCATGCAGAGCTATTCCGTGATCCCATTCAAACAAGTCAGGAGCTTCGACATGCTTAATGCATCTCGAGACAGTCCGCAAGGTCACCAGTCTAGACGGACCCTGAGGTCACCCCACAACGCAAAGCAGCTCAATGTGCCCCAAACCAACTCGAGATGAGGCCCCATTCCCCTGCATTGACTCCAGAGCCATTCCCCGTTCCCCATTCAACACGACCGGTGGCTCGACTTCCTTCAGGCCACTCCAGAGATGCCCCGAGAACACTGTCCCAAGTCTAGAGGAACACCAACTTCAGCACAGCGACTCGAGGAATGCTCCGTGTACCTCAAATCGTCTCGAGATGAGAGCTGATTCCCTGGCTTAGGCTCAAGACGTATGCCAACTTTCCAGAAGCACCTCAGGAGGAGGCTTCTCTCAGCAATAGGTATGTGGGAGGGACCCCGAATTTGCTGCCTCAAGGGGAATATACCGCGAGAAGCCCTAAATTGAAAGCAGGCCGGGTTTCCTTCCAGTGGCTTGAATACAGGCTCGTCTTTCATCTAACAACATGAAAGGATGTCTGAATCCCCTGTGGAGACCTTAGAGAAAGCCCTAGGTCCCTGCCTCGTTTTGACGGAGTGCCTCACATCCCGTTGACACCTCGAGAGGCACGCGGAGTTCACTGCTTCAAAAGGTGACGATGCCTGACTCCTCTTGAATACTGATAGGAATCCCAAAATCCCTGTGGCTACTGGAACGGGTCCTTGGGTGCCCTGCTTCACCTCGAGAAGCGTCCATTTTGCCTTGCAAAGCCTCGAAGAGATTCCTGAGGTGTCCCTCGTTACTAGACAGGAGTCCTGACGTCACTGAAGAAACTCGTGTTTTGAAGGGCCATCCCCGCGTTAAGTCGAGAACATACCCCAGGTCCCTGCCAAAACTCGAGAAAAACCATGAGACTTCCCCCTAGAGGCGAGATGAGGCCCCATTCCCCTGCAGTGCATCCAGAGCTATTCCGTGATCCCATTCAAACAAGTCAGGAGCTTCGACTTGCTTAATGGATCTCGAGACAGTCCGCAAGGTCACCAGTCTAGACGGACCCTGAGGTCACTCCAGCAACGCAAAGCAGCTCCATGTGCCCCAAATCAATTCGAGATGAGGCCCCATTCCCCTGCATTGACTCCAGAGCCATTCCCCGTTCCATATTCAACACGACCGGTGGCTCGACTTCCTTCAGGCAACTCCAGAGGTGCCCCGAGAACACTGTCCCAAGTCTAGAGGAACACCAACTTCAGCACAGCAACCCGAGGAATGCTTCGTGTACCCCAAATCGTCTCGAGATGAGGGCTGATTCCCTGCCTTAGGCTCAAGACCTATGCCAATTTCCAGAAGTACCTCAACAGGAGGCTTCTCTCAGCAATAGGTATGTGGGAGGGACCCCGAGTTTGCTGCCTCAAGGGGAATACAGCGAGAAGCCCTAACTTGAAAGGAGGCCGGATTTCCTTGCAGTGACTTGAAAACAGGCTCGTCTTTCATCTCACAACATGAAGGGATGTCTGAATCCCCTTTGGACACCTTAGAGAAATCCCTAGGTCCCTGCATCTTTTTGCCGGAATGCCTCACATCCCGCTGACACCTCGAGAGGCACGCGGAGTTCATTGCTTCAAAAGGTGACGATGAATGAATCCTCTTGAATACTGATAGGAATCCCAAAATCCCTGTGGCTACTGGAAAGGGTCCTTGGGTGCCCTGCCTCACCTCGAGAAGCGTCCCTTTTGCCCTGCCAAGCCTCAAAGAGATTCCAGAGGTGTCCCTCGTTACTAGACAAGAGTCCTGACGTCACTGAAGAAACTCGTGTTTTGAAGGGCCATCCCCGCGGTAAGTCGAGAACATACCCCAGGTCCCCGCCAAAACTCGAGAAAAACCATGAGACTTCCCCCTAGAGGCGAGATGAGGCCCCATTCCCCTGCAGGGCATGCAGAGCTATTCCGAGATCCCATTCAAACAAGTCAGGAGCTTCGACTTGCTTAATGGATCTCGAGACAGTCCGCAAGGTCACCAGTCTAGACGGACCCAGAGGTCACCCCAGCAACGCAAAGCAGCTCCATGTGCCCCAAATCAACTCGAGATGAGGCCCGATTCCCCTGCATTGACTCCAGAGCCATTCCCCGTTCCCCATTCAACACGACAGGTGGCTCGACTTCCTTCAGGCAACTCCAGAGATGCCCCGAGAACACTGTCCCAAGTCTAGAGGAACACCAACTTCAGCACAGCGACTCGAGGAATGCTCCGTGTACCCCAAATCGTCTCGAGATGAGAGCTGATTAACTGGCTTAGGCTCAAGACGTATGCCAACTTTCCAGAAGCACCTCAAGAGGAGGATTCTCTCAGCAATAGGTATGTGGGAGGGACACCGAGTTTGCTGCCTCAAGGGGAGTATACAGTGAGAAGCCCTAAAATGAAAGCAGGCCGGGTTTCCTTGCAGTGGCTTGAATACAGGCTCGTCTTTCATCTAACAACATGAAGGGATGTCTGAATCCCCTGTGGAGACCTTAGAGAATGCCCTAGGTCCCTGCCTCATTTTGACGGAGTGCCTCACATCCCGTTGACACCTCGAGAGGCACGCGGAGTTCACTGCTTCAAAAGGTGACGATGCCTGACTCCTCTTGAATACTGATAGGAATCCCAAAATCCCTGTGGCTACTGGAAAGGGTCCTTGGGTGCCCTGCTTCACCTCGAGAACCGTCCCTTTTGCCTTGCAAAGCCTCGAAGAGATTCCTGAGGTGTCCCTCGTTACTAGACAGGAGTCCTGACGTCACTGAAGAAACTCGTGTTTTGAAGGGCCATCCCCGCGGTAAGTCGAGAACATAACCCAGGTCCCCGCCAAAACTCGAGAAAAACCATGAGACTTCCGCCTAGAGGCGAGATGAGGCCCCATTCCCCTGCAGGGCATGCAGAGCTATTCCGTGATCCCATTCAAACAAGTCAGGAGCTTCGACTTGCTTAATTGATCTCGAGACAGTCCGCAACGTCACCAGTCTAGACGGACCCTGAGGTCACTCCAGCAACGCAAAGCAGCTCCATGTGCCCCAAATCAATTCGAGATGAGGCCCGATTCGCCTGCATTGACTCCAGAGCCATTCCCCGTTCCCCATTCAACATGACCAGTGGCTCGATTTCTTTCAGGAAACTACAGAGATGCCCCGAGAACACTCTCCCAAGTCTAGAGGAACACCAACTTCAGCACAGCAACTCGAGGAATGCTCCGTGTACCCCAAATCGTCTCGAGATGAGATCTGATTCCCTGGCTTAGGCTCAAGACGTATGCCAACTTTCCAGAAGCACCTCAAGAGGTGGCTTCTCTCAGCAATAGGTATGTGGGAAGGACCCCGAGTTTGCTGCCTCAAGGGGAATATACAGCGAGAAGCCCTAACTTGAAAGGAGGCCGTATTTCCTTGCAGTGGCTTGAATACAGCCTCGTCTTTCATCTCACAACATGAAGGGATGTCTGAATCCCCTGTGGAGACCATAGAGAAAGCCCTAGGTCCCTGCCTCATTTTGACGGAATGCCTCACATCCCGCTGACACCTCGAGAGGCACGCGGAGTTCATTGTTTCAAAAGGTGACGATGAATGAATCCTCTTTAATACTGATAGGAATCCCAAAATCCCTGTGGCTACTGGAAAGGGTCCTTGGGTGCCCTGCCTCACCTCGAGAAGCGTCCCTTTTGCCCTGCCAAGCCTCGAAGAGATTCCTGAGGTGTCCCTCGTTACTAGACAGGAGTCCTGACGTCACTGAAGAAACTCGTGTTTTGAAGGGCCATCCCCGCCGTAAGTAGAGAACATAACCCAGGTCCCCGCCGCAACTCGAGAAAAACCATGAGACTTCCCCCTAGAGGCGAGATGAGGCCCCATTCCCCTAGTGCATGCAGAGCTATTCCGTGATCCCATTCAAACAAGTCAGGAGCTTCGACTTGCTTAATGGATCTCGAGACAGTCCCCAAGAACACTGTCACAAGTCTAGACGGACCCTGAGGTCACCCCAGCAACGCAAAGCAGCTCCATGTGCCCCAAATTAACTCGAGATGAGGCCCGATTCCCCTGCATTGACTCCAGAGCCATTCCCCGTTCCCCATTCAACACGACAGGTGGCTCGACTTCCTTCAGGCAACTCCAGAGATGCCCCGAGAACACTGTCCCAAGTCTAGAGGAACACCAACTTCAGCACAGCGACTCGAGGAATGCTCCGTGTACCCCAAATCGTCTCGAGATGAGAGCTGATTCCCTGGCTTAGGCTCAAGACGTATGCCAACTTTCCAGAAGCATCTCAAGAGGAGGATTCTCTCAGCAATAGGTATGTGGGAGGGACACCGAGTTTGCTGCCTCAAGGGGAATATACTGTGAGAAGCCCTAAATTGAAAGCAGGCCGGGTTTCCTTCCAGTGGCTTGAATACAGGCTCGTCTTTCATCTAACAACATGAAGGGATGTCTGAATGCCCTGTGGAGACCTTAGAGAAAGCCCTAGGTCCCTGGCTCATTTTGACGGAGTGCCTCACATCCCGTTGACACCTCGAGAGGCACGCGGAGCTCACTGCTTCAAAAGGTGACGAAGCCTGACTCCTCTTGAATACTGATAGGAATCCCAAAATCCCTGTGGCTACTGGAAAGGGTCCTTGGGTGCCCTGCTTCACCTCGAGAAGCGTCCCTTTTGCCTTGCAAAGCCTCGAAGAGATTCCTGAGGTGTCCCTCGTTACTAGACAGGAGTCCTGACGTCACTGAAGAAACTCGTGTTTTGAAGGGCCATCCCCGCGGTAAGTCGAGAACATACCCCAGGTCCCCGCCAAAACTCGAGAAAAACCATGAGACTTCCCCCTAGAGGCGAGCTGAGGCCCCATTCCCCTGCAGTGCATGCAGAGCTATTCCGTGATCCCATTCAAACAAGTCAGGAGCTTCGACATGCTTAATGGATCTCGAGACAGTCCGCAAGGTCACCAGTCTAGACGGACCCTGAGGTCACCCCGCAACGCAAAGCAGCTCCATGTGCCCCAAACCAACTCGAGATGAGGCCCCATTCCCCTGTATTGACTCCAGAGCCATTCCCCGTTCAACATTCAACACGACCGGTGGCTCGACTTCCTTCAGGCCACTCCAGAGATGCCCCGAGAACACTGTCCCAAGTCTAGAGGAACACCAACTTCAGCACAGCGACTCGAGGAATGCTCCGTGTACCTCAAATCGTCTCGAGATGAGAGCTGATTCCCTGGCTTAGTCTCAAGACGTATGCCAACTTTCCAGAAGCACCTCAGGAGGAGGCTTCTCTCAGCAATAGGTATGTGGGAGGGACCCCGAATTTGCTGCCTCAAGGGGAATATACCGCGAGAAGCCCTAAATTGAAAGCAGGCCGGGTTTCCTTCCAGTGGCTTGAATACAGGCTCGTCTTTCATCTAACAACATGAAGGGATGTCTGAATCCCCTGTGGAGACCTTAGAGAAAGCCCTAGGTCCCTGCCTCATTTTGACGGAGTGCCTCACATCCCGTTGACACCTCGAGAGGCACGCGGAGTTCACTGCTTCAAAAGGTGACGGTGCCTGACTCCTCTTGAATACTGATAGGAATCCCAAAATCCCTGTGGCTACTGGAAAGGGTCCTTGGGTGCCCTGCCTCACCTCGAGAAGCGTCCCTTTTGCCTTGCAAAGCCTCGAAGAGATTCCAGAGGTGTCCCTCGTTACTAGACAGGAGTCCTGACGTCACTGAAGAAACTCGTGTTTTGAAGGGCCATCCCCGCGGTAAGTCGAGAACATAACCCAGGTCCCCGCCAAAACTCGAGAAAAACCATGAGACTTCCCCCTAGAGGCGAGATGAGGCCCCATTCCCCTGCAGGGCATGAAGAGCTATTCCGTGATCCCATTCAAACAAGTCAGGAGCTTCGACTTGCTTAATGGATCTCGAGACAGTCCGCAAGGTCACCAGTCTAGACGGACCCTGAGGTCACTCCAGCAACGCAAAGCAGCTCCATGTGCCCCAAATCAATTCGAGATGAGGCCCGATTCGCCTGCATTGACTCCAGAGCCATTCCCCGTTCCCCATTCAACATGACCGGTGGCTCGATTTCTTTCAGGCAACTACAGAGATGCCCCGAGAACACTGTCCCAAGTCTAGAGGAACACCAACTTCTGCACAGCAACTCGAGGAATGCTCCGTGTACCCCAAATCGTCTCGAGATGAGAGCTGATTCCCTGGCTTAGGCTCAAGACGTATGCCAACTTTCCAGAAGCACCTCAAGAGGTGGCTTCTCTCAGCAATAGGTATGTGTAAAGGACCTCGAGTTTGCTGCCTCAAGGGGAATATACAGCGAGAAGCCCTAACTTGAAAGGAGGCCGGATTTCCTTGCAGTGGCTTGAATACAGGCTCGTCTTTCATCTCACAACATGAAGGGATGTCTGAATCCCCTGTGGAGACCATAGAGAAAGCCCTAGGTCCCTGCCTCATTTTGACGGAATGCCTCACATCCCGCTGACACGTCGAGAGGCACGCGGAGTTCATTGCTTCAAAAGGTGACGGTGCCTGACTCTTCTTGAATACTGATAGGAATCCCAAAATGCCTGTGGCTACTGGAAAGGGTCCTTGGGTGCCCTGCCTCACCTCGAGAAGCGTCCCTTTTGCCTTGCAAAGCCTCGAAGAGATTCCTGAGGTGTCCCTCGTTACTAGACAGGAGTCCTGACGTCACTGAAGAAACTCGTGTTTTGAAGGGCCATCCCCGCGGTAAGTCGAGAACATACCCCAGGTCCCCGCCAAAACTCGAGAAAAACCATGAGACTTCCCCCTAGAGGCGAGCTGAGGCCCCATTCCCCTGCAGTGCATGCAGAGCTATTCCGTGATCCCATTCAAACAAGTCAGGAGCTTCGACATGCTTAATGGATCTCGAGACAGTCCGCAAGGTCACCAGTCTAGACGGACCCTGAGGTCACCCCGCAACACAAAGCAGCTCCATGTGCCCCAAACCAACTCGAGATGAGGCCCCATTCCCCTGCATTGACTCCAGAGCCATTCCCCGTTCCCCATTCAACACGACCGGTGGCTCGACTTCCTTCAGGTCACTCAAGAGATGCCCCGAGAACACTGTCCGAAGTCTAGAGGAACACCAACTTCAGCACAGCGACTCGAGGAATGTTCCGTGTACCTCAAATCGTCTCGAGATGAGAGCTGATTCCCTGGCTTAGGCTCAAGACGTATGCCAACTTTCCAGAAGCACCTCAGGAGGAGGCTTCTCTCAGCAATAGGTATGTGAGAGGGACCCCGAATTTGCTGCCTCAAGGGGAATATACAGCGAGAAGCCCTAACTTGAAAGGAGGCCGGATTTCCTTGCAGTGGCTTGAATACAGGCTCGTCTTTCATCTCACAACATGAAGGGATGTCTGAATCCCCTGTGGAGACCATAGAGAAAGCCCTAGGTCCCTGCCTCATTTTGACGGAATGCCTCACATCCCGCTTACACGTCGAGAGGCACGCGGAGTTCATTGCTTCAAAAGGTGACGGTGCCTGCCTCTTCTTGAATACTGATAGGAATCCCAAAATCCCTGTGGCTACTGGAAAGGGTCCTTGAGTGCCCTGCCTCACCTCGAGAAGCATTCCTTTTGCCCTGCCAAGCCTCGAAGAGATTCCTGAGGTGTCCCTCGTTACTAGACAGGAGTCCTGACGTCACTGAATAAACACCAGTTTTGAAGGGCCATCCCTGCCGTAAGTCGAGAACATATCCCAGGTCCCCACCGCAACTCGAGAAAAACCATGAGACTTCCCCCTAGAGGCGAGGTGTGGCCCCATTCCCATGCAGTCCATGCAGAGCTATTCCGTGATCCCATTCAAACAAGTCAGGAGCTTCGACTTGCTTAATGGATCTCGAGGCAGTCCCCAAGAACACTGTCACAAGTCTAGACGGAACCTGAGGTCACCCAGGCAACGCAAAGCAGCTCCATGTGCCCCAAATCAACTCGAGATGAGGCCCGATTCCCCTGCATTGACTCCAGAGCCATTCCCCTTTCCCCATTCAACACGACAGGTGGCTCGACTTCCTTCAGGCAACTCCAGAGATACCCCGAGAACACTGTCCCAAGTCTAGAGGAACACCAACTTCAGCACAGCGACTCGAGGAATGCTCCGTGTACCGCAAAACGTCTCGAGATGAGAGCTGATTCCCTGGCTTAGGCTCAAGACGTATGCCAACTTTCCAGAAGCACCTCAAGAGGAGGATTCTCTCAGCAATAGGTATGTGGGAGGGACACCGAGTTTGCTGCCTCAAGGAGAATATACAGTGAGAAGCCCTAAATTGAAAGCAGGCCGGGTTTCCTTGCAGTGGCTTGAATACAGGCTCGTCTTTCATCTAACAACATGAAGGGATGGCTGAATCCCCTGTGGAGACCTTAGAGAAAGCCCTAGGTCACTGCCTCATTTTGACGGAGTGCCTCACATCCCGTTGACACCTCGAGAGGCACGCGGAGTTCACTACTTCAAATGGTGACGATGCCTGACTCCTCTTGAATACTGATAGGAATCCCAAAATCCCTGTGGCTACTGGAAAGGGTCCTTGGGTGCCCTGCTTCACATCGAGAAGCGTCCCTTTTGCCTTGCAAAGCCTCGAAGAGATTCCTGAGGTGTCCCTCGTTACTAGACAGGAGTCCTGAAGTCACTGAAGAAACTCATGTTTTGAAGGGCCAGCCCCGCGGTAAGTCGAGAACATTCCCCAGGTCCCCGCCAAAACTCGAGAAAAACCATGAGACTTCCCCCTAGAGGCGAGATGAGGCCCCATTCCCCTGCAGTGCATGCAGAGCTATTCCGTGATCCCATTCAAACAAGTCAGGAGCTTCGACATGCTTAATGGATCTCGAGACAGTCCGCAAGGTCACGAGTCTAGACGGACCCTGAGGTCACCCCGCAACGCAAAGCAGCTCCATGTGCCCCAAACCAACTCGAGATGAGGCCCCATTCCCCTGCATTGACTCCAGAGCCATTCCCCGTTCCCCATTCAACACGACCGGTGGCTCGACTTCCTTCAGGCCACTCAAGAGATGCCCCGAGAACACTGTCCCAAGTCTAGAGGAACACCAACTTCAGCACAGCGACTCGAGGAATGTTCCGTGTACCTGAAATCGTCTCGAGATGAGAGCTGATTCCCTGGCTTAGGCTCAAGACGTATGCCAACTTTCCAGAAGCACCTCAAGAGGTGGCTTCTCTCAGCAATAGGTATGTGGGAAGGACCCCGAGTTTGCTGCCTCAAGGGGAATATACAGCGAGAAGCCCTAACTTGAAAGGAGGCCGGATTTCCTTGCAGTGGCTTGAATACAGGCTCGTCTTTCATCTCACAACATGAAGGGATGTCTGAATCCCCTGTGGAGACCATAGAGAAAGCCCTAGGTCCCTGCCTCATTTTGACGGAATGCCTCACATCCCGCTGACACCTCGAGAGGCACGCGGAGTTCATTGCTTCAAAAGGTGACGGTGCCTGACTCTTCTTGAATACTGATAGGAATCCCAAAATCCCTGTGGCTACTGGAAAGGTTCCTAGAGTGCCTTGCCTCACCTCGAGAAGCGTCCCTTTTGCCCTGCCAAGCCTCGAAGAGATTCCTGAGGTGTCCCTCGTTACTAGACAGGAGTCCTGACGTCACTGAATAAACACCAGTTTTGAAGGGCCATCCCTGCCGTAAGTCGAGAACATACCCCAGGTCCCCACCGCAACTCGAGAAAAACCATGAGACTTCCCCCTAGAGGCTAGGTGAGGCCCCATTCCCATGCAGTGCATGCAGAGCTATTCCGTGATCCCATTCAAACAAGTCAGGAGCTTCGACTTGCTTAATGGATCTCGAGACAGTCCCCAAGAACACTGTCACAAGTCTAGACGGACCCTGAGGTCACCCAGGCAACGCAAAGCAGCTCCATGTGCCCCAAATCAACTCGAGATGAGGCCCTATTCGCCTGCATTGACTCCAGAGCCATTCCCAGTTCCCCATTCAACATGACCGGTGGCTCGATTTCTTTCAGGCAATTACAGAGATGCCCCGAGAACACTGTCCCAAGTCTAGAGGAACACCAACTTCAGCACAGCAACTCGAGGAATGCTCCGTGTACCCCAAATCGTCTCGAGATGAGAGCTGATTCCCTGGCTTAGGCTCAAGACGTATGCCAACTTTCCAGAAGCACCTCAAGAGGAGGATTCTCTCAGCAATAGTTATGTGGGAGGGACACCGAGTTTGCTGCCTCAAGGGGAATATACAGTGAGAAGCCCTAAATTGAAAGCAGGCCTTGTTTCCTTACAGTGGCTTGAATACAGGCTCGTCTTTCATCTAACAACATGAAGGGATGTCTGAATCCCCTGTGGAGACCTTAGAGAAAGCCCTAGGTCCCTGCCTCATTTTGACGGAGTGCCTCACATCCCGTTGACACCTCGTGAGTCACGCGGAGTTCACTGCTTCAAAAGGTAACGATGCCTGACTGCTCTTGAATACTGATAGGAATCCCAAAATCCCTGTGGCTACTGGAAAGGGTCCTTGGGTGCCCTGCTTCACCTCGAGAAGCGTCCCTTTTGCCTTGCAAAGCCTCGAAGAGATTCCTGAGGTGTCCCTCGTTACTAGACAGGAGTCCTGACGTCACTGAAGAAACTCGTGTTTTGAAGGGCCATCCCCGCGGTAAGTCGAGAACATACCCCAGATCCCCGCCAAAACTCGAGAAAAACCATGAGACTTCCCCCTAGAGGCGAGATGAGGCCCCATTCCCCTGTAGGGCATGCAGAGCTATTCCGTGATCCCATTCAAACAAGTCAGGAGCTTCGACTTGCTTAATGGATCTCGAGACAGTCCGCAAGGTCACCAGGCTAGACGGACCCTGAGGTCACTCCAGCAACGCAAAGCAGTTCCATGTGCCCCAAATCAATTCGAGATGAGGCCCTATTCGCCTGCATTGACTCCAGAGCCATTCCCAGTTCCCCATTCAACATGACCGGTGGCTCGATTTCTTTCAGGCAATTACAGAGATGCCCCGAGAACACTGTCCCAAGTCTAGAGGAACACCAACTTCAGCACAGCAACTCGAGGAATGCTCCGTGTACCCCAAATCGTCTCGAGATGAGAGCTGATTCCCTGGCTTAGGCTCAAGACGTATGCCAACTTTCCAGAAGCACCTCAAGAGGTGGCTTCTCTCAGCAATAGGTATGTGGGAAGGACCCCGAGATTGCTGCCTCAAGGGGAATATACAGCGAGAAGCCCTAACTTGAAAGGAGGCCGGATTTCCTTGCAGTGGCTTGAATACAGGCTCGTCTTTCATCTCACAACATGAAGGGATGTCTGAATCCCCTGTGGAGACCATAGAGAAAGCCCTAGGTCCCTGCCTCATTTTGACGGAATGCCTCACATCCCGCTGACACCTCGAGAGGCACGCGGAGTTCATTGCTTCAAAAGGTGACGGTGCCTGACTCTTCTTGAATACTGATAGGAATCCCAAAATGCCTGTGGCTACTGGAAAGGGTCCTTGAGTGCCCTGCCTCACCTCGAGAAGCGTCCCTTTTGCCCTGCCAAGCCTCGAAGAGATTCCTGAGGTGTCTCTCGTTACTAGACAGGAGTCCTGACGTCACTGAATAAACACGAGTTTTGAAGGGCCATCCCTGCCGTAAGTCGAGAACATACCCCAGGTCCCCTCCGCAACTCGAGAAAAACCATGAGACTTGCCCCTAGAGGCGAGGTGAGGCCCCATTCCCATGCAGTGCATGCTGAGCTATTCCGTGATCCCATTCAAACAAGTCAGGAGCTTCGACTTGCTTAATGGATCTCGAGACAATCCCCAAGAACACTGTCACAAGTCTAGACGGACCCTGATGTCACCCAGGCAACGCAAAGCAGCTCCATGTGCCCCAAATCAACTCGAGATGAGGCCCGATTCCCCTGCATTGACTCCAGAGCCATTACCCGTTCCCCATTCAACACGACAGGTGGCTCGACTTCCTTCAGGCAACTCCAGAGATGCCCCGAGAACACTGTCCCAAGTCTAGAGGAACACCAACTTCAGCACAGCAACTCGAGGAATGCTCCGTGTACACCAAATCGTCTCGAGATGAGAGCTGATTCCCTGGCTTAGGCTCAAGACGTATGCCAACTTTCCAGAAGCACCTCAAGAGGAGGATTCTCTCAGCAATAGTTATGTGGGAGGGACACCGAGTTTGCTGCCTCAAGGGGAATATACAGTGAGAAGCCCTAAATTGAAAGCAGGCCGGGTTTCCTTGCAGTGGCTTGAATACAGGCTCGTCTTTCATCTAACAACATGAAGGGATGTCTGAATCCCCTGTGGAGACCTTAGAGAAAGCCCTAGGTCCCTGCCTCATTTTGACGGAGTGCCTCACATCCCGTTGACACCTCGAGAGGCACGCGGAGTTCACTGCTTCAAAAGGTGACGATGCCTGACTCCTCTTGAATACTGATAGGAATCCCAAAATCACTGTGGCTACTGGAAAGGGTCCTTGGGTGCCCTGGTTCACCTCGAGAAGCGTCCCTTTTGCCTTGCAAAGCCTCGAAGAGATTCCTGAGGTGTCCCTCGTTACTAGACAGGAGTCCTGACGTCACTGAAGAAACTCGTGTTTTGAAGGGCCATCCCCGCGGTAAGTCGAGAACATATCCCAGGTCCCCGCCAAAACTAGAGAAAAACCATGAGACTTCCCCCTAGAGGCGAGATGAGGCCCCATTCCCCTGCAGGGCATGCAGAGCTATTCCGTGATCCCATTCAAACAAGTCAGGAGCTTCGACATGCTTAATGGATCTCGAGACAGTCCGCAAGGTCACCAGTCTAGACGGACCCTGAGGTCACCCCGCAACGCAAAGCAGCTCCATGTGCCCCAAACCAACTCGAGATGAGGCCCCATTCCCCTGCATTGACTCCAGAGCCATTCCCCGTTCCCCATTCAACATGACCGGTGGCTCGATTTCTTTCAGGCAACTCCAGAGATGCCCCGAGAACACTGTCCCAAGTCTAGAGGAACACCAACTTCAGCACAGCAACTCGAGGAATGCTCCGTGTACCCCAAATCGTCTCGAGATGAGAGCTGATTCCCTGGCTTAGGCTCAAGACGTATGCCAACTTTCCAGAAGCACCTCAAGAGGTGGCTTCTCTCAGCAATAGGTATGTGTAAAGGACCTCGAGTGTGCTGCCTCAAGGGGAATATACAGCGAGAAGCCCTAACTTGAAAGGAGGCCGGATTTCCTTGCAGTGGCTTGAATACAGGCTCGTCTTTCATCTCACAACATGAAGGGATGTCTGAATCCCCTGTGGAGACCATAGAGAAAGCCCTAGGTCCCTGCCTCATTTTGACGGAATGCCTCACATCCCGCTTACACGTCGAGAGGCACGCGGAGTTCATTGCTTCAAAAGGTGACGGTGCCTGACTCTTCTTCAATACTGATAGGAATCCCAAAATCCCTGTGGCTACTGGAAAGGGTCCTTGAGTGCCCTGCCTCACCTCGAGAAGCGTCCCTTTTGCACTGCCAAGCCTCGAAGAGATTCCTGAGGTGTCCCTCGTTACTAGACAGGAGTCCTGACGTCACTGAATAAACACCAGTTTTGAAGGGCCATCCCTGCCGTAAGTCGAGAACATACCCCAGGTCCCCACCGCAACTCGAGAAAAACCATGAGACTTCCCCCTAGAGGCGAGGTGTGGCCCCATTCCCATGCAGTCCATGCAGAGCTATTCCGTGATCCCATTCAAACAAGTCAGGAGCTTCGACTTGCTTAATGGATCTCGAGGCAGTCCCCAAGAACCCTGTCACAAGTCTAGATGGACCCTGAGGTCACCCAGGCAACGCAAAGCAGCTCCATGTGCCCCAAATCAACTCGAGATGAGGCCCGATTCCCCTGCATTGACTCCAGAGCCATTCCCCTTTCCCCATTCAACACGACAGGTGGCTCGACTTCCTTCAGGCAACTCCAGAGATACCCCGAGAACACTGTCCCAAGTCTAGAGGAACACCAACTTCAGCACAGCGACTCGAGGAATGCTCCGTGTACCCCAAATCGTCTCGAGATGAGAGCTGATTCCATGGCTTAGGCTCAAGACGTATGCCAACTTTCCAGAAGCACCTCAAGAGGAGGATTCTCTCAGCAATAGGTATGTGGGAGGGACACCGAGTTTGCTGCCTCAAGGGGAATATACAGTGAGAAGCCCTAAATTGAAAGCAGGCCGGGTTTCCTTGCAGTGGCTTGAATACAGGCTCGTCTTTCATCTAACAACATGAAGGGATGTCTGAATCCCCTGTGGAGACCTTAGAGAAAGCCCTAGGTCACTGCCTCATTTTGACGGAGTGCCTCACATCCCGTTGACACCTCGAGAGGCTCGCGGAGTTCACTACTTCAAATGGTGACGATGCCTGACTCCTCTTGAATACTCATAGGAATCCCAAAATCCCTGTGGCTACTGGAAAGGGTCCTTGGGTGCCCTGCTTCACCTCGAGAAGCGTCCCTTTTGCCCTGCAAAGCCTCGAAGAGATTCCTGAGGTGTCCCTCGTTACTAGACAGGAGAGCTGAAGTCACTTAAGAAACTCATGTTTTGAAGGGCCATCCCCGCGGTAAGTCGAGAACATACCCCAGGTCCCTGCCAAAACTCGAGAAAAACCATGAGACTTCCCCCTAGAGGCGAGATGAGGCCCCATTCCCCTGCAGTGCATGCAGAGCTATTCCGTGATCCCATTCAAACAAGTCAGGAGCTTCGACATGCTTAATGGATCTCGAGACAGTCCGCAAGGTCACCAGTCTAGACGGACCCTGAGGTCACCCCGCAACGCAAAGCAGCTCCATGTGCCCCAAACCAACTCGAGATGAGGCCCCATTCCCCTGCATTGACTCCAGAGCCATTCCCCGTTCCCCATTCAACACGACCGGTGGCTCGACTTCCTTCAGGCCACTCAAGAGATGCCCCGAGAACACTGTCCCAAGTATAGAGGAACACCAACTTCAGCACAGCGACTCGAGGAATGTTCCGTGTACCTCAAATCGTCTCGAGATGAGAGCTGATTCCCTGGCTTAGGCTCAAGACGTATGCCAACTTTCCAGAAGCACCTCAAGAGGTGGCTTCTCTCAGCAATAGGTATGTGGGAAGGACCCCGAGTTTGCTGCCTCAAGGGGAATATACAGCGAGAAGCCCTAAGTTGAAAGGAGGCCGGGTTTCCTTGCAGTGGCTTGAATACAGGCTCGTCTTTCATCTCACAACATGAAGGGATGTCTGAATCCCCTGTGGAGACCATAGAGAAAGCCCTAGGTCCCTGCCTCATTTTGACGGAATGCCTCACATCCCGCTGACACCTCGAGAGGCACGCGGAGTTCATTGCTTCAAAAGTTGACGGTGCCTGACTCTTCTTTAATACTGATAGGAATCCCAAAATCCCTGTGGCTACTGGAAAGGTTCCTAGAGTGCCTTGCCTCACCTAGAGAAGCGTCCCTTTTGCCCTGCCAAGCCTCGAAGAGATTCCTGAGGTGTCCCTCGTTACTAGACAGGAGTCCTGACGTCACTGAATAAACACCAGTTTTGAAGGGCCATCCCTGCCGTAAGTCGAGAACATACCCCAGGTCCCCACCGCAACTCGGGAAAAACCATGAGACTTCCCCCTAGAGGCTAGGTGAGGCCCCATTCCCATGCAGTGCATGCAGAGCTATTCCGTGATCCCATTCAAACAAGTCAGGAGCTTCGACTTGCTTAATGGATCTCGAGACAGTCCCCAAGAACACTGTCACAAGTCTAGACGGACCCTGAGGTCACCCAGGCAACGCAAAGCAGCTCCATGTGCCCGAAATCAACTCGAGATGAGGCCCGATTCCCCTGCATTGACTCCAGAGCCATTCCCTGTTCCCCATTCAACACGACAGTTGGCTCGACTTCCTTCAGGCAACTCCAGAGATGCCCCGAGAACACTGTCCCAAGTCTAGAGGAACACCAACTTCAGCACAGCGACTCGAGGAATGCTCCGTGTACACCAAATCGTCTCGAGATGAGAGCTGATTCCCTGGCTTAGGCTCAAGACGTATGCCAACTTTCCAGAAGCACCTCAAGAGGAGGATTCTCTCAGCAATAGTTATGTGGGAGGGACACCGAGTTTGCTGCCTCAAGGGGAGTATACAGTGAGAAGCCCTAAAATGAAAGCAGGCCGGGTTTCCTTGCAGTGGCTTGAATACAGGCTCGTCTTTCATCTAACAACATGAAGGGATGTCTGAATCAACTGTGGAGACCTTAGAGAAAGCCCTAGGTCCCTGCCTCATTTTGACGGAGTGCCTCACATCCCGTTGACACCTCGAGAGGCACGCGGAGTTCACTGCTTCAAAAGGTAAAGATGCCTGACTGCTCTTGAATACTGATAGGAATCCCAAAATCCCTGTGGCTACTGGAAAGGGTCCTTGGGTGCCCTGCTTCACCTCGAGAAGCGTCCCTTTTGCCTTGCAAAGCCTCGAAGAGATTCCTGAGGTGTCCCTCGTTACTAGACAGGAGTCCTGACGTCACTGAAGAAACTCGTGTTTTGAAGGGCCATCCCCGCGGTAAGTCGAGAACATACCCCAGGTCCCCGCCAAAACTCGAGAAAAACCATGAGACTTCCCCCTAGAGGCGAGATGAGGCCCCATTCCCCTGCAGGGCATGCAGAGCTATTCCGTGATCCCATTCAAACAAGTCAGGAGCTTCGACTTGCTTAATGGATCTCGAGACAGTCCGCAAGGTCACCAGTCTAGACGGACCCTGAGGTCACTCCAGCAACGCAAAGCAGTTCCATGTGCCCCAAATCAATTCGAGATGAGGCCCGATTCGCCTGCATTGACTCCAGAGCCATTCCCCGTTCCCCATTCAACATGACCGGTGGCTCGATTTCTTTCAGGAAACTACAGAGATGCCCCGAGAACACTGTCCCAAGTCTAGAGGAACACCAACTTCAGCACAGCAACTCGAGGAATGCTCCGTGTACCCCAAATCGTCTCGAGATGAGAGCTGGTTCCCTGGCTTAGGCTCAAGACGTATGCCAACTTTCCAGAAGCACCTCAAGAGGTGGCTTCTCTCAGCAATAGGTATGTGTAAAGGACCTCGAGTGTGCTGCCTCAAGGGGAATATACAGCGAGAAGCCCTAACTTGAAAGGAGGCCGGGTTTCCTTGCAGTGGCTTGAATTCAGGCTCGTCTTTCATCTCACAACATGAAGGGATGTCTGAATCCCCTGTGGAGACCATAGAGAAAGCCCTAGGTCCCTGCCTCATTTTGACGGAATGCCTCACATCCCGCTGACACGTCGAGAGGCACGCGGAGTTCATTGCTTCAAAAGGTGACGGTGCCTGCCTCTTCTTGAATACTGATAGGAATCCCAAAATCCCTGTGGCTACTGGAAAGGGTCCTTGAGTGCCCTGCCTCACCTCGAGAAGCGTCCCTTTTGCCCTGCCAAGCCTCGAAGAGATTCCTGAGGTGTCCCTCGTTACTAGACAGGAGTCCTGACGTCACTGAATAAACACCAGTTTTGAAGGGCCATCCCTGCCGTAAGTCGAGAACATACCCCAGGTCCCCACCGCAACTCGAGAAAAACCATGAGACTTCCCCCTAGAGGCGAGGTGTGGCCCCATTCCCATGAAGTCCATGCAGAGCTATTCCGTGATCCCATTCAAACAAGTCAGGAGCTTCGACTTGCTTAATGGATCTCGAGGCAGTCCCCAAGAACACTGTCACAAGTCTAGACGGACCCTGAGGTCACCCAGGCAACGCAAAGCAGCTCCATGTGCCCCATCAACTCGAGATGAGGCCCGATTCCCCTGTATTGACTCCAGAGCCATTCCCCTTTCCCCATTCAACACGACAGGTGGCTCGACTTCCTTCAGGCAACTCCAGAGATACCCCGAGAACACTGTCCCAAGTCTAGAGGAACACCAACTTCAGCACAGCGACTCGAGCAATGCTCCGTGTACCCCAAATCGTCTCGAGATGAGAGCTGATTCCCTGGCTTAGGCTCAAGACGTATGCCAACTTTCCAGAAGCACCTCAAGAGGAGGATTCTCTCAGCAATAGGTATGTGGGAGGGACACCGAGTTTGCTGCCTCAAGGGGAATATACAGTGAGAAGCCCTAAATTGAAAGCAGGCCGGGTTTCCTTCCAGTGGCTTGAATACAGGCTCGTCTTTCATCTAACAACATGAAGGGATGTCTGAATCCCCTGTGGAGACCTTAGAGAAAGCCCTAGGTCACTGCCTCATTTTGACGGAGTGCCTCACATCCCGTTGACACCTCGAGAGGCACGCGGAGTTCACTACTTCAAATGGTGACGATGCCTGACTCCTCTTGAATACTGATAGGAATCCCAAAATCCCTGTGGCTACTGGAAAGGGTCCTTGGGTGCCCTGGTTCACCTCGAGAAGCGTCCCTTTTGCCTTGCAAAGCCTCGAAGAGATTCCTGAGGTGTCCCTCGTTACTAGACAGGAGTCCTGAAGTCACTGAAGAAACTCATGTTTTGAAGGGCCATCCCCGCGGTAAGTCGAGAACATACCCCAGGTCCCCGCCAAAACTCGAGAAAAACCATGAGACTTCCCCCTAGAGGCGAGATGAGGCCCCATTCCCCTGCAGTGCATGCAGAGCTATTCCGTGATCCCATTCAAACAAGTCAGGAGCTTCGACATGCTTAATGGATCTCGAGACAGTCCGCAATGTCACGAGTCTAGACGGACCCTGAGGTCACCCCGCAACGCAAAGCAGCTCCATGTGCCCCAAACCAACTCGAGATGAGGCCCCATTCCCCTGCATTGACTACAGAGCCATTCCCCGTTCCCCATTCAACACGACCGGTGGCTCGACTTCCTTCAGGCCACTCAAGAGATGCCCCGAGAACACTGTCCCAAGTCTAGAGGAACACCAACTTCAGCACAGCGACTCGAGGAATGTTCCGTGTACCTCAAATCGTCTCGAGATGAGAGCTGATTCCCTGGCTTAGGCTCAAGACGTATGCCAACTTTCCAGAAGCACCTCAAGAGGTGGCTTCTCTCAGCAATAGGTATGTGGGAAGGACCCCGAGTTTGCTGCCTCAAGGGGAATATACAGCGAGAAGCCCTAACTTGAAAGGAGGCCGGATTTCCTTGCAGTGGCTTGAATACAGGCTCGTCTTTCATCTCACAACATGAAGGGATGTCTGAATCCCCTGTGGAGACCATAGAGAAAGCCCTAGGTCCCTGCCTCATTTTGACGGAATGCCTCACATCCCGCTGACACGTCGAGAGGCACGCGGAGTTCATTGCTTCAAAAGGTGACGGTGCCTGACTCTTCTTTAATACTGATAGGAATCCCAAAATCCCTGTGGCTACTGGAAAGGTTCCTAGAGTGCCTTGCCTCACCTCGAGAAGCGTCCCTTTTGCCCTGCCAAGCCTCGAAGTGATTCCTGAGGTGTCCCTCGTTACTAGACAGGAGTCCTGACGTCACTGAATAAACACCAGTTTTGAAGGGCCATCCCTGCCGTAAGTCGAGAACATACCCCAGGTCCCCACCGCAACTCGAGAAAAACCATGAGACTTCCCCCTAGAGGCGAGGTGAGGCCCCATTCCCATGCAGTGCATGCAGAGCTATTCCGTGATCCCATTCAAACAAGTCAGGAGCTTCGACTTGCTTAATGGATCTCGAGACAGTCCCCAAGAACACTGTCACAAGTCTAGACGGACCCTGAGGTCACCCAGGCAACGCAAAGCAGCTCCATGTGCCCCAAATCAACTCGAGATGAGGCCCGATTCCCCTGCATTGACTCCAGAGCCATTCCCCTTTCCCCATTCAACACGACAGGTGGCTCGACTTCCTTCAGGCAACTCCAGAGATGCCCCGAGAACACTGTCCCAAGTCTAGAGGAACACCAACTTCAGCACAGCGACTCGAGGAATGCTCCGTGTACCCCAAATCGTCTCGAGATGAGAGCTGATTCCCTGGCTTAGGCTCAAGACGTATGCCAACTTTCCAGAAGCACCTCAAGAGGAGGATTCTCTCAGCAATAGGTATGTGGGAGGGACACCGAGTTTGCTGCCTCAAGGGGAATATACAGTGAGAAGCCCTAAATTGAAAGCAGGCCGGGTTTCCTTGCAGTGGCTTGAATACAGGCTCGTCTTTCATCTAACAACATGAAGGGATGTCTGAATCAACTGTGGAGACCTTAGAGAAAGCCCTAGGTCCCTGCCTCATTTTGACGGAGTGCCTCACATCCCGTTGACACCTCGAGAGGCACGCGGAGTTCACTGCTTCAAAAGGTAAAGATGCCTGACTGCTCTTGAATACTGATAGGAATCCCAAAATCCCTGTGGCTACTGGAAAGGGTCCTTGGGTGCCCTGCTTCACCTCGAGAAGCGTCCCTTTTGCCTTGCAAAGCCTCGAAGAGATTCCTGAGGTGTCCCTCGTTACTAGACAGGAGTCCTGACGTCACTGAAGAAACTCGTGTTTTGAAGGGCCATCCCCGCGGTAAGTCGAGAACATACCCCAGGTCCCCGCCAAAACTCGAGAAAAACCATGAGACTTCCCCCTAGAGGCGAGATGAGGCCCCATTCCCCTGCAGGGCATGCAGAGCTATTCCGTGATCCCATTCAAACAAGTCAGGAGCTTCGACTTGCTTAATGGATCTCGAGACAGTCCGCAAGGTCACCAGTCTAGACGGACCCTGAGGTCACTCCAGCAACGCAAAGCAGTTCCATGTGCCCCAAATCAATTCGAGATGAGGCCCGATTCGCCTGCATTGACTCCAGAGCCATTCCCCGTTCCCCATTCAACATGACCGGTGGCTCGATTTCTTTCAGGAAACTACAGAGATGCCCCGAGAACACTGTCCCAAGTCTAGAGGAACACCAACTTCAGCACAGCAACTCGAGGAATGCTCCGTGTACCCCAAATCGTCTCGAGATGAGAGCTGGTTCCCTGGCTTAGGCTCAAGACGTATGCCAACTTTCCAGAAGCACCTCAAGAGGTGGCTTCTCTCAGCAATAGGTATGTGTAAAGGACCTCGAGTGTGCTGCCTCAAGGGGAATATACAGCGAGAAGCCCTAACTTGAAAGGAGGCCGGGTTTCCTTGCAGTGGCTTGAATTCAGGCTCGTCTTTCATCTCACAACATGAAGGGATGTCTGAATCCCCTGTGGAGACCATAGAGAAAGCCCTAGGTCCCTGCCTCATTTTGACGGAATGCCTCACATCCCGCTGACACGTCGAGAGGCACGCGGAGTTCATTGCTTCAAAAGGTGACGGTGCCTGCCTCTTCTTGAATACTGATAGGAATCCCAAAATCCCTGTGGCTACTGGAAAGGGTCCTTGAGTGCCCTGCCTCACCTCGAGAAGCGTCCCTTTTGCCCTGCCAAGCCTCGAAGAGATTCCTGAGGTGTCCCTCGTTACTAGACAGGAGTCCTGACGTCACTGAATAAACACCAGTTTTGAAGGGCCATCCCTGCCGTAAGTCGAGAACATACCCCAGGTCCCCACCGCAACTCGAGAAAAACCATGAGACTTCCCCCTAGAGGCGAGGTGTGGCCCCATTCCCATGAAGTCCATGCAGAGCTATTCCGTGATCCCATTCAAACAAGTCAGGAGCTTCGACTTGCTTAATGGATCTCGAGGCAGTCCCCAAGAACACTGTCACAAGTCTAGACGGACCCTGAGGTCACCCAGGCAACGCAAAGCAGCTCCATGTGCCCCATCAACTCGAGATGAGGCCCGATTCCCCTGTATTGACTCCAGAGCCATTCCCCTTTCCCCATTCAACACGACAGGTGGCTCGACTTCCTTCAGGCAACTCCAGAGATACCCCGAGAACACTGTCCCAAGTCTAGAGGAACACCAACTTCAGCACAGCGACTCGAGCAATGCTCCGTGTACCCCAAATCGTCTCGAGATGAGAGCTGATTCCCTGGCTTAGGCTCAAGACGTATGCCAACTTTCCAGAAGCACCTCAAGAGGAGGATTCTCTCAGCAATAGGTATGTGGGAGGGACACCGAGTTTGCTGCCTCAAGGGGAATATACAGTGAGAAGCCCTAAATTGAAAGCAGGCCGGGTTTCCTTCCAGTGGCTTGAATACAGGCTCGTCTTTCATCTAACAACATGAAGGGATGTCTGAATCCCCTGTGGAGACCTTAGAGAAAGCCCTAGGTCACTGCCTCATTTTGACGGAGTGCCTCACATCCCGTTGACACCTCGAGAGGCACGCGGAGTTCACTACTTCAAATGGTGACGATGCCTGACTCCTCTTGAATACTGATAGGAATCCCAAAATCCCTGTGGCTACTGGAAAGGGTCCTTGGGTGCCCTGGTTCACCTCGAGAAGCGTCCCTTTTGCCTTGCAAAGCCTCGAAGAGATTCCTGAGGTGTCCCTCGTTACTAGACAGGAGTCCTGAAGTCACTGAAGAAACTCATGTTTTGAAGGGCCATCCCCGCGGTAAGTCGAGAACATACCCCAGGTCCCCGCCAAAACTCGAGAAAAACCATGAGACTTCCCCCTAGAGGCGAGATGAGGCCCCATTCCCCTGCAGTGCATGCAGAGCTATTCCGTGATCCCATTCAAACAAGTCAGGAGCTTCGACATGCTTAATGGATCTCGAGACAGTCCGCAATGTCACGAGTCTAGACGGACCCTGAGGTCACCCCGCAACGCAAAGCAGCTCCATGTGCCCCAAACCAACTCGAGATGAGGCCCCATTCCCCTGCATTGACTACAGAGCCATTCCCCGTTCCCCATTCAACACGACCGGTGGCTCGACTTCCTTCAGGCCACTCAAGAGATGCCCCGAGAACACTGTCCCAAGTCTAGAGGAACACCAACTTCAGCACAGCGACTCGAGGAATGTTCCGTGTACCTCAAATCGTCTCGAGATGAGAGCTGATTCCCTGGCTTAGGCTCAAGACGTATGCCAACTTTCCAGAAGCACCTCAAGAGGTGGCTTCTCTCAGCAATAGGTATGTGGGAAGGACCCCGAGTTTGCTGCCTCAAGGGGAATATACAGCGAGAAGCCCTAACTTGAAAGGAGGCCGGATTTCCTTGCAGTGGCTTGAATACAGGCTCGTCTTTCATCTCACAACATGAAGGGATGTCTGAATCCCCTGTGGAGACCATAGAGAAAGCCCTAGGTCCCTGCCTCATTTTGACGGAATGCCTCACATCCCGCTGACACGTCGAGAGGCACGCGGAGTTCATTGCTTCAAAAGGTGACGGTGCCTGACTCTTCTTTAATACTGATAGGAATCCCAAAATCCCTGTGGCTACTGGAAAGGTTCCTAGAGTGCCTTGCCTCACCTCGAGAAGCGTCCCTTTTGCCCTGCCAAGCCTCGAAGTGATTCCTGAGGTGTCCCTCGTTACTAGACAGGAGTCCTGACGTCACTGAATAAACACCAGTTTTGAAGGGCCATCCCTGCCGTAAGTCGAGAACATACCCCAGGTCCCCACCGCAACTCGAGAAAAACCATGAGACTTCCCCCTAGAGGCGAGGTGAGGCCCCATTCCCATGCAGTGCATGCAGAGCTATTCCGTGATCCCATTCAAACAAGTCAGGAGCTTCGACTTGCTTAATGGATCTCGAGACAGTCCCCAAGAACACTGTCACAAGTCTAGACGGACCCTGAGGTCACCCAGGCAACGCAAAGCAGCTCCATGTGCCCCAAATCAACTCGAGATGAGGCCCGATTCCCCTGCATTGACTCCAGAGCCATTCCCCTTTCCCCATTCAACACGACAGGTGGCTCGACTTCCTTCAGGCAACTCCAGAGATGCCCCGAGAACACTGTCCCAAGTCTAGAGGAACACCAACTTCAGCACAGCGACTCGAGGAATGCTCCGTGTACCCCAAATCGTCTCGAGATGAGAGCTGATTCCCTGGCTTAGGCTCAAGACGTATGCCAACTTTCCAGAAGCACCTCAAGAGGAGGATTCTCTCAGCAATAGGTATGTGGGAGGGACACCGAGTTTGCTGCCTCAAGGGGAATATACAGTGAGAAGCCCTAAATTGAAAGCAGGCCGGTTTTCCTTGCAGTGGCTTGAATACAGGCTCGTCTTTCATCTAACAACATGAAGGGATGTCTGAATCCCCTGTGGAGACCTTAGAGAAAGCCCTAGGTCCCTGCCTCATTTTGACGGAGTGCCTCACATCCCGTTGACACCTCGAGAGGCACACGGAGTTCACTGCTTCAAAAGGTGACGATGCCTGACTCCTCTTGAATACTGATAGGTATCCCAAAATCCCTGTGGCTACTGGAAAGGGTCCTTGGGTGCCCTGCTTCACCTCGAGAAGCGTCCCTTTTGCCTTGCAAAGCCTCGAAGAGATTCCTGAGGTGTCCCTCGTTACTAGGCAGGAGTCCTGACGTCACTGAAGAAACTCATGTTTTGAAGGGCCATCCCCGCGGTAAGTCGAGAACATACCCCAGGTCCCCGCCAAAACTCGAGAAAAACCATGAGACTTCCCCCTAGAGGCGAGATGAGGCCCCATTCCCCTGCAGTGCATGCAGAGCTATTCCGTGATCCCATTCAAACAAGTCAGGAGCTTCGACATGCTTAATGGATCTCGAGACAGTCCGCAAGGTCACCAGTCTAGACGGACCCTGAGGTCACCCCGCAACGCAAAGCAGCACCATATGCCCCAAACCAACTCGAGATGAGGCCCCATTCCCCTGCATTGACTCCAGAGCCATTCCCCGTTCCCCATTCAACACGACCGGTGGCTCGACTTCCTTCAGGCCACTCAAGAGATGCCCCGAGAACACTGTCCCAAGTCTAGAGGAACACCAACTTCAGCACAGCGACTCGAGGAATGTTCCGTGTACCTCAAATCGTCTCGAGATGAGAGCTGATTCCCTGGCTTAGGCTCAAGACGTATGCCAACTTTCCAGAAGCACCTCAGGAGGAGGCTTCTCTCAGCAATAGGTATGTGGGAGGGACCCCGAATTTGCTGCCTCAAGGGGAATATACCGCGAGAAGCCCTAAATTGAAAGCAGGCCGGGTTTCCTTGCAGTGGCTTGAATACAGGTTCGTCTTTCATCTAACAACATGAAGGAATGTCTGAATCCCCTGTGGAGACCTTAGAGAAAGCCCTAGGTCCCTGCCTCATTTTGACGGAGTGCCTCACATCCCGTTGACACCTCGAGAGGCACACGGAGTTCACTGCTTCAAAAGGTGACGATGCCTGACTCCTCTTGAATACTGATAGGAATCCCAAAATCCCTGTGGCTACTGGAAAGGGTCCCTGGGTGCCCTGCTTCACCTCGAGAAGCGTCCCTTTTGCCTTGCAAAGCCTCGAAGAGATTCCTGAGGTGTCCCTCGTTACTAGACAGGAGTCCTTACGTCACTGAAGAAACTCGTGTTTTGATGGGCCATCCCCGCGGTAAGTGGAGAACATACCCCAGGTCCCCGCCAAAACTCGAGAAAAACCATGAGACTTCCCCCTAGAGGCGAGATGAGGCCCCATTCCCCTGCAGGGTATGCAGAGCTATTCCGTGATCCCATTCAAACAAGTCAGGAGCTTTGACTTGCTTAATGGATCTCGAGACAGTCCGCAAGGTCACCAGTCTAGACGGACCCTGAGGTCACTCCAGCAACGCACAGCAGTTCCATGTGCCCCAAATCAATTCGAGATGAGGCCCGATTCGCCTGCATTGACTCCAGAGCCATTCCCCGTTCCCCATTCAACATGACCGGTGGCTCGATTTCTTTCAGGCAACTACAGAGATGCCCCGAGAACACTGTCCCAAGTCTAGAGGAACACCAACTTCAGCACAGCAACTCGAGGAATGCTCCGTGTACCCCAAATCGTCTCGAGATGAGAGCTGATTCCCTGGCTTAGGCTCAAGACGTATGCCAACTTTCCAGAAGCACCTCAAGAGGTGGCTTCTCTCAGCAATAGGTATGTGGGAAGGACCCCGAGTTTGCTGCCTCAAGGGGAATATACAGCGAGAAGCCCTAACTTGAAAGGAGGCCGGATTTCCTTGCAGTGGCATGAATACAGGCTCGTCTTTCATCTCACAACATGAAGGGATGTCTGAATCCCCTGTGGAGACCATAGAGAAAGCCCTAGTTCCCTGCCTCATTTTGACGGAATGCCTCACATCCCGCTGACACCTCGAGAGGCACGCGGAGTTCATTGCTTCAAAAGGTGACGGTGCGTGACTCTTCTTTAATACTGATAGGAATCCCAAAATCCCTGTGGCTAATGGAAAGGGTCCTTGAGTGCCCTGCCTCACCTCGAGAAGCGTCCCTTTTGCTCTGCCAAGCCTCGAAGAGATTCCTGAGGTGTCCCTCGTTACTAGACAGGAGTCCTGACGTCACTGAATAAACACGAGTTTTGAAGGGCCATCCCTGCCGTAAGTCGAGAACATACCCCAGGTCCCCTCCGCAACTCGAGAAAAACCATGAGACTTCCCCCTAGAGGCGAGGTGAGGCCCCATTCCCATGCAGTGCATGCAGAGCTATTCCGTGATCCCATTCAAACAAGTCAGGAGCTTCGACTTGCTTAATGGATCTCGAGACAGTCCCCAAGAACACTGTCACAAGTCTAGACGGACCCTGAGGTCACCCAGGCAACGCAAAGCAGCTCCATGTGCCCCAAATCAACTCGAGATGAGGCCCGATTCCCCTGCATTGACTCCAGAGCCATTCCCCGTTCCCCATTCAACACGACAGGTGGCTCGACTTCCTTCAGGCAACTCCAGAGATGCCCCGAGAACACTGTCCCAAGTCTAGAGGAACACCAACTTCAGCACAGCGACTCGAGGAATGCTCCGTGTACACCAAATCGTCTCGAGATGAGAGCTGATTCCCTGGCTTAGGCTCAAGACGTATGCCAACTTTCCAGAAGCACCTCAAGAGGAGGATTCTCTCAGCAATAGTTATGTGGGAGGGACACCGAGTTTGCTGCCTCAAGGGGAATATACCGCGAGAAGCCCTAAATTGAAAGCAGGCTGGGTTTCCTTGCAGTGGCTTGAATACAGGCTCGTCTTTCATCTAACAACATGAAGGGATGTCTGAATCCCCTGTGGAGACCTTAGAGAAAGCCCTAGGTCCCTGCCTCATTTTGACGGAGTGCCTCACATCCCGTTGACACCTCGAGAGGCACGCGGAGTTCACTGCTTCAAAAGGTGACGATGCCTGACTCCTCTTGAATACTGATAGGAATCCCAAAATCCCTGTGGCTACTGGAAAGGGTCCTTGGGTGCCCTGCTTCACCTCGAGAAGCGTCCCTTTTGCCTTGCAAAGCCTCGAAGAGATTCCTGAGGTGTCCCTCGTTACTAGACAGGAGTCCTGACGTCACTGAAGAAACTCGTGTTTTGAAGGGCCATCCCCGCGGTAAGTCGAGAACATACCCCAGGTCCCCGCCAAAACTCGAGAAAAACCATGAGACTTCCCCCTAGAGGCGAGATGAGGCCCCATTCCCCTGCAGGGAATGCAGAGCTATTCCATGATCCCATTCAAACAAGTCAGGAGCTTCGACATGCTTAATGGATCTCGAGACAGTCCGCAAGGTCACCAGTCTAGACGGACCCTGAGGTCACCCCGCAACGCAAAGCAGCTCCATGTGCCCCAAACCAACTCGAGATGAGGCCCCATTCCCCTGCATTGACTCCAGAGCCATTCCCCTTTCCCCATTCAACACGACCAGTGGCTCGACTTCCTTCAGGCCACTCCAGAGATGCCCCGAGAACACTGTCCCAAGTCTAGAGGAACAACAACTTCAGCACAGCGACTCGAGGAATGCTCCGTGTACCTCAAATCGTCTCGAGATGAGAGCTGATTCCCTGGCTTAGGCTCAAGACGTATGCCAACTTTCCAGAAGCACCTCAGGAGGAGGCTTCTCTCAGCAATAGGTATGTGGGAGGGACCCCGAATTTGCTGCCTCAAGGGGAATATACCGCGAGAAGCCCTAAATTGAAAGCAGGCCGGGTTTCCTTCCAGTGGCTTGAATACAGGCTCGTCTTTCATCTAACAACATGAAGGGATGTCTGAATCCCCTGTGGAGACCTTAGAGAAAGCCCTAGGTCCCTGCCTCATTTTGACGGAGTGCCTCACATCCCGTTGACACCTCGAGAGGCACGCGGAGTTCACTGCTTCAAAAGGTGACGATGCCTGACTCCTCTTGAATACTGATAGGAATCCCAAAATCCCTGTGGCTACTGGAAAGGGTCCTTGGGTGCCCTGCTTCACCTCGCGAAGCGTCCCTTTTGCCCTGCCAAGCCTCGAAGAGATTCCTGAGTTGTCCCTCGTTACTAGACAGTAGTACTGAGGTCACTGAAGAAACTCGTGTTTTGAAGGGCTATCCCCGCCGTAAGACGAGAACATAAGCCAGGTCCCCGCCGCAACTCTAGAAAAACCATGAGACTTCCCCCTAGAGGCGAGATGAGGCCCCATTCCCCTGCAGTGCATGCAGAGCTATTCCGTGATCCCATTCAAACAAGTCAGGAGCTTCGACTTGCTTAATGGATCTCGAGACAGTCCGCAAGGTCACCAGTCTAGACGGACCCTGAGGTCACTCCAGCAACGCAAAGCAGTTCCATGTGCCCCAAATCAATTCGAGATGAGGCCCGATTCGCCTGCATTGACTCCAGAGCCATTCCCCGTTCCCCATTCAACATGACCGGTGGCTCAATTTCTTTCAGGCAACTACAGAGATGCCCCGAGAACACTGTACCAAGTCTAGAGGAACACCAACTTCAGCACAGCAACTCGAGGAATGCTCCGTGTACCCCAAATCGTCTCGAGATGAGAGCGGATTCCCTGGCTTAGGCTCAAGACGTATGCCAACTTTCCAGAAGCGCCTCAAGAGGTGGCTTCTCTCAGCAATAGGTATGTGGGAAGGACCCCGAGTTTGCTTCCTCAAGGGGAATATACAGCGAGAAGCCCTAACTTGAAAGGAGGCCGGATTTCCTTGCAGTGGCTTGAATACAGGCTCGTCTTTCATCTCACAACATGAATGGATGTCTGAATCCCCTGTGGAGACCATAGAGAAAGCCCTAGGCCCCTGCCTCATTTTGACGGAATGCCTCACATCCCGCTGACACGTCGAGAGGCACGCGGAGTTAATTGCTTCAAAAGGTGACGGTGCCTGACTCTTCTTGAATACTGATAGGAATCCCAAAATCCCTGTGGCTACTGGAAAGGGTCCTTGAGTGCCCTGCCTCACCTCGAGAAGCGTCCCTTTTGCCCTGCCAAGCCTCGTAGAGATTCCTGAGGTGTCCCTCGTTACTAGACAGGAGTCCTGACGTCACTGAATAAACACGAGTTTTGAAGGGCCATCCCTGCCGTAAGTCGAGAACATACCCCAGGTCCCCACCGCAACTCGAGAAAAACCATGAGACTTCCCCCTAGAGGCGAGGTGAGCCCCATTCCCATGCAGTGCATGCAGAGCTATTCCGTGATCCCATTCAAACAAGTCAGGAGCTTTGACTTGCTTAATGGATCTCGAGACAGTCCCCAAGAACACTGTCACAAGTCTAGACGGACTCTGAGGTCACCCAGGCAACGCAAAGCAGCTCCATGTGCCCCAAATCAACTCGAGATGAGGCCCGATTCCCCTGCATTGACTCCAGAGCCATTCCCCTTTCCCCATTCAACACGACAGGTGGCTCGACTTCCTTCAGGCAACTCCAGAGATGCCCCGAGAACACTGTCCCAAGTCTAGAGGAACACCAACTTCAGCACAGCGATTCGAGGAATGCTCCGTGTACCCCAAATCGTCTCGAGATGAGAGCTGATTCCCTGGCTTAGGCTCAAGACGTATGCCAACTTTCCAGAAGCACCTCAAGAGGAGGATTCTCTCAGCAATAGTTATGTGGGAGGGACCCCGAGGTTGCTGCCTCAAGGGGAATATACAGTGAGAAGACCTAAATTGAAAGCAGGCCGGGTTTCCTTGCAGTGGCTTGAATACAGGCTCGTCTTTCATCTAACAACATGAAGGGATGTCTGAATCCCCTGTGGAGACCTTAGAGAAAGCCCTAGGTCCCTGCCTCATTTTGACGGAGTGCCTCACATCCCGTTGACACCTCGAGAGGCACGCGGAGCTCACTGCTTCAAAAGGTGACGATGCCTGACTCCTCTTGAATACTGATAGGAATCCCAAAATCCCTGTGGCTACTGGAAAGGGTCCTTGGGTGCCCTGCTTCACCTCGAGAAGCGTCCCTTTTGCCTTGCAAAGCCTCGAAGAGATTCCTGAGGTGTCCCTCGTTACTAGACAGGAGTCCTGACGTCACTGAAGAAACTCGTGTTTTGAAGGGCCATCCCCGCGGTAAGTCGAGAACATACCCCAGGTCCCCGCCAAAACTCGAGAAAAACCATGAGACTTCCCCCTAGAGGCGAGATGAGGCCCCATTCCCCTGCAGGGCATGCAGAGCTATTCCGTGATCCCATTCAAACAAGTCAGGAGCTTCGACATGCTTAATGGATCTCGAGACAGTCCGCAAGGTCACCAGTCTAGACGGACCCTGAGGTCACCCCGCAACGCAAAGCAGCTCCATGTGCCCCAAACCAACTCGAGATGAGGCCCCATTCCCCTGCATTGACTCCAGAGCCATTCCCCTTTCCCCATTCAACACGACCGGTGGCTCGACTTCCTTCAGGCCACTCCAGAAATGCCCCGAGAACACTGTCCCAAGTCTAGAGGAACAACAACTTCAGCACAGCGACTCGAAGAATGCTCCGTGTACCTCAAATCGTCTCGAGATGAGAGCTGATTCCCTGGCTTAGGCTCAAGACGTATGCCAACTTTCCAGAAGCACCTCAGGAGGAGGCTTCTCTCAGCAATAGGTATGTGGGAGGGACCCCGAATTTGCTGCCTCAAGGGGAATATACCGCGAGAAGCCCTAAATTGAAAGCAGGCCGGGTTTCCTTCCAGTGGCTTGAATACAGGCTCGTCTTTCATCTAACAACATGAAGGGATGTCTGAATCCCCTGTGGAGACCTTAGAGAAAGCCCTAGGTCCCTGCCTCATTTTGACGGAGTGCCTCACATCCCGTTGACACCTCGAGAGGCACGCGGAGTTCACTGCTTCAAAAGGTGACGATGCCTGACTCCTCTTGAATACTGATAGGAATCCCAAAATCCCTGTGGCTACTGGAAAGGGTCCTTGGGTGCCCTGCTTCACCTCGAGAAGCGTCCCTTTTGCCCTGTCAAGCCTCGAAGAGATTCCTGAGTTGTCCCTCGTTACTAGACAGTAGTCCTGACGTCACTGAAGAAACTCGTGTTTTGAAGGGCCATCCCCGCCGTAAGACGAGAACATAAGCCAGGTCCCCGCCGCAACTCGAGAAAAACCATGAGACTTCCCCCTAGAGGCGAGATGAGGCCCCATTCCCCTGCAGGGCATGCAGAGCTATTCCGTGATCCCATTCAAACAAGTCAGGAGCTTCGACTTGCTTAATGGATCTCGAGACAGTCCGCAAGGTCACCAGTCTAGACGGACCCTGAGGTCACTCCAGCAACGCAAAGCAGTTCCATGTGCCCCAAATCAATTCGAGATGAGGCCCGATTCGCCTGCATTGACTCCAGAGCCATTCCCCGTTCCCCATTCAACATGACCGGTGGCTCAATTTCTTTCAGGCAACTACAGAGATGCCCCGAGAACACTGTCCCAAGTCTAGAGGAACACCAACTTCAGCACAGCAACTCGAGGAATGCTCCGTGTACCCCAAATCGTCTCGAGATGAGAGCTGATTCCCTGGCTTAGGCTCAAGACGTATGCCAACTTTCCAGAAGCGCCTCAAGAGGTGGCTTCTCTCAGCAATAGGTATGTGGGAAGGACCCCGAGTTTGCTGCCTCAAGGGGAATATACAGCGAGAAGCCCTAACTTGAAAGGAGGCCGGATTTCCTTGCAGTGGCTTGAATACAGGCTCGTCTTTCATCTAACAACATGAAGGGATGTCTGAATCCCCTGTGGAGACCATAGACAAAGCCCTAGGTCCCTGCCTCATTTTGACGGAATGCCTCACATCCCGCTGACACCTCGAGAGGCACGCGGAGTTCATTGCTTCAAAAGGTGACGGTGCCTGACTCTTCTTGAATACTGATAGGAATCCCAAAATCCCTGTGGCTACTGGAAAGGGTCCTTGAGTGCCCTGCCTCACCTCGAGAAGCGTCCCTTTTGCCCTGCCAAGCCTCGAAGAGATTCCTGAGGTGTCCCTCGTTACTAGACAGGAGTCCTGACGTCACTGAATAAACACGAGTTTTGAAGGGCCATCCCTGCCGTAAGTCGAGAACATACCCCAGGTCCCCACCGCAACTCGAGAAAAACCATGAGACTTCCCCCTAGAGGCGAGGTGAGGCCCCATTCCCATGCAGTGCATGCAGAGCTATTCCGTGATCCCATTCAAACAAGTCAGGAGCTTCGACTTGCTTAATGGATCTCGAGACAGTCCCCAAGAACACTGTCACAAGTCTAGACGGACCCTGAGGTCACCCAGGCAACGCAAAGCAGCTCCATGTGCCCCAAATCAACTCGAGATGAGGCCCGATTCCCCTGCATTGACTCCAGAGCCATTCCCCGTTCCCCATTCAACAGGACAGGTGGCTCGACTTCCTTCAGGCAACTCCAGAGATGCCCCGAGAACACTGTCCCAAGTCTAGAGGAACACCAACTTCAGCACAGCGACTCGAGGAATGCTCCGTGTACACCAAATCGTCTCGAGATGAGAGCTGATTCCCTGGCTTAGGCTCAAGACGTATGCCAACTTTCCAGAAGCACCTCAGGAGGAGGCTTCTCTCAGCAATAGGTGTGTGGGAGGGACCCCGAGTTTGCTGCCTCAATGGGAATATACCGCGAGAAGCCCTAAATTGAAATCAGGCCGGGTTTCCTTGCAGTGGCTTGAATTCAGGCTCGTCTTTCATCTAACAACATGAAGGGATGTCTGAATCCCCTGTGGAGACCTTAGAGAAAGCCCTAGGTCACTGCCTCATTTTGACGGAGTGCCTCACATCCCGTTGACACCTCGAGAGGCACGCGGAGCTCACTGCTTCAAAAGGTGACGATGCCTGACTCCTCTTGAATACTGATAGGAATCCCAAAATCCCTGTGGCTACTGGAAAGGGTCCTTGGGTGCCCTGCTTCACCTCGAGAAGCGTCCCTTTTGCCTTGCAAAGCCTCGAAGAGATTCCTGAGGTGTCCCTCGTTACTAGACAGGAGTCCTGACGTCACTGAAGAAACTCGTGTTTTGAAGGCCCATCCCCGCGGTAAGTCGAGAACATACCCCAGGTCCCCGCCAAAACTCGAGAAAAACCATGAGACTTCCCCCTAGAGGCGAGATGAGGCCCCATTCCCCTGCAGTGCATGCAGAGCTATTCCGTGATCCCATTCAAACAAGTCAGGAGCTTCGACATGCTTAATGGATCTCGAGACAGTCCGCAAGGTCACCAGTCTAGACGGACCCTGAGGTCACCCCGCAAAACAAAGCTGCTCCATGTGCCCCAAACCAACTCGAGATGAGGCCCCATTCCTCTGCATTGACTCCAGAGCCATTCCCCGTTCCCCATTCAACATGACCGGTGGCTCGACTTCCTTCAGGCAACTCCATAGATGCCCCGAGAACACTGTCCCAAGTCTAGAGGAACACCAACTTCAGCACAGCAACCAGAGGAATGCTGCGTGTACTCCATATCGTCTCGAGATGAGAGCTGATTCCCTGCCTTAGGCTCAAGACCTATGCCAATTTCCAGAAGCACCTCAACAGGAGGCTTCTCTCAACAATAGGTATGTGGGAGGGACCCCGAGTTTGCTGCCTCAAGGGGAATATAGAGCGAGAAGCCCTAACTTGAAAGGAGGCCGGATTTCCTTGCAGTGGCTTGAATACAGGCTCGTCTTTCATCTCACAACATGAAGGGATGTCTGAATCCCCTGTGGAGACCTTAGAGAAAGCCCTAGGTCCCTGCTTCATTATGACGGAATGCCTCACATCCCGTTGACACCTGGACAGGCACGCAGAGTTCATTGCTTCAAAAGGTGACGATGAATGAATCCTCTTGAAAACTGATAGGAATCCCAAGATCCCTGTGGCTACTGGAAAGGGTCCTTGGGTGCCCTGCCTCACCTCGAGAAGCGTCCCTTTTGCCCTGCCAAGGCTGGAAGAGATACCTGGGGTGTCCCTCTTTACTAGACAGGAGTCCTGACGTCACTGAAGAAATTCGTGTTTTGAAGGGCCATCCCCGCCGTAAGTCGAGAACATACCCCAGGTCCCCGCCGCAACTCAAGAAAAACCATGAGACTTCCCACTAGAGGCAAGATGAGGCCCCATTCCCCTGCAGTGCATGCAGAGCTATTCCGTGATCCCATTCAAACAAGTCAGGAGCTTCGACTTGCTAAATGGTTCTCGAGACAGTCCCCTAGAACACTGTCACAAGTCTAGACGGACCCTGAGGTCACTCCAGCAACGCAAAGCAGCTCCATGTGCCCCAAATCAACTCAAGATGAGGCCCGATTCGCCTGAATTGACTCCAGAGCCATTCCCCGTTCCCCATTCAACATGACCGGTGGCTCGACTTCCTTCAGGCAACTCCAGAGATCCCCCGAGAACACTGTCCCAAGTCTAGAGGAACACCAACTTCAGCACAGCAACTCGAGGAATGCTCCGTGTACCCCAAATCGTCTCGAGATGAGAGCTGATTCCCTGGCTTAGGCTCAAGACGTATGCCAACTTTCCAGAAGCGCCTCAAGAGGTGGCTTCTCTCAGCAATAGGTATGTGGGAAGGACCCCGAGTTTGCTGCCTCAAGGGGAATATACAGCGAGAAGCCCTAACTTGAAAGGAGGCCGGATTTCCTTGCAGTGGCTTGAATACAGGCTCGTCTTTCATCTCACAACATGAAGGGATGTCTGAATCCCCTGTGGAGACCATAGACAAAGCCCTAGGTCCCTGCCTCATTTTGACGGAATGCCTCACATCCCGCTGACACCTCGAGAGGCACGCGGAGTTCATTGCTTCAAAAGGTGACGGTGCCTGACTCTTCTTGAATACTGATAGGAATCCCAAAATCCCTGTGGCTACTGGAAAGGGTCCTTGAGTGCCCTGCCTCACCTCGAGAAGCGTCCCTTTTGCCCTGCCAAGCCTCGAAGAGATTCCTGAGGTGTCCCTCGTTACTAGACAGGAGTCCTGACGTCACTGAATAAACACGAGTTTTGAAGGGCCATCCCTGCCATAAGTCGAGAACATACCCCAGGTCCCCACCGCAACTCGAGAAAAACCATGAGACTTCCCCCTAGAGGCGAGGTGAGGCCCCATTCCCATGCAGTGCATGCAGAGCTATTCCGTGATCCCATTCAAACAAGTCAGGAGCTTCGACTTGCTTAATGGATCTCGAGACAGTCCCCAAGAACACTGTCACAAGTCTAGACGGACCCTGAGGTCACCCAGGCAACGCAAAGCAGCTCCATGTGCCCCAAATCAACTCGAGATGAGGCCCGATTCCCCTGCATTGACTCCAGAGCCATTCCCCGTTCCCCATTCAACAGGACAGGTGGCTCGACTTCCTTCAGGCAACTCCAGAGATGCCCCGAGAACACTGTCCCAAGTCTAGAGGAACACCAACTTCAGCACAGCGACTCGAGGAATGCTCCGTGTACACCAAATCGTCTCGAGATGAGAGCTGATTCCCTGGCTTAGGCTCAAGACGTATGCCAACTTTCCAGAAGCACCTCAGGAGGAGGCTTCTCTCAGCAATAGGTGTGTGGGAGGGACCCCGAGTTTGCTGCCTCAATGGGAATATACCGCGAGAAGCCCTAAATTGAAATCAGGCCGGGTTTCCTTGCAGTGGCTTGAATTCAGGCTCGTCTTTCATCTAACAACATGAAGGGATGTCTGAATCCCCTGTGGAGACCTTAGAGAAAGCCCTAGGTCCCTGCCTCATTTTGACGGAGTGCCTCACATCCCGTTGACACCTCGAGAGGCACGCGGAGCTCACTGCTTCAAAAGGTGACGATGCCTGACTCCTCTTGAATACTGATAGGAATCCCAAAATCCCTGTGGCTACTGGAAAGGGTCCTTGGGTGCCCTGCTTCACCTCGAGAAGCGTCCCTTTTGCCTTGCAAAGCCTCGAAGAGATTCCTGAGGTGTCCCTCGTTACTAGACAGGAGTCCTGACGTCACTGAAGAAACTCGTGTTTTGAAGGCCCATCCCCGCGGTAAGTCGAGAACATACCCCAGGTCCCCGCCAAAACTCGAGAAAAACCATGAGACTTCCCCCTAGAGGCGAGATGAGGCCCCATTCCCCTGCAGTGCATGCAGAGCTATTCCGTGATCCCATTCAAACAAGTCAGGAGCTTCGACATGCTTAATGGATCTCGAGACAGTCCGCAAGGTCACCAGTCTAGACGGACCCTGAGGTCACCCCGCAAAACAAAGCTGCTCCATGTGCCCCAAACCAACTCGAGATGAGGCCCGATTCCTCTGCATTGACTCCAGAGCCATTCCCCGTTCCCCATTCAACATGACCGGTGGCTCGACTTCCTTCAGGCAACTCCATAGATGCCCCGAGAACACTGTCCCAAGTCTAGAGGAACACCAACTTCAGCACAGCAACCAGAGGAATGCTGCGTGTACTCCATATCGTCTCGAGATGAGAGCTGATTCCCTGCCTTAGGCTCAAGACCTATGCCAATTTCCAGAAGCACCTCAACAGGAGGCTTCTCTCAGCAATAGGTATGTGGGAGGGACCCCGAGTTTGCTGCCTCAAGGGGAATATAGAGCGAGAAGCCCTAACTTGAAAGGAGGCCGGATTTCCTTGCAGTGGCTTGAATACAGGCTCGTCTTTCATCTCACAACATGAAGGGATGTCTGAATCCCCTGTGGAGACCTTAGAGAAAGCCCTAGGTCCCTGCTTCATTATGACGGAATGCCTCACATCCCGTTGACACCTGGACAGGCACGCAGAGTTCATTGCTTCAAAAGGTGACGATGAATGAATCCTCTTGAAAACTGATAGGAATCCCAAGATCCCTGTGGCTACTGGAAAGGGTCCTTGGGTGCCCTGCCTCACCTCGAGAAGCGTCCCTTTTGCCCTGCCAAGGCTGGAAGAGATACCTGGGGTGTCCCTCTTTACTAGACAGGAGTCCTGACGTCACTGAAGAAATTCGTGTTTTGAAGGGCCATCCCCGCCGTAAGTCGAGAACATACCCCAGGTCCCCGCCGCAACTCAAGAAAAACCATGAGACTTCCCACTAGAGGCAAGATGAGGCCCCATTCCCCTGCAGTGCATGCAGAGCTATTCCGTGATCCCATTCAAACAAGTCAGGAGCTTCGACTTGCTAAATGGTTCTCGAGACAGTCCCCTAGAACACTGTCACAAGTCTAGACGGACCCTGAGGTCACTCCAGCAACGCAAAGCAGCTCCATGTGCCCCAAATCAACTCAAGATGAGGCCCGATTCGCCTGAATTGACTCCAGAGCCATTCCCCGTTCCCCATTCAACATGACCGGTGGCTCGACTTCCTTCAGGCAACTCCAGAGATCCCCCGAGAACACTGTCCCAAGTCTAGAGGAACACCAACTTCAGCACAGCAACTCGAGGAATGCTCCGTGTACCCCAAATCGTCTCGAGATGAGAGCTGATTCCCTGGCTTAGGGTCAAGACGTATGCCAACTTTCCAGAAGCGCCTCAAGAGGTGGCTTCTCTCAGCAATAGGTATGTGGGAAGGACCCCGAGTTTGCTGCCTCAAGGGGAATATACAGCGAGAAGCCCTAACTTGAAAGGAGGCCGGATTTCCTTGCAGTGGCTTGAATACAGGCTCGTCTTTCATCTCACAACATGAAGGGATGTCTGAATCCCCTGTGGAGACCATAGAGAAAGCCCTAGGTCCCTGCCTCATTTTGACGGAATGCCTCACATCCCGCTGACACCTCGAGAGGCACGCGGAGTTCATTGCTTCAAAAGGTGACGGTGCCTGACTCTTCTTGAATACTGATAGGAATCCCAAAATCCCTGTGGCTACTGGAAAGGGTCCTTGAGTGCCCTGCCTCACCTCGAGAAGCGTCCCTTTTGCCCTGCCAAGCCTCGAAGAGATTCCTGAGGTGTCCCTCGTTACTAGACAGGAGTCCTGACGTCACTGAATAAACACGAGTTTTGAAGGGCCATCCCTGCCGTAAGTCGAGAACATACCCCAGGTCCCCACCGCAACTCGAGAAAAACCATGAGACTTCCCCCTAGAGGCGAGGTGAGGCCCCATTCCCCTGCAGTGCATGCAGAGCTATTCCGTGATCCCATTCAAACAAGTCAGGAGCTTCGACTTGCTTAATGGATCTCGAGACAGTCCCCAAGAACACTGTCACAAGTCTAGACGGACCCTGAGGTCACCCTGGCAACGCAAAGCAGCTCCATGTGCCCCAAATCAACTCGAGATGAGGCCCGATTCCCCTGCATTGACTCCAGAGCCATTCCCCGTTCCCCATTCAACACGACAGGTGGCTCGACTTCCTTCAGGCAACTCCAGAGATGCCCCGAGAACACTGTCCCAAGTCTAGAGGAACACCAACTTCAGCACAGCGACTCGAGGAATGCTCCGTGTACACCAAATCGTCTCGAGATGAGAGCTGATTCCCTGGCTTAGGCTCAACGTATGCCAACTTTCCAGAAGCACCTCAAGAGGAGGATTCTCTCAGCAATAGTTATGTGGGAGGGACACCGAGTTTGCTGCCTCAAGGGGAATATACAGTGAGAAGCCCTAAATTGAAAGCAGGCCGGGTTTCCTCCCAGTGGCTTGAATACAGGCTCGTCTTTCATCTAACAACATGAAGGGATGTCTGAATGCCCTGTGGAGACCTTAGAGAAAGCCCTAGGTCCCTGCCTCATTTTGACGGAGTGCCTCACATCCCGTTGACACCTCGAGAGGCACGCGGAGCTCACTGCTTCAAAAGGTGACGATGCCTGACTCCTCTTGAATACTGATAGGAATCCCAAAATCCCTGTGGCTACTGGAAAGGGTCCTTGGGTGCCCTGCTTCACCTCGAGAAGCGTCCCTTTTGCCTTGCAAAGCCTCGAAGAGATTCCTGAGGTGTCCCTCGTTACTAGACAGGAGTCCTGACGTCACTGAAGAAACTCGTGTTTTGAAGGGCCATCCCCGCGGTAAGTCGAGAACATACCCCAGGTCCCCGCCAAAACTCGAGAAAAACCATGAGACTTCCCCCTAGAGGCGAGATGAGGCCCCATTCCCCTGCAGTGCATGCAGAGCTATTCCGTGATCCCATTCAAACAAGTCAGGAGCTTCGACATGCTTAATGGATCTCGAGACAGTCCGCAAGGTCACCAGTCTAGACGGACCCTGAGGTCACCCCGCAACGCAAAGCAGCTCCATGTGCCCCAAACCAACACGAGATGAGGCCCCATTCCCCTGCATTGACTCCAGAGCCATTCCCCGTTCCCCATTCAACACGACCGGTGGCTCGACTCCTTCAGGCCACTCCAGAGATGCCCCTAGAACACTGTCCCAAGTCTAGAGGAACACCAACTTCAGCACAGCGACTCGAGGAATGCTCCGTGTACCTCAAATCGTCTCGAGATGAGAGCTGATTCCCTGGCTTAGGCTCAAGACGTATGCCAACTTTCCAGAAGCACCTCAGGAGGAGGCTTCTCTCAGCAATAGGTATGTGGGAGGGACCCCGAATTGGCTGCCTCAAGGGGAATATACCGCGAGAAGCCCTAAATTGAAAGCAGGCCGGGTTTCCTTCCAGTGGCTTGAATACAGGCTCGTCTTTCATCTAACAACATGAAGGGATGTCTGAATCCCCTGTGGAGACCTTAGAGAAAGCCCTAGGTCCCTGCCTCATTTTGACGGAGTGCCTCACATCCCGTTGACACCTCGAGAGGCACGCGGAGTTCACTGCTTCAAAAGGTGACGATGAATGAATCCTCTTGAATACTGATAGGAATCCCAAAATCCCTGTGGCTACTGGAAAGGGTCCTTGGGTGCCCTGCTTCACCTCGAGAAGCGTCCCTTTTGCCCTGCAAAGCCTCGAAGAGATTCCTGAGGTGTCCCTCGTTACTAGACAGTAGTCCTGACGTCACTGAAGAAACTCGTGTTTTGAAGGGCCATCTCCGCGGTAAGTCGAGAACATACCCCAGGTCCCTGCCAAAACTCGAGAAAAACCATGAGACTTCCCCCTAGAGGCGAGATGAGGCCCCATTCCCCTGCAGTGCATGCAGCGCTATTCCGTGATCCCATTCAAACAAGTCAGGAGCTTCGACTTGCTTAATGGATCTCGAGACAGTCCGCAAGGTCACCAGTCTAGACGGACCCTGAGGTCACTCCAGCAACGCAAAGCAGCTCCATGTGCCCCAAATCAATTCGAGATGAGGCCCCATTCCCCTGCCTTGACTCCAGAGCCATTCCCCCTTCCACATTCAACACGACCGGTGGCTCGACTTCCTTCAGGCAACTCCAGAGGTGCCCCGAGAACACTGTCCCAAGTCTAGAGGAACACCAACTTCAGCACAGCAACCCGAGGAATGCTTCGTGTACCCCAAATCGTCTCGAGATGAGGGCTGATTCCCTGCCTTAGGCTCAAGACCTATGCCAATTTCCAGAAGCACCTCAACAGGAGGCTTCTCTCAGCAATAGGTATGTGGGAGGGACCCCGAGTTTGCTGCCTCAAGGGGAATACAGCAAGAAGCCCTAACTTGAAAGGAGGCCGGATTTCCTTGCAGTGACTTGAAAACAGGCTCGTCTTTCATCTCACAGCATGAATGGATGTCTGAATCCCCTTCGGACACCTTAGAGAAATCCCAAGGTCCCTGCATCATTTTGACGGAATGCCTCACATCCCGCTGACACCTCGAGAGGCACGCGGAGTTCATTGCTTCAAAAGGTGACGATGAATGAATCCTCTTGAATACTGATAGGAATCCCAAAATCCCTGTGGCTACTGGAAAGGGTCCTTGGGTGCCCTGCCTCACCTCGAGAAGCATCCCTTTTGCCCTGCCAAGCCTCGAAGAGATTCCTGAGGTGTCCCTCGTTACTAGACAGGAGTCCTGACGTCACTGAATAAACACGAGTTTTGAAGGGCCATCCCCGCCGTAAGTCGAGAACATACCGCAGGTCCCCACCGCAACTCGAGGAAAACCATGAGAATTCCCCCTAGAGGTCAGATGAGGCCCCATTCCCCTGCAGTGCATGCAGAGCTATTCCGTGATCCCATTCAAACAAGTCAGGAGCTTCGACATGCTTAATGGATCTCGAGACAGTCCGCAAGGTCACCAGTCTAGACGGACCCTGAGGTCACCCCGCAACGCAAAGCAGCGCCATGTGCCACAAACCAACTCGAGATGAGGCACCATTCCCCTGCATTGACTCCAGAGCCATTCCCCGTTCCCCATTCAACACGACCGGTGGCTCGACTTCCTTCAGGCCACTCCAGACATGCCCCGAGAACACTGTCCCAAGTCTAGATTAACACCAACTTCACCACAGCGACTCGAGGGATGCTCCGTGTACCTCAAATCGTCTCGAGATGAGAGCTTATTCCCTGGCTTAGGCTCAAGACGTATGCCAACTTTCCAGAAGCACCTCAGGAGGAGGCTTCTTTCAGCAATAGTTATGTGGGAGGGACCCCGAATTTGCTGCCTCAAGGGGAATATACCGCGAGAAGCCCTAAATTGAAAGCAGGCCGTGTTTCCTTCCAGTGGCTTGAATACAGGCTCGTCTTTCATCTAACAACATGAAGGGATGACTGAATCCCCTGTGGAGACCTTAGAGAAAGCCCTAGGTCCCTGCCTCATTTTGACGGAGTGCCTCACATCCCGTTGACACCTCGAGAGGCACGCGGAGTTCACTGCTTCAAAAGGTGACGATGCCTGACTCCTCTTGAATACTGATAGGAATCCCAAAATCCCTGTGGCTACTGGAAAGGGTCCTTGGGTGCCCTGCTTCACCTCGAGAAGCGTCCCTTTTGCCTTGCAAAGCCTCGAAGAGATTCCTGAGGTGTCCCTCGTTACTAGACAGGAGTCCTGACGTCACTGAATAAACACGAGTTTTGAAGGGCCATCCCTGCCGTAAGTCGAGAACATACCCCAGGTCCCCTCCGCAACTCGAGAAAAACCATGAGACTTCCCCCTAGAGGCGAGGTGAGGCCCCATTCCCATGCAGTGCATGCAGAGCTATTCCGTGATCCCATTCAAACAAGTCAGGAGCTTCGACTTGCTTAATGGATCTCGAGACAGTCCCCAAGAACACTGTCACAAGTCTAGACGGACCCTGAGGTCACCCAGGCAACGCAAAGCAGCTCCATGTGCCCCAAATCAACTCGAGATGAGGCCCGATTCCACTGCATTGACTCCAGAGCCATTCCCCGTTCCCCATTCAACACGACAGGTGGCTCGACTTCCTTCAGGCAACTCCAGAGATGCCCCGAGAACACTGTCCCAAGTCTAGAGGAACACCAACTTCAGCAGAGCGACTCGAGGAATGCTCCGTGTACACCAAATCGTCTCGAGATGAGAGCTGATTCCCTGGCTTAGGCTCAAGACGTATGCCAACTTTCCAGAAGCACCTCAAGAGGAGGATTCTCTCAGCAATAGTTATGTGGGAGGGACACCGAGTTTGCTGCCTCAAGGGGAATATACAGTGAGAAGCCCTAAATTGAAAGCAGGCCGGATTTCCTTGCAGTGGCTTGAATACAGGCTCGTCTTTCATCTAACAATATGAAGGGATGTCTGAATCCCTGTGGAGACCTTAGAGAAAGCCCTAGGTCCCTGCCTCATTTTGACGGAGTGCCTCACATCCCATTGACACCTCGAGAGGCACGTGGAGTTCACTGCTTCAAAAGGTGACGATGCCTGACTCCTCGTGAATACTGATAGGAATCCCAAAATCACTGTGGCTACTGGAAAGGGTCCTTGGGTGCCCTGCCTCACCTCGAGAAGCGTCCCTTTTGCCCTGCCAAGGCTGGAAGAGATTCCTGAGGTTTCCCTCGTTACTAGACAGGAGTCCTGACGTCACTGAAGAAACTCGTGTTTTGAAGGGCCATCCCCGCCGTAAGTTGAGAACATACCCCAGGTCCCCGCCGCAACTCGAGAAAAACCGTGAGACTTCCCCCTAGAGGCGAGATGAGGCCCCATTCCCCATCAGTGCATGCAGAGCTATTCCGTGATCCCATTCAAACAAATCAGGAGCTTCGACTTGCTTAATGGTTCTCGAGACAGTCCCCTAGAACACTGTCACAAGTCTAGACGGACCCTGAGGTCACTCCAGCAACGCAAAGCAGCTCCATGTGCCCCAAATCAACTCGAGATGAGGCCCGATTCGCCTGAATTGACTCCAGAGCCATTCCCCGTTCCCCATTCAACATGACCGGTGGCTCGACTTCCTTCAGGCCACTCCAGAGATGCCCCGAGAACACTGTCCCAAGTCTAAAGGAACACCAACTTCAGCACAGCACCTTGAGGAATGCTCCGTGTATCCCAAAACGTCTCGAGATGAGAGCTGATTCCCTGGCTTAGGCTCAATACTTATGCCAACTTTCCAGAAGCACCTCAAGAGGTGGCTTCTCTCAGCAAAAGGTATGTGGGAGGGACCCCGAGTTTGCTGCCGCAAGGGGAATATACAGCGAGAAGCCCTAAATTGAAAGGAGGCCGGATTTCTTTGCAGTGTCTTGAATACAGGCTCGTCTTTCATCTCACAACATGAAGGGATGTCTGAGTCCCCTGTGGAGACCTTAGAGAAAGCCCTAGGTCCCTGCATCATTTTGACGGAATGCCTCACATCCCACTGACACCACGAGAGGCACGCGGAGTTCATTGCTTCAAAAGGTGACGGTGCCTGACTCTTCTTGAATACTGATAGGAATCCCAAAATCCCTGTGGCTACAGGAAAGGGTCCTTGGGTGCCCTGCCTCACCTCGAGAAGCGTCCCTTTTGCCCTGCCAAGCCTCGAAGAGATTCCTGAGGTGTCCCTCGTTACTAGACAGGAGTCCTGACGTCACTGAAGAAACTCGTGTTTTGAAGGGCCATCCCCGCGGTAAGTCGAGAACATACCCGAGGTCGCCGCCAAAACTCGAGAAAAACCATGAGACTTCCCCCTAGAGGCGAGATGAGGCCCCATTCCCCTGCAGGGCATGCAGAGCTATTCCGTGATCCCATTCAAACAAGTCAGGAGCTTCGACATGCTTAATGGATCTCGAGACAGTCCGCAAGGTCACCAGTCTAGACGGACCCTGAGGTCACCCCGCAACGCAAAGCAGCTCCATGTGCCCCAAACCAAGTCGAGATGAGGCCCCATTCCCCTGCATTGACTCCAGAGCCATTCCCCGTTCCCCATTCAACATGACCGGTGGCTCGACTTCCTTCAGGCCACTTCAGAGATGCCCCGAGAACACTGTCCCAAGTCTAGAGGAACAACAACTTCAGCACAGCGACTCGAGGAATGCTCCGTGTACCCCAAATCGTCTCGAGATGAGAGCTGATTCCCTGGCTTAGGCTCAAGACGTATGCCAACTTTCCAGAAGCACCTCAGGAGGAGGCTTCTCTCAGCAATAGGTATGTGGGAGGGACCCCGAATTTGCTGCCTCAAGGGGAATATACCGCGAGAAGCCCTAAATTGAAAGCAGGCCGGGTTTCCTTCCAGTGGCTTGAATACAGGCTCGTCTTTCATCTAACAACATGAAGGGATGTCTGAATCCCCTGTGGAGACCTTAGAGAAAGCCCTAGGTCCCTGCCTCATTTTGACGGAATGCCATACATCCCGCTGACACGTCGAGAGGCACGCGGAGTTCATTGCTTCAAAAGGTGACGGTGCCTGACTCTTCTTGAATACTGATAGGAATCCCAAAATCCCTGTGGCTACAGGAAAGGGTCCTTGAGTGCCCTGCCTCACCTCGAGAAGCGTCCCTTTTGCCCTGCCAAGCCTCGAAGAGATTCCTGAGGTGTCCCTCGTTACTAGACAGGAGTCCTGACGTCACTGAATAAACACGAGTTTTGAAGGGCCATCCCTGCCGTAAGTCGAGAACATACCCCAGGTCCCCACCGCAACTCGAGAAAAACCATGAGACTTCCCCCTAGAGGCGAGGTGAGGCCCCATTCCCATGCAGTGCATGCAGAGCTATTCCGTGATCCCATTCAAACAAGTCAGGAGCTTCGACTTGCTTAATGGATCTCGAGACAGTCCCCAAGAACACTGTCACAAGTCTAGACGGACCCTGAGGTCACCCAGGCAACGCAAAGCAGCTCCATGTGCCCCAAATCAACTCGAGATGAGGCCCGATTCCCCTGCATTGACTCCAGAGCCATTCCCCGTTCCCCATTCAACACGACAGGTGGCTCGACTTCCTTCAGGCAACTCCAGAGATGCCCCGAGAACACTGTCCCAAGTCTAGAGGAACACCAACTTCAGCACAGCGACTCGAGGAATGCTCCGTGTACACCAAATCGTCTCGAGATGAGAGCTGATTCCCTGGCTTAGGCTCAAGACGTATGCCAACTTTCCAGAAGCACCTCAAGAGGAGGATTCTCTCAGCAATAGTTATGTGGGTGGGACACCGAGTTTGCTGCCTCAAGGGAATATACAGTGAGAAGACCTAAATTGAAAGCAGGCTGGGTTTCCTTGCAGTGGCTTGAATACAGGCTCGTCTTTCATCTAACAACATGAAGGGATGTCTGAATCCCCTGTGGAGACCTTAGAGAAAGCCCTAGGTCCCTGCCTCATTTTGACGGAGTGCCTCACATCCCGTTGACACCTCGAGAGGCACGCGGAGTTCACTGCTTCAAAAGGTGACGATGCCTGACTCCTCTTGAATACTGATAGGAATCCCAAAATCCCTGTGGCTACTGGAAAGGGTCTTTGGGTGCCCTGCTTCACATCGAGAAGCGTCCCTTTTGCCTTGCAAAGCCTCGAAGAGATTCCTGAGGTGTCCCTCGTTACTAGACAGGAGTCCTGACGTCACTGAAGAAACTCGTGTTTTGAAGGGCCATCCCCGCGGTAAGTCGAGAACATACCCCAGGTCCCCGCCAAAACTCGAGAAAAACCATGAGACTTCCCCCTAGAGGCGAGATGAGGCCCCATTCCCCTGCAGGGCATGCAGAGCTATTCAGTGATCCCATTCAAACAAGTCAGGAGCTTCGACATGCTTAATGGATCTCGAGACAGTCCGCAAGGTCACCAGTCTAGACGGACCCTGAGGTCACCCCGCAACGCAAAGCAGCTCCATGTGCCCCAAACCAACTCGAGATGAGGCCCCATTCCCCTGCATTGACTCCAGAGCCATTCCCCGTTCCCCATTCAACACGACCGGTGGCTCGACTTCTTCAGGCCACTCCAGAGATGCCCCGAGAACACTGTCCCAAGTCTAGAGGAACACCAACTTCAGCAAAGCGACTCGAGGAATGCTCCCTGTACCTCAAATCGTCTCGAGATGAGAGCTGATTCCCTGGCTTAGGCTCAAGACGTATGCCAACTTTCCAGAAGCACCTCAGGAGGAGGCTTCTCTCAGCAATAGGTATGTGGGAGGGACCCCGAATTTGCTGCCTCAAGGGGAATATACCGCGAGAAGCCCTAAATTGAAAGCAGGCCGGGTTTCCTTCCAGTGGCTTGAATACAGGCTCGTCTTTCATCTAACAACATGAAGGGATGTCTGAATCCCCTGTGGAGACCTTAGAGAAAGCCCTAGGTCCCTGCCTCATTTTGACGGAGTGCCTCACATCCCGTTGACACCTCGAGAGGCACGCGGAGTTCACTGCTTCAAAAGGTGACGATGCCTGACTCCTCTTGAATACTGATAGGAATCCCAAAATCCCTGTGGCTACTGGAAAGGGTCCTTGGGTGCCCTGCTTCACCTCGAGAAGCGTCCCTTTTGCCTTGCAAAGCCTCGAAGAGATTCCTGAGGTGTCCCTCGTTACTAGACAGGAGTCCTGACGTCACTGAAGAAACTCGTGTTTTGAAGGGCCATCCCCGCGGTAAGTCGAGAACATACCCCAGGTCCCCGCCAAAACTCGAGAAAAACCATGAGACTTCCCCCTAGAGGCGAGATGAGGCCCGATTCCCCTGCAGTGCATGCAGAGGTATTCCGTGATCCCATTCAAACAAGTCAGGAGCTTCGACATGCTTAATGGATCTCGAGACAGTCCGCAAGGTCACCAGTCTAGACGGACGCTGAGGTCACCCCGCAACGCAAAGCAGCTCCATGTGCCCCAAACCAACTCGAGATGAGGCCCCATTCCCCTGCATTGACTCCAGAGCCATTCCCCGTTCCCAATTCAACACGACCGTTGGCTTGACTTCCTTCAGGCAACTCCAGAGATGCCCCGAGAACACTGTCCCAAGTCTAGAGGAACACCAACTTCAGCACAGCAACCCGAGGAATGCTTCGTGTACCCCAAATCGTCTCGAGATGAGAGCTGATTCCCTTCCTTAGGCTCAAGACCTATGCCATTTTCCAGAAGCACCTCAACAGGAGGCTTCTCTCAGCAATAGGTATGTGGGAGGGACCCCGAGTTTGCTGCCTCAAGGGGAATATACCGCGAGAAGCCCTAAATTGAAAGCAGGCCGGGTTTCCTTGCAGTGGCTTGAATACAGGCTCGTCTTTCATCTAACAACATGAAGGGATGTCTGAATCCCCTGTGGAGACCTTAGAGAAAGCCCTAGGTCCCTGCCTCATTTTGACGGAATGCCTCACATCCCGTTGACACCTCGAGAGGCACGCGGAGTTCACTGCTTCAAAAGGTGACGATGCCTGACTCCTCTTGAATACTGATAGGAATCCCAAAATCACAGTGGCTACTGGAAAGGGTCCTTGGGTGCCCTGCTTCACCACGAGAAGCGTCCCTTTTGCCTTGCAAAGCCTCGAAGAGATTCCTGAGGTGTCCCTCGTTACTAGACAGGAGTCCTGACATCACTGAAGAAACTCGTGTTTTGAAGGGCCATTCCCGCCGTAAGTCGAGAACATAACCCAGGTCCCCGCCAAAACTCGAGAAAAACCATGAGACTTCCCCCTAGAGGCGAGATGAGGCCCCATTCCCCTGCAGAGCATGCAGAGCTATTCCGTGATCCCATTCAAACAAGTCAGGAGCTTCGACTTGCTTAATGGATCTCGAGACAGTCCGCAAGGTCACCAGTCTAGACGGACCCTGAGGTCACTCCACCAACGCAAAGCAGCTCCATGTGCCCCAAATCAATTCGAGATGAGGCCCGATTCCCATGCATTTACTCCAGAGCCATTCCCCGTTCCCCATTCAACATGACCGGTGGCTCGATTTCTTTCAGGAAACTCCAGAGATATCCCGAGAACACTGTCCCAAGTCTAGAGGAACACCAACTTCAGCACAGCAACTCGAGGAATGCTCCGTGTACCCCAAATCGTCTCGAGATGAGAGCTGATTCCCTGGCATAGGCTCAAGACGTATGCCAACTTTCCAGAAGCAGCTCAAGATGTGGCTTCTCTCAGCAATAGGTATGTGGAGGGACACCGAGTTTGCTGCCTCAAGGGGAATATACAGCGAGAAGACCTAACTTGAAATGAGGCCGGATTTCCTTGCAGTGTCTTGAATGCAGGCTCCTCTTTCATCTCACAACATGAAGGGATGTCTGAATCCCCTGTGGAGACCATAGAGAAAGACTTAGGTCCCTGCCTCATTTTGACGGAATGCCTCACATCCCGCTGACAACTCGAGAGGCACGCGGAGTTCATTGCTTCGAAAGGTGACGGTGCCTGACTCTTCTTGAATACTGATAGGAATCCCAAAATCCCTGTGGCTACTGGAAAGGGTCCTTGGGTGCCCTGCCTCATCTCGAGAAGCGTCCCTTTTGCCCTGCCAAGCCTCGAAGAGATTCCTGAGGTGTCCCTCGTTACTAGACAGGAGTCCTGACGTCACTGAATAAACACGAGTTTTGAAGGGCCATCCCCGCCGTAAGTCGAGAACATACCGCAGGTCCCCACCGCAACTCGAGAAAAACCATGAGACTTCCCCCTAGAGGCGAGGTGAGGCCCCATTCCCATGCAGTGCATGCAGAGCTATTCCGTGATCCCATTCAAACAAGTCAGGAGCTTCGACTTGCTTAATGGATCTCGAGAGAGTCCCCAAGAACACTGTCACAAGTCTAGACGGACCCTGAGGTCACCCCAGCAACGCAAAGCAGCTCCATGTGCCCCAAACCAACTCGAGATGAGGCCCCATTCCCCTGCATTGACTCCAGAGCCATTCCCCGTTCCCCATTCAACAAGACCGGTGGCTCGACTTCCTTCAGGCAACTCCAGAGATGCCCCGAGAACACTGTCCCAAGTCTAGAGGAACACCAACTTCAGCACAGCGACTCGAGGAATGCTCCGTGTACCCCAAATCGTCTCGAGATGAGAGCTGATTCCCTGGCTTAGGCTCAAGACGTATGCCAACTTTCCAGAAGCACCTCAAGAGGAGGATTCTCACAGCAATAGGTATGTGGGAGGGACACCGAGTTTGCTGCCTCAAGGGGAATATACAGTGAGAAGCCCTAAATTGAAAGCAGGCCGGATTTCCTTGCAGTGGCTTGAATACAGGCTCGTCTTTCATCTAACAACATGAAGGGATGTCTGAATCCCCTGTGGAGACCTTAGAGAAAGCCCTAGGTCCCTGCCTCATTTTGACGGAGTGCCTCACATCCCGTTGACACCTCGAGAGGCACACGGAGTTCACTGGTTCAAAAGTTGACGAAGCCTGACTCCTCTTGAATACTGATAGGAATCCCAAAATCCCTGTGGCTACTGGAAAGGGTCCTTGGGTGCCCTGCTTCACCTCGAGAAGCGTCCCTTTTGCCTTGCAAAGCCTCGAAGAGATTCCTGAGGTGTCCCTCGTTACTAGACAGGAGTCCTGACGTCACTGAAGAAACTCGTGTTTTGAAGGGCCATCCCCGCGGTAAGTCGAGAACATACCCCAGGTCCCCGCCGCAACTCGAGAAAAACCATGAGACTTCCCCCTAGAGGCGAGATGAGGACCCATTCCCCTGCAGGGCATGCAGAGCTATTCCGTGATCCCATTCAAACAAGTCAGGAGCTTCGACATGCTTAATGGATCTCGAGACAGTCCGCAAGGTCACGAGTCTAGACGGACCCTGAGGTCACCCCGCAACGCAAAGCAGCTCCATGTGCCCCAAACCAACTGGAGATGAGGCCCCATTCCCCTGCATTGACTCCAGAGCCATTCCCCGTTCCCCATTCACCATGACCGGTGGCTCGATTTCTTTCAGGCAACTCCAGAGATGCCCCGAGAACACTGTCCCAAGTCTAGAGGAACACCAACTTCAGCACAGCACCTTGAGGAATGCTCCGTGTATCACAAAACGTCTCGAGATGAGAGCTGATTCCCTGGCTTAGGCTCAATACTTATGCCAACTTTCCAGAAGCACCTCAAGAGGTGGCTTCTCTCAGCAATAGGTATGTGGGAGGGACCCCGATTTTGCTGCCTCAATGGGAATATACAGCGAGAACCCATAACTTGAAAGGAGGCCGGATTTCCTTGCAGTGGCTTGAATACAGGCTCGTCTTTCATCTCACAACATGAAGGGATGTCTGAATCCCCTGTGGAGACCTTAGAGAAAGCCCTAGGTCCCTGCCTCATTTTGACGGAATGCCTCACATCCCACTGACACCTCGAGAGGCACGCGGAGTTCATTGCTTCAAAAGGTGACGGTGCCTGACTCTTCTTGAATACTAATAGGAATCCCAAAATCCCTGTGGCCACTGGAAAGGGTCCTTGGGTGCCCTGCCTCACCTCGAGAAGCGTCCCTTTTGCCCTGCCAAGCCTCGAAGAGATTCCTGAGGTGTCCCTCGTTACTAGACAGGAGTCCTGACGTCACTGAAGAAACTCGTGTTTTGAAGGGCCATCCCCGCCGTAAGTCGAGAACATACCCCAGGTCCCCGCCGCAACTTGATAAAAACCATGAGACTTCCCCCTAGAGGCGAGATGAGGCCCCATTCCCCTGCAGTGCATGCAGAGCTATTCCGTGATCCCATTCCAACAAGTCAGGAGCTTCGACTTGCTTAATGGATCTCGAGACAGTCCCCAAGAACACTGTCACCAGTCGAGACGGACCCTGACGTCACCCCAGCAACGCAAAGCAGCTCCATGTGCCCCAAATCAACTCGAGATGAGGCCCGATTCCCCTGCATTAACTCCAGAGCCGTTCCCCGTTCCCCATTAAACAGGACCGGTGGCTCGACTTCCTTCAGGCCACTCCAGAGATGCCCCGAGAACACTGTCCCAAGTCTAGAGGAACACCAACTTCAGCACAGCCACTCGAGGAATGCTCCGTGTACCTCAAATCGTCTCAAGATGAGAGCTGATTCCCTGGCTTAGGCTCAAGACGTATGCCAACTTTCCAGAAGCACCTCAGGAGGAGGCTTCTCTCAGCAATAGGTGTGTGGGAGGGACCCCGAGTTTGCTGCCTCAAGGGGAATATACCGCGAGAAGCCCTAAATTGAAAGCAGGCCGGGTTTCCTTACAGTGGCTTGAATTCAGGCTCGTCTTTCATCTAACAACATGAAGGGATGTCTGAATCCACTGTGGAGACCTTAGAGAAAGCCCTAGGTCCCTGCCTCATTTTGACGGAATGCCTCACATCCCCTTGACACCTCGAGAGGCACGCGGAGTTCATTGCTTCAAAAGGTGACGATGCCTGACTCCTCTTGAATACTGATAGGAATCCCAAAATCCCTGTGGCTACTGGAAAGGGTCCTTGGGTGCCCTGCTTCACCTCGAGAAGCGTCCCTTTTGCCTTGCAAAGCCTCCAAGAGATTCCTGAGGTGTCCCTCGTTACTAGACAGGAGTCCTGACGTCACTGAAGAAACTCGTGTTTTGAAGGGCCATCCCCGCGGTAAGTCGAGAACATAACCCAGGTCCCCGCCAAAACTCGAGAAAAACCATGAGACTTCCCCCTAGAGGCGAGATGAGGCCCCATTCCCCTGCAGTGCATGCAGAGCTATTCCGTGATCCCATTCAAACAAGTCAGGAGCTTCGACTTGCTTAATGGATCTCGAGACAGTCCGCAAGGTCACCAGTCTAGACGGACCCTGAGGTCAGTCCACCAACGCAAAGCAGCTCCATGTGCCCCAAATCAATTCGAGATGAGGCCCGATTCCCCTGCATTGACTCCAGAGCCATTCCCCGTTCCCCATTCAACATGACCGGTGGCTCGATTTCTTTCAGGCAACTTCAGAGATGCCCCGAGAACACTGTCCCAAGTCTAGGGGAACACCAACTTCAGCACAGCAACTCGAGGAATGCTCCGTGTACCCCAAATCATCTCGAGATGAGAGCTGATTCCCTGGCTTAGGCTCAAAACGTATGCCAACTTTCCAGAAGCACCTCAAGAGGTGGCTTCTCTCAGCAATAGGTATGTGGAGGGACCCCGAGTTTGCTGCCTCAAGGGGAATATACATCGAGAAGCCCTAACTTGAAAGGAGGCCGGATTTCCTTGCAGTGGGTTGAATACAGGCTCGTCTTTCATCTCACAACATGAAGGGAAGTCTGAATCCCCTGTGGAGACCATAGAGAAAGCCTTAGGTCCCTGCCTCATTTTGACGGAATGCCTCACATCCCGCTGACACCTCGAGAGGCACACGGAGTTCATTGCTTCAAAAGGTGACGGTGCCTGACTCTTCTTGAATACTGATAGGAATCCCAAAATCCCTGTGGCTACAGGAAAGGGTCCTTGGGTGCCCTGCCTCACCTCGAGAAGCGTCCCTTTTGCCCTGCCAAGCCTCGAAGAGATTCCTGAGGTGTCCCTCGTTACTAGACAGGAGTCCTGACGTCACTGAATAAACACGAGTTTTGAAGGGCCATCCCCGCCGTAAGTCGAGAACATACCGCAGGTCCCCACCGCAACTCGAGAAAAACCATGAGACTTCCCCCTAGAGGCGAGGTGAGGCCCCATTCCCATGCAGTGCATGCAGAGCTATTCCGTGATCCCATTCAAACAAGTCAGGAGCTTCGACTTGCTTAATGGATCTCGAGACAGTCCCCAAGAACACTGTCACAAGTCTAGACGGACCCTGAGGTCACCCCAGCAACGCAAAGCAGCTCCATGTGCCCCAAACCAACTCGAGATGAGGCCCCATTCCCCTGCATTGACTCCAGAGCCATTCCCCGTTCCCCATTCAACAAGACCGGTGGCTCGACTTCCTTCAGGCAACTCCAGAGATGCCCCGAGAACACTGTCCCAAGTCTAGAGGAACACCAACTTCAGCACAGCGACTGGAAGAATGCTCCGTGTACCCCAAATGGTCTCGAGATGAGAGCTGATTCCCTGGCTTAGGCTCAAGACGTATGCTAACTTTCCAGAAGCACCTCAAGAGGAGGATTCTCTCAGCAATAAGTATGTGGGAGGGACACCGAGTTTGCTGCCTCAAGGGGAATATACCGCGAGAAGCCCTAAATTGAAAGCAGGCTGGGTTTCCTTGCAGTGGCTTGAATACAGGCTCGTCTTTCATCTAACAACATGAAGGGATGTCTGAATCCCCTGTGGAGACCTTAGAGAAAGCCCTAGGTCCCTGCCTCATTTTGACGGAGTGCCTCACATCCCGTTGACACCTCGAGAGGCACGCGGAGCTCACTGCTTCAAAAGGTGACGATGCCTGACTCCTCTTGAATACTGATAGGGATCCCAAAATCCCTGTGGCTACTGGAAAGGGTCCTTGGGTGCCCTGCTTCACCTAGAGAAGCGTCCCTTTTGCCTTGCAAAGCCTCGAAGAGATTCCTGAGGTGTCCCTCGTTACTAGACAGGAGTCCTGACGTCACTGAAGAAACTCGTGTTTTGAAGAGCCATCCCCGCGGTAAGTCGAGAACATACCCCAGGTCCCCGCCAAAGCTCGAGGAAAACCATGAGATTTCCCCCTAGAGGCGAGATGAGGCCCCATTCCCCTGCAGTGCATGCAGAGCTATTCCGTGATCCCATTCAAACAAGTCAGGAGCTTCGACATGCTTAATGGATCTCAAGACAGTCCGCAAGGTCACCAGTCTAGACGGACCCTGAGGTCACCCCGCAACGCAAAGCAGCTCCATGTGCCCCACACCAACTCGAGATGAGGCCCCATTCCCCTGCATTGACTCCAGAGCCATTCCCCGTTCCCCATTCATCAAGACCGGTGGCTCGACTTCCTTCAGGCAACTCCAGATATGCCCCGAGAACACTGTCCCAAGTCTAGAGGAACACCAACTTCAGCACAGCAACCAGAGGAATGCTGCGTGTATCACAAAACGTCTCGAGATGAGAGCTGATTCCCTGGCTTAGGCTCAATACTTATGCCAACTTTCCAGAAGCACCTCAAGAGGTGGCTTCTCTCAGCAATAGGTATGTGGGAGGGACCCCGATTTTGCTGCCTCAATGGGAATATACAGCGAGAACCCATAACTTGAAAGGAGGCCGGATTTCCTTGCAGTGGCTTGAATACAGGCTCGTCTT